CCCTTAGCAGCAGTCTCTGCCTCTGTCTCTCGCCCATATGTGCACCTAATTGGCCGCTGCTGTTGCGCATTGGCGATATATACCCCTCCATGCTTTCATTTCCATGGGCACTATGGCGCCGGAGATCGTCCCCCACAAAACGTAGAAATTTCTTGGATTGACCCCCCCTGGAAGATTTCAAACTGCTTCCAAATATTAAGAACATTCCTTGCTGCAAGGTAATAAACTTTAATTTTAAAGTTTGCAGCGAAGACTGTTTCTCCGAGTCTCTTCCTCCGATCAATTGCAGTTCTGCTAAATTAAAAGAGCTCCTCTCAACTCGCTGCTCGTGCCTTCCTCCTAACGCCATGGCTTCCGCTCTCGCCTCCTCCCGGTGCGTCTCCTCCGTGGCTGGCCTTGCGGTCGCTGCCAAGCCCGCTGCCATGACCGGCCCCCGGGTTGTGGCCCCCCGCGCAGCTCTCCCCAGCTTTAAGAAGATTGCTCAGACCGCGGGTGTGTCGGTCGCCACCCTTGCCGTTGCTTTCAGCGCCAACGCTGCTAACATTAAGATGGGGGGAGACGGTGGCGAGCTCGCCTTCATCCCTAGCTCTGTGAATGTGTCTGCTGGCGAGACCATCACTTTCACGAACAATGCTGGGTTCCCCCACAACATCGTGTTCGATGAGGATGCGGTTCCTGCAGGCGTGGACGCTGGCGCTCTGTCTCACGATGTAAGTCACCCTCTCCTGTGTGTTGGGGTGGCCAGCATGTTGTTTGGTGGTCAGACCTGACTGTACTGTCACAAGCTTACATAGTACTTAATCTTCAGCACTGAATCTTCTGATACTGTGCTTTGTGGTCAATGATGATTGCGCGCTCGTGTCTGAGATAGTCGTTGATTCTAGCGAATCCCTTCCCTAGCAGAGGGGGGGGTTTGAAAAAGTCAGCTGGACTGTATCAGGACGGGGAATCTGTAGGTTTTGTATTCGTCAGCTGGACTGCATCAGTAGGGGGAATTTGTAGGCGGCAAACAGAGACTCCTATGTCTTTCAGCCCTTTGTAGTTGTGAGTTTGTGTTGGAGAATTACAGGGAATGCGAGGTTTATGTGGACTTCAATGCATTCTTGAGGGGCACCTCCTGTGGTCATTACAGCAGAAAATATGCAACATGATAAAGAATCCGTCAGAAAGGGCACATTGTGGGAAGGGTAGACGAGAGACGATGACATATCGAATGTATGACATCTTCAAGGGCTTTCGTCCTTGAAGATTGTGCTTTGCACATGTGTTACGGAGTTGACAGCTGTCATACAGTCTGCATCAATGTGCATTGTGGCACACGGTAAACAAGCTTGACCCGGCTCTCTTGTCTTTGCTAGGACCTCGTCAACGCCAAGGGTGACGTTGTGACCATCACCTTGACCAAGGCTGGCGAGTACGAGTACTATTGCGAGCCTCACCAGGGAGCGGGCATGACTGGCAAGATCACCGTCAGCTAAGCCGACTGTGAAACACTGAGCGAGGTTAACTTGAGGGTTGGGTATTCGATTTGATGGGTTGACAAAAACGTGTTGAGCGAGTTGCGACATTTATAAGTCCGGTTACTGCTCTCATAGCCAAGTTCTGCCCGCAGTTGTTTCATTGCCATACTGCACATTCTTGGTTGAATCCATTCAAACCAGAGCGTCCCGTAAGTCCATGTTGCTCGTCGTGCCCACGTCGATTGATGCATTCAAATATCAGCAAGGCTCAAAACAGCCGTGTGCTTACCTGTTCTATGCATCTGAAAGGCCATGCTTGTGATTTTCATTGCAGTACTCGCGTTGAAAGCTTGATAGAAAGGGCGGTCGAGACCCCTGTGAATCCACTCCTGGCTGCTCAGTGCATCCGTTCATGAAATGGGTTTTTGTGCCGAGTCAGCCGCAATGTTCTGGTTCTGCAGTTCTCTTTTAAAGCAGGTTGTCGACATATGGATGCATGCAATCGAGGTAGACATGGTCGAACCATGATTGCTGTGCAGCGACCAAACAATTAAAGAGTCAATGGGATTACAATCAGCGCAAATGCATGGCGATCATGGGACCAGGTACTATATATGGTCAAATTACGGCGATCGCGCGCTGGCACATACGTATGCATGTTTGATGCGATGTAGAAGGCACCGGGGCCAGTACCTAGCATCTAACATTGTTGAATCGTATGTACTTGTACCACCCACCGTTTCATTGTCGCCAAGAACGGGCACTCTATCTTACTAATATACTCTGCAGGAGAAGGCCAGGCTATGTTTGATGTAAACAGCATCTTAGTGGCAGAAGGGCCTTACAAAGTTGAGTCAGCATACACTAAAACGACCAAGCTGCGTGCTCTGATCTTGTTGATTGTACGCATATAGCCTACACTGCATTCAGAGGGAACTCCTGCTGCTTGCCAGTGTAGCTGCTACTGCCAATTAGCTTGATTGCCCACAGCATGGAGAATTTTACTTGGTGTCGAACTCGGAAGCCAGCATCAGACCTTAGACATGTCAACGAGTGCCTCACTCACTATATCTGCATGCTCGAGTTTCACAATGCAATGCTCGCCATAGCCTCGTCAATTGCTCGTCGTACTGCAAAGGCAGACACGTATCCACCTGCCTTCGCAGCCAACTCTGTCCGTAGTCTTCGGCTCTCATCATCCAACCCTTCAGAGTCTCCATTCACATGTCGTGCTTGCGCCACAGGGGTAGGCTGCAATGGGACAGCTGGGGGCTGCGCATGCCCCAGAGCGGAAGGGGCATATTGCATACCGCCGGATCGCTCGGCACTGCCATGGATTTCATGCTCCGCCTGCAGTGGGTTAAGTATGGAGACGTTTCATGCAAGCCAACTGATTGAGTACCCGAATCAGCAGCCGTTGCAAATGGGAGGCCTTAAAAGACAGCTTTTCTTGATCAGAGTCGATCTGAGAGGGGCTACACAACTCCAAAGTAGAGTACAAATACCTTCGGCTCTAACACACGTCCCTCGCTATCGAACCTTCTCCGAGCTGCTGTGGGCAGAATATCAACGTGGATGGTCCCTTGCTCATGATCATCATCCTATGTCAAACAAGTCCATTCCAGAGTCTTGTCCAACCTGGCGACTGCATCATCGAAACAAAGGGAAGACAACCAGAAAACGAGAACAAGTCAACCAGACTCGTGTTGATACGATCAATTCAACTCCCAGAGGCAAGTACGTGCACCCCAACGTCATACTCGTCGCTTTGCTCGACATCTGTACACCTTGATGAGTCCGTCGAGGGGTCAAACAACTGAAGAATCGAAGAATTCTCGACGGATCGAAGAAATAATGACAATAAGCCCTCCGAAGTGAGAGCAAGTTTACCTCGAGTTCCTCAACAGATGGCTCGACAGCAGCCCTCTGGGCCTTCAAGTTTGCTGCCTTTTCACTTGCCTGCACATACAAACACAACCCTCATTTCAACACGTCTTAGCTGTTTTACCTTTACATTCGCCACCGAGGCCAATCTCGAATGTGTCCAGTAAAATCTTTCCCTTTCTGGACAAGAACATACACAAGGGGCCTTCGAACAGCGAGGTACTCCAAATCAGCACTTGACATCCAGAAGCAGTTGATGCAGATCTGAGTGGTATTGTGTGAGCTTGAGAAGTGGCTCTACTTTTCTTGCAAGTAATTGATCCAGATGTTGACTTGCCTTCCGCGCGTGTGACGAGAGAATCTGCTCCTGATTCTCTTCTTGATAGCGGGCCACACTGGCCTCAGTCGCAGTTACATCAATGCCCTCAACAAGATTGAAGACTGCAGACGATGGTCTATGGTGGATTATCAACAATGGCCAGGGCTTGCGTTGCATCTGATTTTGTCAATTATTCAGAATCTAATCGATCCTGTTGGACACACTGCTCAAATGAAGCAATGGACAATAAGACAGAACCAAGCAGGCCTCCTGATTCATAAGCCAGAAGTCTGTTCAAAACACAGGTGAAATTAGAACTGTTTTGACACTGTTTAGTCTATATGAATAGACTAAAGAGAATGTTGAAGAAAGAACAACAGTCAAGGGCAGAAACTTCGTACGATTTCCAATTCGAACCTCTCAAAACAGTGACAAAAGGACACGCCAGTAGAGCCTTTGCATGCTAAATCCGCCAATGATATGTCGCATGAGGGATGTTTCATAGCATGACTCACCGATGTCTTCTATGGTCTCAAGGTAGTCATTGTACTCCTTCAACTCTTGGAAGTCTTCCCGCTCCTTGTTGTAACTGCATGGAACCAGAATCCACAAAATCCACTCAGCCTTGATGCTTTAGTGGTGGCGCTATATCTGCTTCTGATTCAAATGCTGGACATGGGAAAGCGCTGCTTCGGTATGGACAGGACACATACTCTTTCAGAAGCGCCAAGCTTCAGCCCGGGGCAAAAGTATCAACAGTCCCTGAAGTTTGTGCAGAGCTATGCTGAAAATTAAGAGGTCTGTACAGGAGGACAAGAGTGTTCCAGGAAGTTTGAAGGGGGGCCTGAGTGAGTACGGTTGAAGTATTCGAAGGTACAGCTTAGCTAAAGAGGAGACATGCCACCAATGTCCACACACGAAAACTGCAGGAAGCTTTGGAACCTCACATGCTTTGGATCCTCTTCCTGATTACAAGCTCCTTGTTCATGTCCCCCAAAAGACCCAGCCACACTTGGACGCTGTCAATTCATTGAGAAGCTCCCGGCCGCGTTTCAGACAGCATCAGCGACTGCGGACACGGCGCCGACTCGTGAGTGGTGGTTTGAATCGAGGATGAGACTCTTGGAAGAAATGCTGCTTGATTGCTTGATGACAAAAGCTCACTCCCATCAGTGTACGACCTTCATCAGGAGCACCTTAGCAATGCAGTGAGGTGCAGAGACGCAAACCAGCATGCCTACACCCACCTACACCTAGCAGAGCCAAGGGCACCTGCTCTTTGAAAAGCTCACCTCAAATAGACTGATTGATCACTGTGCAGCTGCTCGACCATTGGAAGGCGGCAAATGCACTATGTAGTGCCCTTGTTGGAGAATGGTGGCATTGATCTATGTGTGGGCTATTGGCATTGCAGGTTACAGGAATCACCCTCGTTTGAACCCGAGGGTCAGGAGGTAGGTTAACAAAGTGGGTTGCGCAGAAATACACTGACAGTTCAGGAGGAGTCCGCCGTATTTAAAAGACTTGCCACGCTGACCCACCTCTTAACCATTGGCCCACTAACCAACTTCTTAACCATGTCCTGTTCACATTGTCATTGATATTAGCTGGTTAGAAATCAGCAGGGAGAGTGCTCAAACAATGCGAGCTGGGGTGGTGGCAGGAGCGATGCAAAGTTGGCTCTGAGCAACGATGCACGGAGCGGCAGGCGGGAGCACCAACTTTTCTTTCTGCCAGCACCACCCCGCATTAGCTGTTCTTCCTTCCCAATCCTCTCCAAATAAGGTGTCCGCAGGAAGACCCCATCTGGCGCCACTGACGCTGCAACAACAGTACTCGAGGCGCCCGACTCCTTTTAGCAGCGCAAGACTTCTCGAAAGCAGAGGAGCACAGCAGTCAAGGAGAAGTGTAGCCACGTGTTTTGACAACAGTAGGGCAGACGTAACTTTTACAGGAGCGCCTTCCACTCCCAGGACTGAGCACTTATGGAAAACGAAGCAACATAAGTGCTCGAGACATAAGCCCAGGGCACACCACCCTTCCCATCGCACCCGGTTCGCAACAGAAAGGGTGTTGCTGTCGAGCACAGCAGAACCTGGCGGCATTCCTCAGGGGCGCCGGTCTTGCACTCTGCCTCGCAGCACCGCAATCAATCTTGCTCCCCCCCCCGCTACGTCGTCTTCCTGGAACAACCTTGTCCCTTTCCTCCTTGTGGCATTCTCATCCAGGCATAATCGCCCACGCTCAACCGCTCGCAGCCTCGCTAGCGATCACCCCGGACAGCCAAAAGAAGCACCAAAGGGGGGCACGTCCATCAGGCGCCCTCAAGAGTCTCTCACAACCTCAACTTCTACTGGACCCTCAAAAGCAGCATTCGCCGGAGAGACCCGAGTTGGACGTACAAAAGGAGGACTGAAAGAGTCCAACCACCCCGGGCGCTCGAAACAAACCAATACTAGGAAACAAAAGCAGAAGTTCAAGCGCGCCCAGTTCACCGAGATTGCCCCGGAGGAGGCGCGCGCCGTCTTGGCCTGCCGATACAGTGCGGCCGAGGGAATCCCATACCGGGCGCCGGAAGAGTTTCGGCTGTGGGTGCAGCTCATGATGGCGGGGCCGGAGCATGTCATCTTGTCAGAGCCGGGGGATTACATCTTCCAGGATGGTGAGCACGCGGCTTTTACAGTTCTTTGGGCTCTGCTTCTTCAGAAGTTTCTCACGGTGTGTGTTGGGAAGGTTGGCACTCTCGTTGCCAAGAGTATGCAGGACAACACGTCGACGACGCTGTGTAGTGATTGATCGAGACTTCACAGACTATTGGATGATCTCTGATAATCTCGTGTTACATCACTCTTGGAAAAATCGCAATTCCCCATGAACGAATGGATGCTTTCTCTGACGAGCGGGCGACTATTGATGCTTGTTTCTAAAGACCCTCGTTCATCCAGTGGCAACAGATCTGCAGTGGGCTTCTGTGCCAATTCCGCTGGCCGGCCGTGTTGACCTCATCGATGTGGTGGCAGGAACAGAGGTTCATAGCTTTGAGTGACCTTGGAAAAACCTGGAGTCTGTCGACCCCTGTGTGCTGGCAGACTTACTTGTTTCTTGCTAGTTGCAAAGTCATCTGCCTCTCACTCTTGGCCTGATTGTGTTTCCCACTGGTGGGGCATCGACCAAGCATAGGTATTCAAGGGCGCCCTATGACTTGATGCCGCTCGCTTTCGCATACATGTGTGATTCATCTGCTGTGAAACTGCTGAGGTCTGGAGTTACTCAAACCACTCGATCACAGTTTTTGAAGATCAAGTTCCGTGAGGGAAGTCGTGAATGTCATCAAACAATCTACCGCCTTTATTTGCAGGGCGGCGCCTAGTTCGTCCGTACTTTTTCGAGTTTGTGTCGCACGTGAAGAGCCGCTGGGCGGGCCAGAACATCGTGGAACTCTTCTCCAACGAGTTCCGCCAGCGGGACCGCCAGTACTACGTGAGCTCCTATTCCAGAACAACTTTGGTCTTCGAATTTCCGAGATGGCCGAACGAGGGGTAGAAACATATCACAAGTCGCGCGATGTTTTCAGCAGAAGCCACCGGCGGGGCTGCCGACTTTCTATTAATTTCGTGGATGAGTTAGATGGCTAAAACGTCCGTTGATGTTTGAGGTTGTCGAAAGATGTGGGAGCTGCCCGGCATTAGTAGTTGACTTGCGGCCTGTCACGGTTCGTTGTAATGTTTACGATCTTCCGTTTGGTGTCAGAGATTGCCCACTTGATATGGGGTTAGGGGCAAAGTGGCAATGGCCATCTGAACGCCTTCAACCGAGATGCCTTCCCTTTTCGCCTAGCTAGGTTAGTCCTAAACTGCGTCCATCCGAAGCGCAATGCATTCCGTGCTTCGAGAAAAGTGTACTTCCTTTCAAGCAGGCCAGAACTTCAAAAACTCGATGTATTCAACCAACTCGCGAGGATCTGTTCAGAACGTCTTCTCAATTTTTCTAACCTCGCAGACACAGGCCGTCGAGGAAAGCTGCCTTCAGGTTGACGGGGCGCGATTTTAACTAGCTAATGCCACGCGTGAGGCCAAAAGACAACACTTGCTCCAGTAAATCATCCTCGAGCCGCTTTCTATGAACATTACAGTCTCATTTTTAGCTCCACACAACGCAAGTCTTTGAGGACGGCCGCCTCAAGGTCGAATCTTCAATGAATCGCCAAAGCAGCTGACCCGTAGATCCTTCGACAATAGTTTCGGTTGTCAAATCGCTTTTCCGAATCCCTAACCACCTCGGACCCCCTCCCAAACCCTCCCTAACGGACTCTCACCCTCCTGTAAACCCGCAGATGCAAGCCTTCGAGGACCGGCGCCTCCCAATTAGGCGGCCGCAAAGTTTCAATCAGCCACCTACTTCCACGAGAGAAGCCAACGCGTTGAATTCGCATTCAACGTACCCTAATGAGTTCGCTCACTCGCAACCTGACCCAGTTTCAAAACTTCCTTCAAACCTGCAGATGCAAGCCGTCGAGGACGGGCGCCTCCAGGTCGACGGCCGCAAAGTGCCCACCAGCTACAGCCTCACGCAAGGCCAGACCGGCGAAGTTTTAACGACTTCGCAATTCGCATTTCCAGTCCTAACCCCTCCCAAACCCACCGACCCGATCGTACCCAAACCCGCAGATGCAAGCCGTCGAAGACGGGCGCCTCCAGGTCGACGGCCGCAAAGTCCCCACGAGCTACCGCCTCACGCAGGGCCAGACCGTGGTCCACTTCGTGCACCGGCACGAGCCCCCGGTAATGGCGGATCCGGTAACGGTCCTCTTCTCGGACGCGGACGTCGTTGTCGTCCGGAAGCCGGCGTCCGTCCCCGTGCACCCGTGCGGGCAGTACCGCAAGAACACGGTGCTCGGGATCCTGCAGGCGGAGCACCCGGAGCTCGGCACGCTCTCGCGTATCCTTCCCCCCGCCTCTAGTTCGGCTCTCCATTTTGCTGATTTTTGGGTTTTGGCTACTTTTGCGCTTGGTTTATGATCTGCCAAAGCACCCGGAGCTTGGCACGCTCTCGCGTATCCTCACCCTGCCTCTAGTTCTGCTCTCCTCTCTGCTGCCGGTTATCTTCTCTTGCCCGTTGTGCGTTGTTTTGATGGCCTGTCACGCGCCCGGAGCTCGGTACGCTCTCGCGTACCCTTCCCCCCGCCTCTAGTTCTGCCGTCCTTTCTGCTGCTCTTCTTTCTCTTGGCCGTTTTTGCGCGTTGTCTATGATCTGCCAAAGCATCCGGAGCTCGGCACGCTCTCGCGTATCCCCCCTCCGCCACTAGTTCGCTGTTCATTTTGCTGCTGCTTCTCTCTTCTTCGGGCCTTTTCCGCGCGTCTTCCATAATTTGGCAAGCACCCAAAGCTCGGCACGTCCTCGAACATGGCCACCTTTTCGAGGACTTCACCGGCGGAGCTTCCACCTTATGAACGTGTCAAAGTCCGGGCTTACAGTAAATGCCGTCAGTTCCGTTCTGCTGGTCCGCTGTGCGCCGTCTAAGCTCGCCGTTTCCGCCCTGGGCACTTCTGCTGCACGGAGTGCCAGGTTTTTGGCCCTTTTCTTGACGCCAGCCTCTTTCCTCATTCGTGGTTCTTTTCCTTCCCCTTGCTCACGCACAGTGTCAAATGCTGAAGTCCTCAAGTCCTTTGTGATCCTTGAAACCGTCACCCCCGTCCAGCACTTCACCGGCTGGACCGACTGGTTCCGTTCCCTTGCTTCTGCTATAGTGTCAAACGATGGAGCCTATATGTCCTTTGTGATCCTTGACACCGTCCGCCTCGTCCAGCGATTCACCGGCTGGACCGACTCGTTTCCGGCCTGCTCATCCTGGCGCGCAACCCGGAGACCGCCGACCGATTCCGACAGGACGTGAGTGGCGCTCCGCTGGTTCCAGGCGAATGAACTCGAGAGCAGATTTTGTTCAATCGAAAAAGCTCTCTTTGAAAGACCAAAATTGATGTGTAAATTCAGCTCTAGCGAAAGGGAGGTTATTTTCTCCATATTCGCTTGATTCTGATCTACTCTCGGGTCGTTCTTGCTTGGTCGCCCTTCTCGTATTGTTCCTTCCCTCGCTCCATCGTGATCCAGCCAAAATAGAGACCCAGCATCTTGACGTCAGCATGTCCCCGCGTGCTGACATCGGCCGTTGACTTAAATCGCGGCAACCAAAAGTCGCAAGGAGCACGTGGCACGCGATCACGACGTTTTTTGAGTGGCCCGTGAAAGCGAACAGACGCGGCGCAATCAAGTCCTCACGCTGTGCTGACGTCATGGTCTTGGGGAGCACGCTAACGTCTTGACCCTCCCCTCCGCAGATCACGCAAACGAGGTGCAGAAGGAGTACGTGGCGCCGCTTTAATGGGCACCTGCTACAAAACGATGAAATCATTCTTGAGTTTGCAAGTCCCGACGCTGTGCTGACGTCATTGCATCGGCAAGCACGCTGACGTCAGCCGCTCTCCCCGCAGATCACGGCGAACGAGGTCCAGAAGGAGTACGTGGCGCGCGTAGTGGGCGTTTTCCCCGAAGGGCCCGTCGAGGCGGCAGCGCCGCTGCTGTACGACGGCAAGGAGGGGCGCGCCATCGTGGAGGTGCGTGGGGCTGCCACGTGGCAGAAGGTCGATTGTAAGGGAGGTCATTGCGCAAAGAGACTCGTGACGAGTTGGCACCCGTGTTAGGGAGCTGTCGACGTCCTTGAAGGGGGCGTGTGAAGACCGGCCGCCTGAGATTGAGTGACAGTGTCGACGAGTCTTTACCGGTAGCTCATGACAAGTAGCAAGGTGGGATGCGGTACCTGGGGAGACTATCTCCTTCAAAAGTCTGCATAAAAGTGCACCTTGATGTATTGAGGTACGCTTAGAACCCCTTCTTTCATAGTCCTAGATTATGCAGGTGTCGGTGGCAGCACTCAAGACCACCCACTTTCCTTTTTCCTTCACCATCTCTGCTCTGTTCACCTGCGTGTCTCTTTGGCAGGTTCCGGAGAAGGGGAACGATCTGGGCGATTGTGGCCCAAATGTTCTGTATAGCGCAAGCGAAACGCACTATCTGATCTCTATTCCACCAACTTTTTCCTTCCTCTCACGTGCTTTGACACATCCCTTTGGCAGGTTCCGGAAGAGGAAAACGATCCGGAGGCGATTGCGGCCGCGATGCTCAACGGCGGCCGCACGCGCGACGCGCTCACACGCTTCCGGCGGCTCAGCACGGACGGCGCCACGAGCGTCGTGGCGTGCCAGCCGCTGACCGGGAGAACGCACCAGGTGGGGACCGCTACCGAACTTCGCGTCAGGGGTTTGAAGAGTTTGAGGGCTTTGGGTTTTAGAGTTTTGAGGGTTCTCATCATTTTGGACCGTGCGTAGCTGGTGCGTCGGATGTTTGCGTGGACCCTGCTGTAGTTGTCCAATTCTCAGGGCGTAGGATGTACAGTAAGTCAAAAGAAAAAATGGATGTATGTAAAGAGGTTTCGCCTAACTTCCGCAAGTCTGTTCGAGCAATAGCCTTGCCATTGAGGCGGCCGGAACAAGTAATAGGGACCCCTTTAATAGCCTCATATATTTTTTTATCCTTGAACAACCATTTACAGATTGATTTCAGCCTCTTTTTCTGTTGCAACAATGAACAGATATGGGTTGCATCTAAGAGGCTTCAATACCTGAAAGGTACCCGGTTTAGAATACGAATAAGATTAGGGAGGCCATGATTAGAGCAAAAAGAGCAATAGCTTCGGTTAACGCGAATCCTAAGATTGCATACGGCAAGGTCGACAGCTTTGCTGGATGCGTCAACTTTCCCGGTTCTCCAGCCTAGCCTGCCGCTAACCAGGATGACGCACAGAATGAGGATTGCTATGCGGACCCTGCGGACCCTGCATTAGTGAGATAGTCGTCTGTTTCTTTACTACGTTGACCAGCTTGTGCTTGTCCCCGGTCGAGTCTGGATGCTCAGACCCCAAGGCTCAAATATTCAAGGATCTGCCGCCCAGTGACGGCTTTTGCTGGTGTGCGAACTCTGTCTCAGTGTGCGGTTTTTAACTTCTTTTAAAGCTCCCCTTCTCTGAACTCCATTAGCAAGATCCTTTCGACTAATCGCGAAAACACTTCCTTCTGCCAGATCCGAGTCCACCTACAGTACTTGGGTCACCCGATTGCCAACGATTTCCTGTACCTGTACCCGGGGCCTCTTCCCGAGGAGGCGCGCAAGAAGGGCGGGGACACCACCGCCGACGTCGCGGCCGCGCGGGGCGCCGCCAAAATGGCGGCCGCGGCCACGGTCGCGGGCGCCACTCTGGCGGGGGCGATCCGCGTCGTGGTCGCCGCGAAGGCGAGGAAAGCGCGGGAGGATGCCGAGGCGGCGCGGCGACAGGAAAATGAGGGGTCAGCTCTGGGAGACGGGTTGAGTTCAGCGGGCTTGGCGGAGGCAATTGGCGGAGGCACTTTCGGAAACGGAGAAGCCGGCGAGACGAGCGGAGAGCCCCTCGTTCACGGGCTGGCGAGGGGAGAGTTGAATGTTGGCAATCTCACGGGGGAGGAGAGGTCACAGGAAGCTGGTGTTGCAGACGTGCCGTCCGCTGGGGGTGCGATTCCTGAGACAGGATCTGGAACGAGGCCTGTCGGAGCAGGGGGAGATGGGGCCGGTACAGGGGTGGGGTCGGAGGCCCTGTTTGAGGTGGACCCGTACTGCACCAACTGCCCAAGCATAGGGCCGACGGGGTGAGGCACCGCGGAGAACAAGGCCTCAGAATGCTTGAAGTCTCCCCCGTTTCGGCCAAGTTTTGGGGGGATGTGAATTAGGCGGAGGGAATTGTCGGCTTTTCCTTGCTGCGGGAATCATCTGCGGAAACGGCTGTTTGCCGGGGTTTCGACTCTTTTTCTGCTGTGCTAATGTTGCTTTTTTCAAATGCACGGGGTATCCCAGAGCAATGAGGCCAAATGTTCGTCGGACAGAGTTTGCTTCTGCTTCAGCTGATCTTATCGGTTCATCATCCATGTACCACGTGACACAGATTGTCGTCTTGACTTTGAATCTCGATTTGCCTTTACCAGGTACGAAGAGGACCAGGAGGGCTTATGGCTGCATTGCATACGGTATACGGGGAAGACGTGGACGTATGAGTGCCCACTGCCCGACTGGGCACAGTTGAACTGACGCTTACGGATTGTGGGTTTCTGCGTGTGCGGCCATAGACTTTCCATGCTCATATCTGGTTTGGCCAGAATTGGATCGACCACAAAGGCCGGGTCGTGATGATTTAGTGGCGGACCGTGGACCAGCAAGAAGTATCTCAACGCATGCAGAGTTGCGACGACATCCTTCGGAGCTGGCCAGAATAAAAAGGCACCAGAATTGCGCATGTGGGTCAGCTTGAATGACGGAGGATCCGCACCCGTTGGTTTTCCACTGCCCTAGTCCGTCGATTTTCCACGGCCGTACGACTTATGGACATCAGTGCCATGCGCAGAGAACGAGGTGTCAAGCTTATCTCATGTATTTCCCACTCGCATTTACTTTCTGGCCAACAATCTGCAGTGAGCTGTAAATTATCCTCATTTCAAGCTTTCTTTTCTACGCGTATATTCGAAATCGCTGCAGCCCAGTCCCATGACTTCCTTCTTTGTAGGACATGACGTTCTCATGGAGGTACCTGTAGCTCAAATTCATGATGTATCAGCATGTATCCCATGTGAAGAAAATCAAACTTACTACGTGGAGCACAGACATGCACGCATGCGGTTATATGCATAGCTCGCTAGTGCGCGTGCAGCATACGCCATGGCAGTATGTTAATTATTCTAACTTGTAGCACCACACGCGCTTACACATCAGCGTGGAACCATGTGCGCGGCGCATTTGCGCGCACAAAAAGTGCATGCAAGCAATGATTGGCAGTGTTTCGATCAAAAAGCATTAATCCATTCGCATCATGTGTCGGATAGAGTGAAACTCGACTGAATCTGAATCTAGCTAGCTGCCCATATGTCGGTGAATGATGCGGTGCACGCAAGCATATGTGATCGAGAATTCCATGCGTGCAGGACTGATGAGAAGGCACAGCGTTAGGTCCGGCCGAGCATCCTCAGAGCATGCCAGCAATCGTGGCCTCCAAGTCCATCGGAAGTTCTGCTATCACTACTTTCAGCGCAGGACAAGTCCTTGACTTGCGCCTTGTGCGCCTGCGTTTGCTTTGTTCATGCAGTATCCTTTACTTGGATGTATCAACCACACAGATTGACATGTGCACTCGGCTGACGAGGGACCAAGAAAGAGGCCAAACTTGATCAGAATCTCTCCTTGCAAAGAACACCAATGAGCTCGGATGCTATAAGTCATTTCAGGGTGATGTACGCCTGCTTCAACACCAAGAATCCCACTGGTCAAGTTTGCCAGGGGTGAAAATATCGGCGTTTACGGTGGTCAATTGATGTGCACCCCGTTGATGATTGATGAGCCCCAGCAGGTAATGTAAAGTAAAAGAATCCCAAATCTAGTCCCACGACAGCCTGACATACAGCCTGCTTACCTCCAAAGGAAAGCACAATCAATCCACTATCATATCCTGATCCACAACCCTTGCAAACTGCTATTCCCACCAGATTCCGACCCCGTGTGAAACCGTTACCCCACAGCATTCCGAGCAGCATAGTGCTGTAAGTAAAAACGTCTCTGACGGCTGCTCGTATCTGACAGGGTCGCTTATTCACACTTGATGGAGCGGTATATGTGGCGTACAAAGGTGAGAGACGCCCGGAACCCGACGGTGCCCAACATGAGGAAGAAGCCGTAGCACACACACGCCATGTACCCGAAGAAGAACGACGTCTGCATGAACCCGCTCATGTCGGACCTCGCGTAGTAGTAGTAGAAGCAGTACCCGAAGATGAAGAGCCCGGTCGAACCTCCGCAGAGGACGCTCCTGCATGGGAGGCGATCTCCGACTTGAGCATATCAATTTGTTATCTAATGGAACTCAAAGTTTGAGCACACACGCCAGTGTCTGTTCAAAGCACCCATGCCAATGACTGCGAGCATGACCAGTCCAAGCACATTGCAATCGAAGCTCGGAGGTCAATCTGTGAGTGTAGAACGGCATCGCAGCTACTTCGGCAAGTATATGTCCGCTGTAATTGCATGGTAAACGGCACATGGAGGGCCACAATGCACGCCAGGAAAGAGACGCAAAGAACTTGGCCACAGCAAAGGAAGGCATAAGGAGGCCCCAACATCAGCGGGTTCATGCCTCACTTAACGGAGAAGTAGAAAAGGCAGAGAACGAGTTGCATACCATATAAGGAGCAATAGGATAAGGGTAAGAGGTCTACACGAAAGCAAAGAGGGCAGGCGGAACCAGACATGCACCGCAATAGAACAAAGAACCATGATAACAGACTGGATGACGGACGCCAGGCTCGAGAAGAGGACAACATTGAAGTGGAGATTAAAAGACTGAATACAAAAAGGAGACAGCAACGACGTAGGAAAAGAAGACAAACACCAGAAGAAACGTTTGGAACACAAGAGCGATTTCAACAACGCTTGAAGAGAGGCGCCACAAATCAAACCAGGACCGCGAAACTAGAGCGGGATTCTCCCGCCTCACCTCCACCACCACTCGTGGTCCTCGACGGCTAGTTGGAAGTAGGTGAGCGCGATCGTGATGAAGGCGGTCACGATGATGAGGATGATGAACACGATGAAGAGGATGCTGTAGATCGTGTACACCTTGTGCCCCCACACGCTCGCAAAGATGTAGTACAGCTCGATGTAGATCGCGCTGAACGGCAGGAAGCCCGCCATCGCCATCTGGGGCACCGTGCTGCGGTACCACGGCAGCGGGGGGATCTCGCGCGGGTACTTGGTGGTACGCACGGGCGCGTTGAACTCCGCCTGTGTGGATAAGGATAAAAGGGAGGATCAGAGAAGGTGGGAGGCAGAGAATCGGCAAATCAAGAAGGAAGAAAACGAATCAACAAGGATCTGCAGGGACAACGGAGAAATTGAGAAGCTCAGGAGGGGGAGAGATGGTGAGACCAGGCAGATCCAAAGGGGGCCCGAAGCCAAAACCAAACAATGAGGGGGGAAACGGAGGGAGAAGTTTATGGTGACAAAAGAGAGGGGTCAGCAGCGGAAATGACGATAGGATTACCAAGACTTACAAGTGGAGAATGCTTACACAGCAATCGAAAGAACTGTTGCACAATGAGCACTGTTGGGTTCGGCTGACACCCAAACGTCGAAGTGCTGGTGCTTGACAATCGTGCTCGCTTTCTTGGTGACGATTGTGTAGGAAGAGGTCAGATTTTTCCCGGCAAGGGCTCGCGCTCTAATCAAACAAAACAAAGTGCGCCTCACCTTGTTGTTCTTGCCCGCAATGCCTCCGATGATGAGCAGCGGCGCCGTGACCAGCATCCAGATGAGCAGGATGATGACGATGGTGCCAGCTGGCAGCGCGGCGGTCGAGTTGGAGCCCCAGGCGACCGAGTTGAGGAAGCAGAAGGTCAGAAAGAGCGGGCCGCAGAAGAGGCAGCCCGTCAGGATGATGTTGCGCACCTGGAACAGCCGAACTGGAGTCAGGTTTGAAACACTCCAAGATGTTCTCCAAGATTGACTAATGTCAACCCTTGCACTTTAGAAGTCAATGGTCGCTGAGTCCCTTTACTCCCCCAAGCAGCTGCATTGTCTCTTGTTACATTGAACGCCTTCCTTTCTTGGTGTCATGCGGGACACGACAAAACCATGGCTTTTGAATTCAGTGCCCCGCCGGACAATTGCTAATCTCCAAGCAGCAACAAGGAACAAAAGGAGCAAAGAGAACAAAGGTCCACCATAGTAGAGAGATAAAGTAACGAGTCTTGAAGCTTGATGCTCACCCATGCAGTCCCCTCCAGCTGCTTGTAGTAGGAGGCAGAGACGTAGCCGGCCACACCGGAGGTCAGCGCATACAGGACCACAAGGGCGGTGAACAGGGCGCCCCGGTTGTAGGGGTAGAACACGCCCACCAGAGCCAAGCCAAAGATGCAGAGCGTCCTGGGAAAAGGGCATCAGAACAGTGTTTGCTAGCTAGCAACGAGCAAGGATGGGTTTCATGACGACAGCTGCTAGGGGCAAGCACTGAACAACAGAAGTGATTACGAGGATCAGGGTGCCCAACTTGGCATGACCATGACGACCAATATTGGCAGAAACAGTTTCCAGATTCAAGAAACCGAGCATTGGCTCCTTTGCATCTTTACTCAAGGATGACATACCAAAAGACTGTCACAGCAAGTGTTTTCGCCAAGAAGCTTGTGACTTACAGTGCCAGAAGCTGGCTGCCACTTCCGATCACAGCCGCAAAGAGGGTCTTGTTCTTGGGGAAGCGGAACACGTCGCCATGCACATACTTCCACCCGGTCTCCTCCTGATCCTCCAGGGTCTCCTCATCACGGGAGTACCTGCGAAATGATTTGACATGTAAGGACAGGTAAGTGACTCAACTAGAACGTGGCGCTCATACATATAAAAGCAGACATCCTTTGTTGCAAGTCCAAATACTTGAAAGGTCTATTTAAGGGGGTAGATCTGCCCCATCGGGCAGATTCACAATCTAGACCACTTCTCACTCATGGTCCACTTTGCGGCTTTCACCAGCAGCTGGTGGTCGGATGCCGGCTTATCTTCCCCGCAACTGCTGGTCAAAGTGATCCATTCTAAATGCAAACACTGAATGAAGACAATCTTGAGCGCCCTTGGCTTCTCAAGTGCAGTTATCCAGTAACTTGCCGCAATTGTGATGCACTCACTTGATGAAGTCGTTCTTGAGCACCCTCATCAAGATAGTCGCCAGGAAACCGGTGAGCAGCAGCACGGTGACGCAGCTGTTGATGATGGAGAACCAGTGGATCTCGAGGTGCTGGGGCAGGAACGAGTAACGCGAGTACTTGTCCATCCGCTTCTCGAAAGCTTTGTCCACCTCCTGCCACTTGGCGGAATATGAGAATTCCACCTCCACCTCTGCATCCTCAGTGATGTCAACTGTGCGCAGGGGGTCGGTCGCCACATTGATCTCAATCACACGGTCCTTGTTGTACTGGATGTCAAAGTGCACATGCGTGAAGAGATAGTAGCGCGCATCTTTCTCGTCGGGGGGGTCGATCTTGCCGATGAAGCCCCAGATAGGGAGGTCGTCGTAGTACATCTGGAAGTAGTAATCATTCTTCACAGCGTCCCGGAACTTGCGCACATCCTTCACGGACAACTTCTGCACGCAGAGAGTCTCCTTCTCCTTGTCCACCTTGAAGCTCAGATCGTACGCGGCCGTCACCATGCGGTCCCCATTCAGTACCTCGCCCAGATCCTCCACCTTCTCATTCAGGACCACTGCAGGGAGAGCCAAGAATCAGCCGGCTACAGAGGCCCATTTACAATGCACCCAGATGCTGAGGGCTGGAATGGACTCCTAGCAAACCTGCTGGACTCGAAAGGTGCAAAAGATACCAAGCAAGGTGAAAAAGATGCGAGCTACTGAACATTTCAATTCATACTTCAGCTGCAGTAAGGAGAGCATCAAAAGAAAAAGCGCTGCAGACAGAAAGAACATGACGCTGTTGTGGTGCTAGAGATCAACAGCTGAAAGTTACCAAGTGCCTTGTTGAGTCAAGCATGTTACAGATTCAAAAAAAAATTCGTGCAAAAACGAGTCCATCTATCCAGTAATTCCTGTATGGTCAATGATGCACTTGCACCAATGCCATCGATTAGGCAGCGATAGATGTTCAGAGCAGCCATCACCTGCTGGCGACTAGGTGACCACCCACTTCTCAATGTCCAAATTTCGTTCAATGTTTGCTGAAATGCAGACTTGAGTAATCCTCTTCTGAATCAAAACTGGACATGAGCATACACAACCAGAGCTAGGAGACAGAAACTTCACGAACTATCAGCTTGCTCCAAGATTCGGCAGACACTCTGCAGTTGGAAATAACAGAGCGGTATTGCCAACAACATTGAGAGCTAGCTGCGCTCTGCTTGTGTTGCGACATATGGGTCTACAATAGATCTATCTTGCACTCGGTCAAAAATCAGGCTGCAAATCCAATCTGCTTCTTGAGAGGATTTAAAGCTTCGGCAATACATTTCACGTCCACCTTTTGCCGGTTGATGGCATGGATATATCCAAACCCTACAGTAACAACGCATTGCAATGCAAATCATAGATCTCGAGAAGAAACCCTATTCCTTCTTACCAGGAGGGCAGAAGGGAAGATCGTAGTACTTGTATGTTTCTCTGCAAGTCGGACAAAAACACCTTATTATCTTCATGTTCAGAGCTCGAAAGAACCCGTGCCACAATGCTAGCTTCCAGCAGAAGTAGCTGAAGGAGATCATCCCTGATCGAAGGAAGCAAGCATCTGCTCAATGCAAAAGTTCAATTCGTGGGATGACTTGAGCAACAACTCCATTATGCCTCAGATCCTTGGCAATACCCACCCCTAAACCGTTCTGACTCACGTTGGATTATGGAAGGGGCCCACTTTGTTGGCAAACAAGGGTGGTTTCTCATGGTCTCTGTACTTGTGGTCGCTTGCTGAAAGCAATGTACGCACTCTAACGCTGAGAAACTCAATGCTCCTAGCATCAGCTTCGGCAAGAATGCATCCGAGAGCTACCAGAAGCAGGAGACCAACCCCCTGTCTCGCCATCTCTGTCGACTGAAGTGCCTGTCTCAAAACGCTTATTCAAATAAGACCAGATGAGCACCCCCAGCTCAGTACTCTGACATCAGCAACTCTTGATGCAATTTAGGGACTGCTCCACAGGTTCTTCACATCCGTCCGTGCCCTTCACTTAGCAGAGGGTCAGCAATCCATTAAAGAAAACGTGAATTAAAGAACCCGTATCCCTGCTCTAGCTTGCTTCACAAGAGGTGTTCCGCCCTAGCCTCCTCTGGGTACAAGGTACAACAACTTACAAGCTTGCCCTTCCTGCAGGATTCGTAGACGGTGACCTGTCTTGTCTGGCCCTTCTCTTCGTTCTCATGTGCCCCTCTCCTCGTTCTCATGAACTGCATATCTGCTTTTAACTACCTGGTGTCAATTGTCCAAAGTCAACACAGGCTTTTGAACATACACGGCTTCCAGAAGCAGTTGACACTAGCTTTGCTCGAGTCGCACCGATTAGGGTCCTCCTGACAAGGGATTTCCCGGAAATTCCGCAGCCGGTATCCAGTATTACGTCGCCGTCCGATGCAAACCGGTTCCAAACCAACGGCTTTCGTGACGCCGACAATAGTGCAACAGCTGGAGACCTAAACTGGATAAATTGCATTCAAGCTGTTCGCCACGCTCGCGCACAGGACGAGGTAGGTTCTTCCCTAATACGAAGACGATCAAGCAATTGCCATTTTCTTCGCATTTGCACTGGCAGGTGGGAAGCTTCTGTGGCACACATGATCTGTACATGATGGCCGAGCTTTTTACGTTCTGAAAACTTCAGATTCTCCCATATTTAGTTCAAATTGCAGCACTAGAGCTGCGGTGATTGAGGTGTTGCGGAAACATGACGTCCATACTTCTCAAACGTCTGGCCACAAAAGGTGCAGATGCTGGTGTTTCAAAAGTTTCACTATGGATCAATCTGCATCGTGGTCTACAAACAGTTGCTGGATCGAGAATTGAGAAAGATACATTTGGACCAATTGAGGTTCCTGTGGACAGGTGAGGGGCAACATTTAGCTGCGACATCCATTCCTGAGGTGGCATTGGCTTGGCATGCACTGCCTGCCTCTCATCTGCACCTTGAAAAGGAACTTGGGACAGAAACACTGGCAATGTAGTGTAAATAGATGCTCACTTTGTGAGCAATCTCAAAATGCAATTCTATGTTGACTTTATTTACTTTCCTTTTATACCACTTTGTTTCAAAGACTTTCAGCCCTTACGCACTTTAGTGATAGCCTCTCAAAATGTAGGAGTGGTGGTAGGCTATCATCTTGCGCCCCTCTTCTCCCCAGTTTGACTGAAGATACGCTTCTGTTTCCAGGTACTGGGGTGCGCAGACGCAGCGCTCGTTGCAGAATTTCAAGATTGGAGGAGCACGGGAACGCATGCCAGAGCCACTGATAGAAGCATTTGGAATCCTCAAGGCTTCTGCAGCAAAGGTTGACCTCCATCTGACTAACATGAAGTGTCTTTTCTCCAGCAATTGTCAAAAGATCTCTTGTCCTAGCAGTGCTCATCTTCTATCGTACCACCCTTTGAGATGACTTTATTTTGTAGCCATGCAGACAAATAAGCTTCGTACTAACAGTTCTTTTGAAACTACCAGAAACTATATCCTATTGAGCTGAGCAAGGTGAGATAAGGAATGGGACCCATTTCATGTATAGTAACCTGGGATGGTATCGCAGCAAGACGATCCAAGCGTCAACGGCCAAAGCTTCGTCCAAGATCTGGAAACGATGCTGAGCTGGATGCATGCAACTTTAAGTAAGAATTGAAGCAGCATAATAAAGCGAAACCAAACTCAACAACAACTTCAAATGATGGCAACCCTGCATTGAAGACGGATGCATGGAGAACAAGAATTTTGACTGTCAGCTGGGACGGCTGGCACAAAAATGGTCTCTCTGGATGCAGGTGAACATGACATATGGCCTGGATGAGAAGATTGGACGTGCAATCATTTCAGCTGCAACCGAGGTCTCTGAAGGAAAGCTGCACGACCACTTTCCTCTTGTGGTTTGGCAAACTGGGAGTGGGACACAGACCAACATGAACGCCAACGAGGTGAGATTGTGCTCGTACACCGACCACTTATACACTGTGGCGAGGCTCAGGAGTCTACAACCATGCCACGATTGATAAGAGGCAACATTCGGGATACGCGAATTGCCTGTTTCTTCACGCAGGTGCGTGAAGAAGAAGCCTTATCTTTCTGAAGGTTGACTTTTCATCAAGTTCGAAGCCAACTCCAAACTTACGAATTCTGTCATAGCGAAGAAACGACCTTGTGAACTGGTGCAGGTCATAGCCAACCGTGCGACGGAGATCCTCGGAGGCCAGTTGGGCAAGATGCTGGTCCACCCAAACGATCATGTGAACATGAGCCAGTCGTCAAATGATACCTTTCCTACTGTGAGCATGATTAGTTGCTTGTTGGATTCTTTGGATATGTATGATATTTCGATTACACTGGTCTCCTGAAGGCCTCCTCCTGATACTGATCTTGGCAGGCCTGATTATACCCTTCAAGGCCACTATGTCCACGGTCTCTGGAGCTTTCTTGATGCAAGCCCAGCCAATTCGAGAGGGTAATCAAGGGCTTGGACATGGTTTTGTCCTTTTCCGCAGGCGATGCACATAGCGGCAGTCCGAGAAATCCATCGAATTCTCCTGCCCAACTTGGAGACGCTCTACAAGGCCCTTTCTCAGAAGGTGAGCACAAGTACGACAAAGCAACTTTTCAACCAAAACGTTTAGGCTCCTGTCAGAAGGCAATATCTGGTCGATTGCCAATGGTAGCATTTAAGTTTTGCATTGAAAACGTTTATGTACTCAAAGAAGCTTACAACCCGCTTGCACTCCTCCTTTTGCAGTCCAAAGAGTTTGAGAACATCGTCAAAATTGGACGCACACACACCCAAGACGCAACCCCTCTAACTCTTGGCCAGGAGTTCAGTGGCTACGCAACACAGGTGATTTCGCATCCCGCACTTCGACAGGACAAAGAAGAGTTGGTAGTTCTGTAAAGAAGTCCGGATGTAGGTTTGGTTCGTCTTTAGGGTCTTACTAAGTGCGAATCTGCTTCCGTCTGAAGCTAAGTATCCTGATCATGCATTTGAACGATTCAGCTTTCTCTTTTGAAAACAAAATTCTTCCGCATGCAGGTCAAGTATGGTCTCGACAGGGTCAACCAGGCACTTCCCCGTCTCTATCAGGCAAGTCTACATGGGCGAGGCGTTTCAATATCGATATAAGCAACTCGTAGAACCTGGCTTTCGTGAGAAATGCCTGAAGCCTCGCTTCTAGAATCGTACTCCTTTACCGATCTAATCTGCTGCTTGGGTGAAACTGTTGCAGACCCCACGACCAGGAACTTGCCACTGCAGGGGATATGAGGAAGATATGGTGTGGCTTTGATAGCGAGGGTCACAGAAGCCTTAAGCACTGGCAGCGTTGGAAAACTTGGCTAACTCGACATTGCCACCTTGGTTGCAGCTGGCGCAAGGAGGCACGGCCGTAGGAACTGGCCTGAACACGAGGAAAGGGTAAGCGTTGTTATGGTCAACCCACTGAGAGAAGGTGCCTCTTTAAAAAACCGAATAGGTTTGGGCTACGCATCAGCAGTACCGGTAAGGTGTTCGTTACAAGCTACGTTGCCTCTAGCTAGCCCTTCGTTAACGTTGAATTGCATATAGCGGTGTGGGAAGGGTTCAGCTGCTTCTCGCTGTGAGCCGTCTCAGATGGAGCCACTTAAGAAGCTACGAGCTCTTTCGCTAAGCACGCAAGCATTCGGAACGGACCATGCATCTACCAAATGTTGCTTCGTTCGAGTTTGGTAAGTGCACGCCATTCGACAATGTGGGTCTACATCCGTGGCGGTGAAAGATTGTAGTAACGGCTTTGAATAGGCGTGGTGGCAAACAGTACGCTGCCGACCTAACTTACAGATTATTTCGTTTGTTGGGTCCAGGTTCGACGTAAAGATAGCGGATGAGGTGTCGCAGGCTACCGGGCTTCCTTTCAAGACAGCTGAGAACAAGTTCGAGGCCCTGGTGAGCCGCATCAGTTGCGCAAAACCATGTATCAATTTGTAGCGGACGGCTGGATTGATTTTCGACCAGGGGTTTGGACGACGGATCCCTTTCCAGTGGGCCTGATCATAGCCTGAGCAGAAAAGGTCGTTGACGGGCGTCGAATTTCACAGCCTATTTCTTTCAACAAGGAATTATCCTCGAGTCTTTGGAACCTTTCAAACGATGTAACCTCAGTCGCTGCTGATTCTAAACGCTTTGCTTCTCATCAGTCATTCCGGGCTCCAGACTCTTTTTCGTAGACTGTGCATTTTTATTCTCGCAGGCAGCTCACGACGCCTTTGTTGAGGCCAGCGGGGCGCTCAACACGGTCGCCGTGTCCTTGAACAAGATTGCAAACGACATCCGGTTCCTCGGCAGGTAGGCCGGCTGAGCAATGGCGTCCTTCGCTCGTTGTCTATTTGGCAGAGCGTGATTGCAACTTACTTTCAGTGCGTGATATTTGAGTCAGTAGGTGGACAGGCTTTTTGTGACGACAACGATAGAGGCTGTATGGGTGCTGGCTGCCGTTGATTGGAGGTGCAAACTAGGAACGAGAGTTGAACCTGGCTTCTGACACGCCTTCTTTACTACGTTTAGCGGCCCGAGATCCGGCTTGGGCGAGCTGATCCTGCCAGAGAACGAACCGGGCAGCAGCATCATGCCGGTAAGGTCTTCTTGAAGCACCACTCGCTGTCTGCTCCCCCATAAGTGAATCTCTACCTCAGGTGGCTGCATTGACGTAAATAACAGGTGCGTAAGATTGCATGAGAGGCACCGTGCTGTTCCTGGCGAAAGCGTTTGAATCAGGATTGGGCACCTGAATGATGAAGTACGTTCGGTCTGAGAGAGCTTCGAAACCTCGTCCAGTCTTTGGTAGAAGCTAGCCACTTATATTTCGGTGCGACATGTGCAGGGCAAAGTAAACCCGACGCAGTGTGAGGCCTTGACAATGGTCGCCGGCCAGGTGAGGCTTTTCATGTTAGGTCCCCGGGACCGTTCACGTCAGAACTTGTCAGACGCGCGCTACCATTGCGATTGCATGCCTTCCACGGCGTCCGTTTTCTCCTTCTATAAGAGCTGAACTGATAGTGTGTCGCTGTTTCAGGTGTCAAGATTACAGGTCTTTGGATTTCAGGAGCTCCGGGTCTGGTCGGGTTCTAGAGTCCTATGGTCTGGACTGAAGCATAAATAGTGCATATCTAGATTCCTGCTTGCTCCGCTTGCAACATTCATTGCGGGGTTGATCTAGTTGGACACCTGACTTGATTGAGGGACGAAATTTGGAGGCTCCTTCACACGGAGCACTGAAACTGCATAATTGCGTGCGGAGGACTCTCAGTTGGCGGAAGCAATTAGACGACACTTTCGTGGGTAGCGTCAAGTGCTGGCCAATGAGCCGAGCAGATTCGTTGATCAGCTCAAGGATTCCTATGAGTAGTCCGGAAGGCATGATCCAGAGTACTACATCTCTGCACAAGTCTCGATTTTACGTTGAGTTACGGCTATGTTGAGTTAACGCATGCCCGGGGGACGGGTGGGGTTGGTTTGGGGGTTTAGGGTGGCTACGGGTGCGGAGCATGTTGAATATTTGGTTTAGGTTTTTCGTTTGTTTGTGCCCGGGGAATTGATTAACTCAACATACATCTAACTCAACATAAAATCGAGACTTATCATCCCTGCAGGTCATCGGCAACCATGTCGCCATCACGTTCGGCGGCTCCAACGGCCACTTCGAGCTCAACGTCTTCAAGCCCCTCATTGCCAGTGCGCTGCTCCAGGCAAGTTTCTTCGAACGGCACGTCCGTCTAAGCAGTCGCATGTTCGAAGACTGCGCATCGAGCAACTGCACAAACTGCATCCTTCCGGTCTCATCAAGGTGGTCGGTTGCATTTCGAGTTTTTCGGTCCACTACCTGAAACATTTGCCCAGCGCCACCAACCGCTATAAGCCGAGTCCTTCGCGCTGCTGCCGATGCTCGATGCTCGTAATTCCGGCAGGCTGCCTACAGCTCTTCTCCGAGTCCGCGGGCTTGTGGAAGATTGCGGTCGCAAAGTGTGGCGCCAGCGGCTCCCGATTTGATCCGTCATACTTTCTGCCAAGTTGGATCTCTACCTGGTGCAACAACATGCATATCTAGAACGCACCGTTTGCGCAAAGCGGCGGCCTCCGTCTCAAGCAACGACGATTTTCGATCTGTCAACGCACTACTCCGTCGACGGGATCTGTCAACTACACTACTCCGTCGACGCTGAGCAGTCTGTTTTCGCTTGGCGCAGTCTGTCAGGCTTCTGGGCGACGCCGCGCTGTCCTTCGAGGAGAACTGCGTCAAGGGGATCCAGGCCAACCGGCCCCGCATTGCGGAGCTGGTTCAGAAGGTAAGAGTCTGTCGTTCCTTATCTCTGTGACTTTCTCGTCCTTCTAAATACAAGGACGGGAAGACTTGAAAGGTGCCGACTCCTGTCTGTAGCTGACGTTTCCTGCCCCTGTTCTTACGGAAGTGGGACTTTTTGGGTTTGACGTCGAAACCCAGTGGTCCAAGCCCTCCTCCCTTCCTGCTCTTCGGTCTCACCCGGTGTTCTCATTAGAGCCGTTTCTCCTGCAGTCACTCATGCTGGTCACGGCGCTGAACCCGGTGAGTTACCTACCCCCGGTGGCCCGGGTTGTGGATTTATGCATGCTCTTCGGGAGGCGTTGCTACGTTGTTTCCATCAATGCTGGAAAGCTGCTACTTGTGCTTTCAGAAGCCTCTAGAGGTCTCACGACGAAGCTGCAAGCTGTCGTATCACAAATGAAGACTGTGCGTTTCATTCCTTGCAATGAAAGCGTGAAATGATTGGAAAGGTAAGGGCAACGCCAGGCGTGATGACGGATCTGCGGTCTTCAGATAGTATGCGTGCTTCTACCGGCCTTTGTAATGCAAGCCGGGCGCCAATCTCAAACTGCCCATGTGGTTCGAAAATTTTCGGTAGCGCCACAAGCTGCTTCACCTCCTTGCGCCTGTGCAGAAAATCGGCTACGATAAGGCGGCCGCGATCGCAAAGAAGGCGCACAAGGAAGGGTTGACGCTCGAGGTGAGCCTTCGGTTACCTTTCCGACTGAGCATGATTCTTTGGAAAAGCTTGAAAGGCACGAGTCAACACCTGTACGGAGCCTGATGAATCCATAAACAACAACAGGGCGTGCAGGGTCCTAATCAGGCAGTGGTCACCTTCCGTTTTGCTTCACATGTTGCATATCCTTGCGTTGCTTTAAGAGTATTCTTTGTGGTGCAGGATGCGGCAGTCAAATTGAACATCCTCACTCCCGAGCAGTTCAAGGAATGGGTCCGCCCAGAGAACATGATTGGGCCTTCTTAGCAGCAAACCGCATTCAATCAGACACTTTCTGAGTCATCAAATTGGGCTAAAAGGTGCTTGTTTGATTGAAACGCTTGCATGTTGAACAGATTGGAGTGGGATCTTTCCGGCTGTCGATAGGGCTGCATGCGCTATATTAGCGGTTGGTCGGCATTGGGTCATGTGCAATGTCAATCATTGTAAGGCCATCTGTAGTGACCTTGATGGCACATGATGACCCAATCAGACCACATGAAGGTTTATCTCTGGTTTAAGGTTATGAAACCATTGACGCACCATGTGAAAGTACGTATGTACATGATATGTATGATGTGGTCTTTCTCCTAGATGCGGTTCACGAAAGTGAAATCGCCATCGGCTGTTGGACTCGCTGAGAATAACACAAAGCATCCTCCTCTTGTTTAGATAATCGAATCAAGGGACTATAAAGGTCCTTCTCCCTTCTACCAATTATTGCCAAGTTTTCCATCCGTACCTGCTACCTGTGTCGCCGCCCGCTCCACCGCCGCTTGGCGAATCAGAGAAAGCAAAAATGTCCGAAGCATATATCAGACAGTCATGGAGCGCCTCTTTTACCCGGTCGGAAGCCACTTTCGAACATGTCGAACGATCTTCGAGCGTTTAACAGCATGCGTACGGTATGTTTTAGGGGGACGCTAATCCGGGCCTTGGGGGATTCTGGAGGAATTCGGGAACGTATTTTGTAACATGGTTGCATTTGTTATAACCCCTGAACCTATATGTGAAGACTTCTGAACGCTTTTTTCCATCTTATGAGGTTATTTTAAGCCCTTTCTGCCTATGTTTCTAGAGTAGAAGTTGAGTTACCATAGTGGGCGTGATCACCGGGCTATAAACATCATTTATTAGCTAATTTGAGAAATTCTGCTAATTGCACCTCTCAGAGTTGCTTGAATTAGCCAAAGTAGCTAATTACAAGAACGTGACACCCCTTGGATCTTCCTTCGTTCATAACATCAAGACCCACGGTGCACGCCCACCATGTTTTCCATCTTAGTTAGCTAATTTGAGCAATTCTGCTAATTGCACCTCCTCAATTGCTCGAATTAGCCGAATTACAAGGTGTTTTGGACTTCAAAGGGTGTCTTGTTTATCCCCGCTCAGATACTAAGAGCCTACAAGTGCATGCTCACCATGTTTTCCATGTTGAATTAGCCTGATTCGAGCAATTCTGCTATTTGCACCTCTGAATTGCTCAAATTAGCTGAATTACGTATTTACAAGGCTTTCAGCATGATTGCGGATGGCGTATTGCTCGTGTTACTCAAATTACGCTAATTATGGCGTGGGAGCTAGCTTTCAATCAACCCCTCTCATGAAGAATTGCTTGATGGCTTGAATTAGGCTAATTATAGGACCATGCAATGCTCTCTAGTGTATGACCCAATGTCAATTGCTCACGTTACTCGGATTAGGCTAGTTACGGCATGCGTGGCCCCTCTGTATCTATCTGGTCGATCGGAATCTCATGATTGCTCAAATTACAAGTAATTTTCAAGATGCACCCCTTTGTATGTATGCCTGAATGTGCATGTTTTCTCACGTTACTCGAATTAGGCTAATTACGGCATGCGCCACCCCTCTGTATCATGATGGTTGACCTTAATTGCTTGATTGCTCGGATTACAGGTAATTTCGAAGGTGCACCCCTCTTTGTATGTATGGATGTGCATATTACTTACTTATCGTGTTATTTGGATAGAATGACTCTCTTACATAGTTTACAAAGGCTTATCATAAGGGTAGCAAAACCCCTTTGATGTGTCTGCATAGAGTATGGGGCCTTTGTGAACCCCTGTTGTGATCCGTTTCAAACCCGAATTCCTCCATAATCCCCCAAGGCCCTGATTAGCGTTCCAGTAATGTGTTTTGGTTATGCAACATATCAACGTTCGACGCTTGTCTTCTCGGCCATGAACGATGACAATGAAATACATAGAAAGAAGAGGCGTCTAGCAGGGCAGCCTTCAAGCTTCTTCGAGCCTCCAAACTTCTAGTCGGCTTCCACATCAACGGCCCACGTTTCGTCTGTACAGTCTGTGTGCTCCTGAGCAGATTGAGTAGGGCCAGTAGGCAATGCAGCTCCGAAACCTCCGGGCGCGTGAGTTAGTAGGCCAATCATTTAGGTGGCCGCAGACGTCACAAGAGCGACTGTCTGCCAGCGCCTCGGGGCTTTCCGGTCGCCAAGGGTTTGTAACTTTGTCGTCATCGTAAAGTCGAAGCAGCGACCGTACCTACGAATCACTAGCGGTCGCGTAGTGCACACTGCACAGTGCACACTGCAACTTGCAAGCCACCACGCCGCCATGGGCCTCAGCATAATGAATTGCTTCCCTGCACGTTCAGTTTCGAAGGCAACAAACGCTGTTCAACACATATAGAGAGTCTTTTGTGTTCTCCATCTCGCGGGACTCCTTAGGCTTGAGCTAAAAATTACAAAGATTCGCACCCTCCAAGCAGGAGGCTTTGGCCGACTGGAGAACCCACTGAGCCATGGCTGCATCGAAGAGGTGAGGACCCTGATTGCAGCTCGCCGCCAGCTTGCCCTGATTCTGTTGTTTCGCCCTTTCTTGAGTTTCTATCGCTGTGTACTTGAGGTATAAATGAAGCTCTTTCGCATTTCATCAGTCCCTTCGTTCCATAGAGTTGTCGATGTCTGCACCAAACAAAGTTGCTGGCACATCATTGAAGACCATTGGTAGTACTTTATCGATGTTTCTTTGGAGGGCCGGTCTTCAGAAGAACGAAAGGAAGCAGCGTACGATTCCTGTTGGCCTGTGAAGCTTTGTCTCTGCAGTCATTGATTGTGCTGGCTCTGCAGGCGGCGAGCTGGAGCTCGCCTGGCTCGGTAGTTCAGGTGGGGTTCTGGAGGATCCTTTATCCCATTGACTGAAGGGGTTAGAAGTGGGATAGTGATCAATTCCGGGGCTCGATGGTCACGGTATAATTGTTCTGGTTCTTTTACGATAAAGTTGCATTTCAGTTTCTCTTAAGCACCTATCCAGCATAAAGGGGGTCAAGATTGTCAATGCTGGCATGCAAGGACACAGACTCTTGTACGCATGCTTGGAGGTGTCTTGCAAGGAAGTTCGTTCCCTGCCAGCTGGCTGCACTGCTTTCATCTATAAAGGCATCATAGTGTTTGCCAGTGAACTACACCTTTCAGGCATGTGGCAGGTAGGTTCAGCAGGAGACCATGAGCTCCTGCTCTGTGTAACGATCAGACTGGAAAATTTGTATGTTGCTTTGAAGTCAGAGCTGCGCTTTCCATCCTGCATCATGTAGTGTGTGTAATCAGCTGTCGTCTTGAAGGGGGTCAACGTTCCTGGGGAGAAGAGTCATGAGCTTCTCTGCGAATCGGTTTGATGTATCTATCAAAACAGGTCCTCATTGTCAACCATGTGGTGGGTGCATTAAAGGCTTACTTTTGTGCGTTTGGTTTTGTTTATAAGAAGGCTTGGAGGATGGCAGGAGAGAGGCAGTTTACAATTCCTTCGACCACAGCGAATTGCGGAGTCTCGCAGGCCCGCTTGCATCACCGCAATGGAAACTTCTCCAACTCACCTCCCCAGAGTCGCTGCTGTGCTGGTGGCCCTGCTCCTGTTCATGGCCGTGGATGCTGCACGCCTAGTTCCTGAGAGCGACCAGGCGGGCGCGCGCACTTTGCTGACGCAATGCGCCACAACGCTGCCCTGCTCGAAGTGCACCGAAGCAACCGCGGACCTCCAGTGCGTCGGAAAGGACCAGTATGGACGCACACTCTGTCTTCGTTGCATACCATTCCCGGGGCCGACACAATGGACCCCTTCGGCAGTCCTCAAGTGACACTAGAGGGAAGAGGCTTTGTTATGTCGACCAAGTGTAAGGCCCCTCTTGAGGATCCTGGTGTAAGCTGGGTAGTACCACACTTCTATGCTCTTGTATGCAGCTTGTTCGCAAAGGGTTTGAAGTGCATGTAGGGGCTAAAAACCTGAACCGTGGTCCCGCAGGATTGTGTATTGGTCTAGACAAACTTGTTTAGCTGCACCTTGGTGTTATTTTTAGACTGACGTTATGTGGGAACGATGTTTGGAGTTCGGAGCTGTTTACAGGCTCGGTCAGTCTTCTCACTACTCAGGAGTCCGACCATTACTGCACTTGATGAAACTCTGGACGGACGTGCCTAGACCTGGCACGAAAAACTGGTGCTCTAGCCTCATTCAAAGCGAAAACGACCTCTTGCGCCCCCGAGCCCTCTCTGAGCCCCCTGCATTGAGGGGGCATGGCTTTCTTTACTGACCTCCTACAAGTCGACTTCACGAAGGACTTGCTCGGCCCGCCCAAGGAATGAAAGGTTTTCGCAATTGCATGGTTCACCATGATTAAGCCTCTTGTAAGAAGATGCTCAAAGGCCAGCGAGGCCTATTTGGGACAGCCGAAAATGTTTCAGATTGTACGGTTGTGACCTCGTTGCGTTCTATCACGTAGGCGCTGCCGCCAGGCCCGCGCACAGCGACACGACCCTGCTACAGCCTTTCAACGATCCATCGACGGCAGCACGTGTTTTGCTTTGCATGAATCGGAGCCGCCGCCCGGAAGACAGTTTTCTTGCTCAGTAACAGCGATGTTCGCGAGCGTGCATGGCGTTTGCCCATAATTGTCTTGGCATCAACAGAGTCAGAAGCTCGTCCACACTTTTACCGTGACGCAAGATTGCGCCGGCGGTCGACCATCTTTATTGTTTCTTGGCTTGACACATGTTAGCCTGTCCGACATTTCGAAAAATTGCACGCCTCGGGCCCTTAGAGAGGAGCGCGTAGCTCCTTTTGTGTGCCCTAGCTTCGAAGTCGAAAGCAGGCGGATCAGCCGCTCTTGATTCATGTTGGCAACTTCTTCAGTTAGACTCCACGCCTCCTCCACTGCCAGAATGACAAGCCCGGTGAGAAGATGGAATACTCGGATTCACTTTGATTTATAATGCCAATTCTAAAATCAGTATCCTTGCCTGAAATGTTCCTACTCTATCAAAATGTGCGTGTCTTCGGTTACCAAAAACACTTCGCACATGCTTCATCTTTATTCAGCGTCAAACCTACGTACTTATCCTCGTACTGCGATATGCCGGCGGCTTGCTTTTGCAATGGACGTTTCCCTGCCAACTTGCTGTTGGTGGCTTATCAACCGCGCCTGCAGATGATCTGCTATACTCCCGTCGCAGTGTCTTAGTTTACAAGAACTTCTTTACAAACGCGCTTGCTTAACACTGCCGCAAACACACTATCCAACTAGCCCATTCGAAAGTATCTCTCTTCCTCACGATGTCCTCCTCACGATCCTCGCCCCCGGCTCAGAACCTTCCAACTACCCTCCTCCTTTTGACGGCAAAGCATTTCGCAACACGATCGACTTGATAGCCAACCTGCTGCATCTTCCTATCTTTGCGGACAGCAACCCCCTCCAGCAAACCGGCCGACAAAGCAACACGAATGACTAGTTTGTCCCTACGGCGATCAGGGCTGCGATTGGCAAGCACCAACGTCTCCTTTGGTGCAATCTAGAATGCGTGTGTTGATGCCCACTCCGCCGTTATGGCCATCGACCAGTCGGGACTCCCGACTCGGCTTCCCGCAGAAAAAGCTTCTTATTCTCTTCTTTCTGGCTCCCAAGCCGGACCGCGTCAAATCCCCGGCTGACGTCAACACCCGTATCGGCTACTCCGAGCAACCCGCCCTAGTCTTACACCACCGAAGAGACTCGGCGCAAAATCGCGGTCGATATAGCGACCGGCTGACGCGTACGCAAACCATCGGATGACTGACTCACCGGCTAATGGGCGCAGCCAATTGACGTATGTCTATTCGATTAGCTACGATGGAGGCAAAGGGCTAAATGCATCTGCCGACCGGCTTTTAGGACGGAACCCGACAACCGAAGTCCGTCCGCAAAATACCGTTACCAAGCCGGCGACCTTATTTCGGCCGATGAATAAAGAATATGAGCCGGCCGAGATCCTCCTCCGACCGATTTGGCGGCCACAATGTGCACCCGACGTACTGCTGCTCAGCACGCTACCCGATTAACCCGTCATCTCGAGCACACTGTCCGGTAACCCGTAACCTCGAGCCCGCTATCTGATAACCCGTCCCCTTAGCACGCTCCCCGATAACCCGTAACCTCGCGCACACTACCAAATAACCCGTATTCCCGAGCACGCTGCCCGGTAACCCGACCCCTTAGCGCGCTACCCGATAACCCGTCATCTCCCCCCAAACAACGGCCCGCGCGCGCTCGCGGGCCGTCCGCGCCGAAAGCGGCCAACGGACGCCACGCCCACGTCACTCCGGGTGGAGCCAATCGGCCACAGCTTCACCTCCCGGCGCAGAGCGTCGTCGAACTCGAACGACCGTTGGCGCCGGTGCGATCGGACGGACGGTCCCGGCGCTGCCACGTGGCGGCCCCTCGCGGAGGAGGATCCCCGGGCGTCGCTCTCGAAGGCGCTGCTGGACTCGTCGGTGCTGGCCTGCAGCTCCGCGAAGTCGTAGTCCCGGCTGACGTACACCTGGGGGAGGGAAGGTGACGTGGAGGTGACGTCAGAGCACGGCTTGTTGACGTGGAGGTGACGTCAGCGGACGGGTTGTGCAATGCCGGCGCGCAACTCGGCGGAAAGAGGGAGGCTGCTTTGGATTGGCTCGTTCTGGCCGAAAACATCTTCTGAGCGTCTCGTTTTGGCGTGTGGACATTCAAACGGCGGGGCGCGGAGGCAGTATTCCATCGAAGTCACAAGCATACCACAGCCCAGGGTGTCAAGAGCGGTCGCTACGACACAAGGACGCATCTGAACTTTTCGCTCAGCACCTCGTCTCCTCCGAACAGTCCGCTCGCAGGTCCGCTCGGCGAAGCCCCGCGCTAACCGTGAAATCAGCTAACCGAAAACTCAACGAAAAGCGCTCTTTTCTAACAAGCAAGAAAGCGACCAAGCGATAAAAGCGACCGAGGAGGCGCAAAAGGCCGCACTCAAGCCAGGCAACGGCGCGCATCCCCACCTGGCCGGAGGGGGTAGACTTCCAGCCGTCGTGCACGGACGGCGCGCCGGTGCCCTGGTCGCTGACGTCATCGTCCTCGTCCAGGAACTGCTCCTCGCGGTCCGACGCGAAGTCCGCATCGTCCGCGTCGGACAGCGGGCCGTCACGTTCGTACAGCGGAAACTCGTCGCGTAGCAAGAACGCGGTGCGGCTGCTGGACGGCTGCGGGGCGGAACGGCGGAACGACGGAACTTCAGGGGTTTGCCACCTTGGGATTGTCTTCGTGCCTTTGGAAATATAGCCCCGCAGAAACCGAAGCTTTTATGCACGTCCAAAATGAAACGAGAGAAACGAGAGCCGTCGAGAGGCGAGGTGCTCAGAGACCACTGCGAACTGGAACGACGGCCTTGCAATCGAGGATGCGTTTTTCACCCATCTATGAAGTGAATGAAAACCTGAAGCCTCGAAGCTGTGACTAAAAGAGGTGAAAACCCACAAACTGAGCAATTCCAAGATCGAAAAAGCTTCGAAACCCTCAGACAAGGGCTGAAGACATTGAAACTGGACATCTGGATAATACAAAGCATAGCTCTGGGAAGCCTCCCGAGCCCTCACCTCGGTCACCAGCTCCTCGTCGTGTTGTCGTGAGATGACTGGATGCTGTTCGCCCTCCGAGTCTTCGGACGTCGACACAAGCGGCATCTTTCGAGGTTTGGCCTGCAAAGCCAGACATGCGCTCCGTCAGTCCGTAGATGCAACTGAGTAGCATCTTTTGAAGAGCGCAGCGTCTCCCCACCTTCTGAAATTTTCCTCGGCCCTGACTGTTTGCTGCGACTTTTCTTACTCCCCCTCCTCCTTTTACTCCCTGAAGCGCGTTTCATCCCTTAGCCCTCCTTTATCCATGGTAAGATGCAGTATGATGCTTCTCGTGCAACGGCGACTGAGAGGCGTTCGTTTGCGGGGTGTGTGACACAAATACTGAAACGAAGACGTGCCTCTCAACCCTTTGGCTGGCACGCCTTCGCATTGGTGGTTTGCTGAGCACCGTAAAGGGCCGTCTTGCGCCAAGAAGTGCTCGAAAGCAAGCCGACAGCGGAATCACATCGCGTTCATCAGATTAAATAAAACCGCGGAGAAGATTAAGGGTCTGACAACTTGGGTTCTTGTGGTCACGCCATCTGCATGCGGTGGGCGAACGACTGGGGGAAGACTTACCGGCGACCTTTGCCTGAGCGATATCTGCAGCTCGTCGCTGCTAAAATCGTCCGGCTCGCAGTAGTCTGCGGCCGCGGGCGTGCGCTCGCCAAAGACCTGCACGAAGCAGGAGGACACGTGTCCGTCAGGGAATCCCCACAGCGAGGGACTTCCAAACGGTCAACGTTGCTCAGGACACCAGGTTGCCAGCACGAACAATGTGCAAGGCAGATGCCAGGTAGGGTGCAGTAAAGGGTATCTCCCAAGTAAAGCTAAGCACTGAAGATTGATTCTCTGACACGGAATCCCCGTAACTTACTGAGATGTCCGAATTTTCAGCGTGACAAAGGTGTGCATCCTCTGGGACTGCCAGCTGTAAGCACGACCAGAAAACGCAATCAGTGTTTGCTCGCGGTCGATGACTGACGTTGCAAAAGCCCATCACTGCCTTCCAGGCGGGTAAGTTGTACGTTTCCAAGTGCTTGGAGGCCTCCGAGGCGTTCCCAGTTCCAAAAACGTCACCGCACACCCAAACCAATGCACGGCCTTATTTCTGACTTGGAGCGTGACCAAGCAACAGGAATAAAAAGTTCCAAGTTTCCCCGCAAAACTCGATGAGTCGAAGAGACCACACACGCCGCACAGACATGGCCCCACCTCTTCCAATTGCGGTGCGCTGCGCGCTACCCCCTCAGCCGCCCGCGTTCCGGCCCCCCTTTCCTGAGGCGGAACCACGGTTTTGGGTCTGCCTGCAATCCCCATTAAGCTCGTCACGATGTCGGTCATCAACGGACGGTGGGCAGGCTCCGGCTGGAGGCACATGGCCGCGATGGCTGCCACGTGGCTGACGTCTCGGAAGGGGTACTGGCCTTGCAGGTGCGGGTCGGTCACGTGGGCCAGGCGCTTGTGGTCGGTCACCAGAGACATAGCCTATGGGGAGGATGGAAAAGGGGGTTAGGGTTTCGAAATTGGGGTTTGTGAAACCGAAGCAGCTGCCTATGAAAGTTCAGGTTCAGAAGGATGCTCAAAACAACTAGTGGGTTACGTGGACCAGGAACGTGGCTTAGAGGCGCAACGGACGGAAAAACGGAGAAAGGAAAGGGCTGCGGGCGATGCGTGTGATTCCGTCAGTGTTGCTGAGAACGACAGGAGGACAAATTTGGTCTGCCGACTCGATAGAAACGTCGGCTTATCAAGTCGTCTGGATTTTGCGGGAGACAAAGGTTGGCACGAAAGATGAATCTCGAAAAGACTCGAATAAGCGCATCGAGGTTGACGACGCATTTGCATGGCGAATTGGTAAAGGATGCCGTTCGGCGCGTAACATTTTCAGGGGGTCGCAGGTCAGGTTCTCACCCAGGCTACGGGGTTTGCCCCCGCCGGGTGCTCTCCCGTGATCAGCTGCAGCAGCATCAACCCGTAGCTATACACGTCACTTCGCGGCGTGGCCGTCCCCGTGAAAGCCGCCTCGGGTGCCACGTGGCAAACGGCCCCTCTCCTGCCGGTGCTGGGCTTCGTCACTCCAAACGCCGAAACTTGCGCCTGGAATCGAAACACGAGGGATGCATCCTACTCGATTATCGGATTACGCTGTCCCGAAACATTACCAGATTCAAGCCCGATTTTGAAGCAACACATTATGGACTTCCAACAAGCCTCCTCCCTGATTCTTTCACCTCTTTCGCCAACCTTTCTCAGTTGCTAGAAAGCATTTCCTTGGCTTCCCCTCCTGCTTTATCTTCCTCTTCTCAATGCTCTCCCCTTTCACCGCAATATGTTTTCCGACTGCGATCCATGCTTCCACCTCCTTGCTTGTCAATACATGAATGCTCAACCTTTCTATGTCGCCTTTGTCTCACAGGCATTCGAAAGTTCGCAGTCCTTGCGCGAGGTTCCTTTTCCCTCCCTCTCCTCTTACCGTGTTGGTTTGATCCAGGAGTACGTTGGTCGCCCTGAAGTCGCCGTGCACCAGCCCTTTCTCGTGGAGGCAGCCGAGTCCCCGAGCGCAATCGAGGGCGACCTGCACGCGCGTGTCCCAGTCCAAGGGCCGAGGACTCCTGGGCGCACCTGAAAACGGCACGAAAGAAGAAGGGCGGTTGAAAAGGTGCGGCTTTTTGCGGATTCGATTGACAGAAACTCGAACGTTGGACTCAGTCAAGTGGCAGTGATAGATGTCCCTCTGAACAGAAACATTTAGATTGTGGAGAGAGCCCAGAATGGCCGTTGACTCTGTTTGATACGGTTGACGTGGCGTCCCATCCAGCGGCCGTTTGCTGAACCAGAGTTACCTGGCGCGTCTTAGATCCATTGCCCACGAAATCCGTCAAACAAATTCCGATATCCAAGTTAGATTCCTTGACCCGCTTCAAAACCAAAGGATGCTTTCTTGAGAACTCACCCGTTGTACCAAGGCGTTCTTCCAGGCTGCCGTTCGGCACGGAGTTGAACATGAGCAGCCGGTGAGCGGGACTGGAGGAGTAGCCCCAGGGGGTCAGCAGGTGCGGCGAGCTGAGCTGGGTCATTATTGTGGCCTGCAAAGGGGGGAAGAGAAGCATTTAAACATGTGTTCGTAGGGAATTTTACAGTGGTTTTCCAACAAAGCAACTAAGTCCAAAAGAGGCGCATACAACGGAAAATCCTGCAATCCAGAGTCTCCAGCCGTTCGGATGGTTTTTCCTGTTTTGGTCGAAGGGGTCAGGTAGCCACAGTCCCCAGACATCTTTCTGGAGTAGGATTGAACGAATGCTGCCTCCAGGCAAACTTTGTCCCGAAGCTTTGCTTGCCTTCCACTTGACAAAGAGTTGTAAGCTTCACATACACTGATTCAATTCAGCACCCCATGAAGAGGCTGGGTGAGTCCTTACATTCCCACCGTGGCGCCGGAGAATCGCCAGGCCTCTCGATAGCCAAAGCCTGCCTTGCTAAATTAGAAATGTTCTCACAAATTCTCAGATCCAGAATTTGCTCCCATGCCGTGCAACCAACACGGCGGATTCTGGCGGCTGTGACTGACCTCGGTCGCAAACTCTTCCTTGGCCAGCCGCACCCAGGCCCCGCCCACTTCCGCCAGAATGACCTCCCGGCCGTCGGCCAAAAACGCCCGGTGAACCGAACCGGGCTGAGCCTCGGACGCGGACTGCTCCCGACTCGCTTGTTGCTGCTGCTTGATTCCCAGCAACTGCAGGAAGCGAATTTTGCAGACGACGTTATAAGTGTGACGTAATAGAGCTTCGAGTGTGGCTTTAGTGTCGGGCAGCTTCGACTGTGCAACGGGTTTACATCGAACTTTGTCTCTGTGAATGTGAATGATGTTGGGGCGAAGGGAGTTGACTGTTGGGAAAGCATGAGGGTTTCGCTGCTGAACGAGCTCAATGGTCATGATGCAGAAGCTGGCTACTGAAGCCGTTGCCGTTGCTTGAGGTTTTGGCTGTGTAGTTCTAAAACCGGCTGCTGTATCATGCTTCAAACGAAGTCCTCTTCACGAAAATTGACCCGCAAAAGTGAAGAGCTTGCTTTGAGAATCTGGCCATTGTACGGGTCAACACAACTGCATCTAGACGATAGAGCACGACTAAAACTATGCCAGACTCAAACCGATGTCGGCCACAGAAGAAGGATACCTTGCATACAAAAGGTCGCAAGATGATTCAAGCAAAAGCGGATATAAAGTTACCTCCTCCAGCTCCGAGGCGAAACCTTCCGCCCCGTTGTACGAGTTGATGACCAGCGGGAGCAGGCTGGTGACGACATCCCCCATCAACGGCCGGTACTCGCCCTTGGATTGCAAGCAGAGGGTCGCGATGGCCGCCACCTGGCAAAGGTCCTTCATCGAGTAGCAACCCTCCAGGGCAGGGTCCACCATCTTGGCCAGCCCGCGCTTGTCGCGCAGCAGGGGGAGTGCCTGGTTTAAGGGAGGGGTACAGAGGGGCTAGTGGGTGTCGAAGCAGCTTAACAAGGGGGTTGAGGAGGTGAGCAAGCTAGGGTTCAAGGGAAGCGGTGGTTGTTCAGCAAAAGGGGCCTGACTAGGCGCGGGTTAGTCTTTGCCGGGGAGGGGTTTGAGGAGGTTAGCAAGCGCCTTGAGCAGCTTGACGCAAGTGGAAACGCTTGATGAGGGACCCGGTTACTCCCGCCTGTCACTGGAAGATCCGAGCTTTTGAGACTTACGACAGATCGATTCCCATCTGGGCGTTCTGATTGGCCAACATTTTGACCCTGCAGGCAAGCAGGTCGGGCTCGGTGGTTCCGGACTCTTTTGGAACAGAGGCCGGTTCCGTTTCTGAAATCGCAAATGCTCCCACGATCAAGCAACGCCGACCCGCCAGAGCCGCAAACCAAGCTCCACGATACGGAGAGTATACTCTCATTACCTACTCGTAATCTGGAAAATGCATTAGCCGTTCCTTGCCTCCGAATCTTGTCCTCGAGACTCACCCACGACACAAGTGACCGTTTCTTCTTCAAGTCCAGCGGCGCGCGCCCCGTGATGAGCTCCAGCAGCACCACCCCGAAGCTGTACACGTCACTCTTGGTCGTCATGCGCCCGGTCGCGGCGTAGTCCGGCGCGCAGTAGCCGTGCGTGCCCAGGACGTCCGCGCGGACCTGGCCCCCCGCCGGAACGCGTTTCGCCAGGCCCAGGTCGGCTAGCTTCGCCTGGAAAATGTTTCAGCTTAGGCTCTCAAGGTCTGGCCTAAGGATTTGGGTTACAGGGTTTGAGGCTCTTGAGAGCGTTGCTACAGTAGTGTTCTAGGGTCCGAAAGCGGTTCTAAGAGGCGACTGTGGCGCTTGGGAAGCCGAGTTTCTGACTCGCGCGCTTGATAATGGTTGAGTGAGAGCAGGAGTAAGGACGATGTGCAGCCTTCTTTGTCCATTTCTCCAAAGCCCCGCGGTCCGATTTGATGATCCCTTGCAGTAATGTCACGAGGGGCCAGGATCGCTGAATGGTTGAAAGCACCGCTGAGATTTTGGTGCTGTCAGTCAGGGCATCGATTTCAAATGAATCGATCTATGCACAATCCAGGGCTTAAAAGCGGTCAGAGTCTGTGTCAGCTTTTTATTCCACCCACTTTCTAGCGTTTGAAGAGTACTCTGCAAATCGTTCGAAGAGATTTGCAGGCTTCCTTTCTTATCAACTTTCAATTGCGTTTTCCTAAGCCAGGAGGGGAGGCACATGTTTGCCGGACGAGGACAGACAAAAACGTCTCCACTCCTGTTCGCAACCAGACTAGATGGCCGAGAAAATCAGTCGCAGGCTCCCAGCATCGACGGCGCATGCCGTGCTCACCTTGAAATCAAAGTCCAAAAGAATGTTGCTCGACTTGAGGTCTCCATGAATGACAGGGGGTTGCGCCACCTCGTGCAGATATTCCAATGCACAGGCGACGTCCAGAGCGATCTGTAACCGTGCGGGCCAGTCCAAGGGGGGCCGGCCCATCATTTTTTCTGCAGGGGAAGGGCGACGCGAGGTTGAGGCTTGGACCGTCAGTGTACACATGGTCTCCTTGCTGTTTTATCTTCCCTCTTTCAATGAAGAGCTGGTACTTCGAGGTCGCTTTTCAAATTCGTTCTGGACTTTCACTGCTCTTCCTTCTGGTCGAAATCGACTCTGCTTCGTTCAGGGTTGATTCAGTAACGTCTTTGTCAAACTTCGGTCTGTTGGACTTAGCCTCGTGCTCACCCCTATTCGTTCTGATATTGGTCCGAGTTCGTCCCATCTCAATACTTCTCGTCTTCCTTCGACCTCATTTCGACCTTCCTTTTGATCGGATCCACAATTCCATCTCACCATCGTCCTGCCAGAGTTCTCATTCCCGTGTGTCTCTAGCCTGTCTCTGATTACCTGTCGTTTCATGTTAGCAAATTCGAATTCATCTGAGCAAGAGTCACGATTCTTACCATCTCGATGCAACTGGTCTTGCAGGCTCCCATTGCGCATGTATTCGTAGACCAGCAACCGCTGGTTGCTCTCCGCGCAGAAGCCCCACAGGGTCAGCACGTGGGGGGACCTCAGCCTACTCAGCATCTCAACCTGGAAGTGTGGTACAGATTGCTTAGTGCTGTTCCTGCTCTCTGCGCTCAGCCAGCTTAGCATAGATCAAAGTAAGTTAAGATGTTTTCATTATGTCAGCCTAATATTGAGCTGGAGCTAGATAGGAACAGCAACAATCAGATCGTGTGCAGCATCAGCGGCTTGTGGATCAAGCCTGATTGACAGGAGCCCCACTTGACACGTGCTAGCTAAGCAGGGGCTGGTCATTACAACTTTCACTCCTTCACCACGAACCTCCTCAGCAAGCAGTCACGAGCACCAGCTTATGTCAGCACGCTCGCTAGGACAAGCTTCCAACACTATGCAAGCTGAGGTCCAGCATGCCCCTCACCTCCACCCAAAACTCCTGATCCCCCTGCGTCCTGCCTCGGTCTAGTTGCTTCACCGCCGCCACCCGGCCGTCTGTCAGGACTGCTTTGAACACCTTGCCGAAGCCCCCTTCTCCGACTAGGTCTGCCTGGTGGAACCCCCGGGTGGCTAGCTGGAGTTCCCGCAGCTCAAAGACTTGTGAAAGGTAGGCATGCCCCGACCGCAGGGTGGGATAGTGCAGACTCCAGGCTGCACAGTCAAGGTTCAATAAGAACTGCAGCACTTGAATGGGATAATTCTCTAGGGAGACTGCAACAGGGGGAGAGAAAAGTTGTCCGAACATCACTTATTGATCAAGCTGAAATTCAGTGGTCCGACTACTGAGAGAGGTTGACTAAGACATGAGAGTATTACACAACAGCTAGCAGGTTACATAGGAGTCAGGGCAAGGACTGTCTGCCAGCAGTCATAGCGTGTGCAAGTGCTCACTTGATCCTTCCGCCGCTTTTATCAGAACATGGTCTTCCCGCTCTGTCTCTCCCCTTCCTTGCCTGGTCCACTCCGCCATTCGCCGCCGTGCTTCAGCCTGCAGTGATCAGCCTGACGTCAGCACAATCCAGCGCAGTGAGTGCATTCCAACAACTGGCACTACCTCTACGAATCTTGTACTTGCAGGTTTCAGAAGGGGCGCAATGTATTATGCACTAGGGGCTCCCCAAAACAGACCTGCATCCATTGAACTCTACTGGTCTTCCATTGTCAATTCTACTCGCTGACACTCAGAGGCTTATCTTCCAAAGCATGAGCTCGCCACAGATGGCCGAGTGCTCAACATTCGCCGTCTTCGGGGCTTGAAGCTCTGCCTCACACTGAAGGCACATGCTGCGCACTAAGACCATTTTCCAAGCACTTGCTATGACAGCAGATACGCAAACCAGTCGAGGATGGACACAGGATCTCGGGGGAGTCCTCCATTGCACACGAGGCCAGGCCCTCCAAAAAGAAGGCCACCAGCAACGGCACTGCCCCATGATTTGGCCTCGTCTTTGGCACTCTCTTTCCACTGGCACGAGGGCCCCAACTTGGCTGCCAAGAGAGCATCTTTTTCTGGCCCGCACTTTCTCCGACAGTAGGTGTTGCCAGCGGAACCATCCAAGGTCTCAACATTGAGCCCCACAAGGAAGACGTCACCTTACCTTGTCGTCAAGAGCTGTCCGCGGCCTCTGGAGGTTGGTCCAGTTGACCAAGTCTGCCAGCTTGACTTCTCTTGAGTTAGCCTGCTGCTGCGCCGCATTCTGGCGCAGTACAGGTGCGCTCCCTGTCCTTTGGGGGGGTGCAGTGCCCGGGCGTTGCACCCCCCCCCTCGGCTGCGCACTGCCCCCACTGAATAACCTCTTGAGGAACCCCATTACAGGCGCCCGTTCTGCATGGGCAGTTCTTCAAAGCTTCAGAGCATGGTTGTTTCTCTTACAGAATTTCCCTTTGTTTCGCTGCTTGGGATAGCGCGCACGCCTGATAAAACAACATATATCACCGTAACAAATGGCCAGGTGTCAAAGACCAATTTTGCTGAAGCAGTGAGCGCCCTGCCCCCGCCCCCAAGATGACCGCCCCAAGATTTAGCTGTGCAATCACTGCAGGGAGAGGAACTTGTACATTACGTGTTGTCAAGCACAGCGTTGGCAGAAAGCGGTACCTCTTCCATCTGTCCTTCAGCGTACACCTGTCACTGATCAAACCAGTGCCATGCTGCTTATCAGAGTGCACTGGTGTTTTGGGGAGATAGGAAGAATTGCCTATTGATCTGGGATGGGCTATATCAGGTAAGGACTTTTCCCCAACTTTTCCTTGACCAAATAGGCAAAAGCGGAGGATAAGCAATCATTCAGCAGCGCCAGGCTCTTGGATGCACACTGAAAAATGCAACAAGCAGGCGCAATGGGCAAGAGTATTGAGGACTGCGGAACAGGGCGTTACAATGATGGCCCGCGTCCGCATAGCCCTCTTCACCAAGCTGTCTCCAAAATTGGGCTCATCTTACCCTGCCCTTTGTATATACCAGCCCTCCATCAGTGTAAGCTGCTAATGGACCCGTAGCTTTGCAGCACTGAGTTTCTCTCAGTGGAGCAGGGTATCACTGCTGTTCTGTCGTTCTTCTCGAGTCAAACGTAAACTTTTGCACTACCAGCTTCAAAGTAAAAGAATTGACCGTTGAAGAGAACTTGTGCATATGGCAGAAACCAAATCTGGTTTTCTTCAGAACCGCTCAATTTGTGTGGACCCGACGAGAATGTGTAAAAGGGGATGGCGCTGAAAGGTCGAGTTGCATGCGAACACAAAGGCCTTTGGTGCATTGTACTGATGTTGGAAAAAATGTGCCCATTCAATCGCCCAGGTGTCTCTAGGCTAAAAATGTGCTGGACTTCTGAATACCCAAAGTTTTCAAACTGGATCTCCTCTCCTAGACAAACAATCAATCAAGCGGCATAACAAGGATGGTAATTGAATTCCTGGCCCCATAACAAGCTTATTGTTTGACTCTGAATGCATTTGAGCTTGGGAGGTTCAGCCTGTGTGCCCGATTAGTTTCGCCATGAGCCAATTCAAGTTGGCATACCTGTAACCACTCGATAACACTGATGCTTTGGCATACCCGGCCCTTACCAGGGATAATGCATTCAGCGCCTAGCCTGGACACTATACCAATGAAAGTATTGACTTCTAAAAAACCAGAAAGGCTTCAACTTGGACTCTCCCAGTTGCAGTTTAGCTTAATGTCCGCCTTTGCATTAGACTGCTAAGCTGTGGGCCGGACACCGATTGCTGATGAATCGGCATTCTGAGGTTGGAAGAGTCACTGCCCAGCATATGTTGGGCAACGCAGGGGCCATCATTAGGAGAGTGATACGATTTTCATGAGTGGATCCTTTGCAATCTGATGTAGCCTCAAAGTGAGCGATTGTGGGGGCTATAGAGTCATTCGAATACAGTAAAAACAGAGTTTTATTCTGCACCACCAGTGTCAACAGATTTCACAGAAGGAGCTACAACGAATCCAATCCACAGCAAATAAAGACAATCTGCAACGTGTCTGCAATGCAGTGGCATTGGCAGCTTACCTGACAATGAGGCCTCGTCAAGGCCAGATCAATGCACGCCTTTATAATTTTCGCTGACTCGCGAAGCCGGCTGGGCATAACCCGCCCTTTGTAATTGATAAGCGGCTGCGCGCCACATTGGTGAAATACACTTCAATGCATGGATTTTGTGATGTAAGAAACTCTATAACGTCACTGGATCTGAAGATGCACCACCAGATTCATTTTACGAAGCAGCTGCTTCCTCAGCCTGCTAGATGTTCAAACATGTGTTTTCACACCTGGAGAAACTGGTAATGTACCTGGAGAGACTAGCTTTCCAGCCGCTTCGGAGTAACAGCTGAACAGCAGCTCACGAATCGGCCCCACAATGTCACTGACTAACACCCCAAAGCCTTTTCACTCTTTCTCTCAAAACCCGACCACGCCTGCATGATTCTTCTCAAATTCAATCAGTGCAGCGAAGCTCAAAAACGGGCTGTTAGAGGGTTCAACGCCATTGAATCAAGCACGGAATCAGCAGGCTACAAAGATCATCACATAGGTAGTTAGGTGGGTAGTCTGGATCTAGGTCGGTAGGTAGTAGCCTCCTAGGTAGGTGGTTCACCGGTTCACTGCAATCGCTCCGCGCGGCGCCAAACGTGCCACTTGCCGAAAGCTGCGAAAGCAGCATGCTCTCAGCTTGGCACCTGGCAATGGACGTGAGCTGTTTCATGGGACTGAATCCCCAAGTGAAATCATCCTGGATAGGATTGTACGGTAGTTGCAACCACTCAGCCACTCACAGTCACAATAGGTAGGTATGGCCGCAGTGCGGCGGCACTGCGTACCGTATATGAAGCCCAGGACCTCAGGCTCAGGCTACCAAGTTTCACCAATTTCAATGACCTACCGTAGTGGCACGACCCATTCGCACCAAGCCCTTACGAAAATTATTTTTTTTCCCTTTCTGATTTCGCACAAAGGTTTTGGGGGATATTTAGTTTTCGCACGAGAGCAAATTTGTAGTGTTTTAGCCTATTTTTACGCGATTTTAGGCTTCATTTGGGTTTATTTCCATTTCGCCATTTCGCACCAAGCTCAAAATGATTTCCGGATTTTTTCGCACCAAGGCCTTACGAATTTTTTTGGTGCGAATGGGTCGTGCCACTACGACCATAACCATAAACTCTAATAGTAATAAGGATCTTAGGTACTGAAGTACTCAATTTCTTGGCTTAACCAACACTAAAACCCTACGAACAAACTCACCTGCTCCGCACCCGAACCCACCCTAACCACCAAACTAACCGCACCCGTACTCGTGTACCTTAAGTTCCTTATTACTATTAAAGTTTATCCCTATATGACCTACCGGGATTCCATGCGCACTCCGTAGGTACCTATCATGTACAATGTGCATTTGTGCATTTGTGCATGCACGTTTGTACAATTCAAACGTGCCGGCCGGCGTTTACCGCAAACGCCAAATCTTCAACCTGGGTTACGAATCTACAGGAGGGTTTAAGTCCTTGCAGATACCGCTCCCTCTGGTAGCTTTCGGAGACCAGCCTACAACCAAAATTGGGTTAGGTACCTACCTAGTTTGTTCCGAAGAAGTTTGAGAGAAGTTTGAATGCAGAAACGTCACGACGAGTCTAGGGCCTACTAGTGGGTAGGTAGCCAGCGTGCGAACTCGAACATGCAAGTTGGTACCGTAGCATACCATGCATTACTGACTCACCGGGGGCACTCCGACACAGCCCACAGGCTGCCCGCAGTAGGCCAACGTGCGGTGGGTACTCGGGCCGGGGCATAGGTAGGTACTAGGCAGTAGGCCTAGGGACGTACCTATGGTACCCGTGACATTGGAGGTACGGTACGTTCTAAGGCAGGCTGTAGGCATGTGTACCGGATACTACCGGTATCAAGCAGTCGGGACAAGAAATCGAATCCCGGTTATTGAGGTTGCCGGTCTCCGCTTCCGACGGCGTCTCCTACTGCTCTGGAGATCGTAGTGATGCGGGCCTGTTACAAACACACGTAAGCCGTCCGTACAGGCGTACCTTGCAAAGCTAGGTAGTGTCAAGTCAGCCCGCCTGGAGGCTGGACTCTGGGGATCCTCTGGTCCTGGTAGCCACATGGAGCAACATCACACCATTGCCCGGGGAGTTGCGCCCGAGTTACCAATATCAGCTGGAACCTTTGAGGGTTCACAGTGCACCACTGTCACCAGTCAAAGGATCATGGCTGGGTCGTCATCCCTCACAACGGTGACAACCGTTGTGATACCAGTATGCCACTGTAGCATTTCACGTGGCAAGTAGGTACAATTCTGTACCTTTTGCCGTACAGCCGTAACTTCTCAACCTCATGATGCGCGAGATTGGGCGGCCGAGAAGCCTTCCCGATATCGCGGAAAAGGGTGTGCGTTACAGCAGTTTCCGACACCGACCGGGGCCTCGCGGCAATCATTGCCGCCTCCGACTCTTATGACTTGTCTCTGTAACCCGAAAGCGTCGGTGGGGCTCGGTTTGTAGGCTCCCGACCTTTTCCAAGGCATCATTGTGTTATTAAAATTATCCACCGGTCTTGATCGCCGGGGTCATAGCCTCCTTAATCATTAATGCAACAGGGTTAAGTTTACAGTTGAAACTGTTGAGTGTTAGGTAACCAGACCCCATGATTGCCGAACGTAGGCAGACTGTTCCTTCTATAGGTTGCTCACCGCTCTAGTTCCGTTCATGTTTCCGGCCCTCGTTCTGGTACGGTAGATTTGTCCAGACCGCAGTCACAGCGGAACGGAATGAGCAATAAAACTTTAATTGGACATTTTTCCAGGTCCTCAAATTTGACAAAGGTGCAATCAAGCCAGCGAATGCCCTGTTGTCAGTGTTGAGAGGAAGTGGCAGGCTTGAGCAATTGCCTGTCAAGGATCGACCTTTGTGTTTTTGCGGCATTGGAGGCACCTCGCAGAATGACAAAGCCGCACTATGATCCTGTTGGCTCGGTCGCCGTAATTGGAGCAGGAGTCAGGTATGCAGACCGCACCACCCCTTCATTTGCCAAGCATGTGGTGTTCTCATTCAAGTGCGGGACTTAAAAAGATCTCTGCGCAATTGAGCGACGGGCACAAGTCGAAGATATGGGGAAAACGAGCTGTCTTGTGTGGAGCTTTTTGCGCCACCCCCCCAAACGCAAGTGCAGTGTGGGTGAAAGTCACATGTCTCGGCCATCGGCCAGCATTGCGCGTGACTGCCCCGTGGAATGTGTGCCTGGGCCAACCAGATTGAGGTGTTAAAAATGCTTTTCACGATGCTGCTGCAATTCACCTGTACCACCTTTCCTCTCTTCTATCGTAATAGGTGCAATGAATGATAGCCTGCTTTCTAGCCAGATCACAGACATTGCTATGGCTTTGACTGCGCTTGCTTGGAGAAGTCTCGGCTTGCCACTGTTCGTTTTTGACACTTACATTCGCGTCGCTCAATGCACATTCCCTTGGATCATGCCAAAGAATCTACCAACAGAGTGCTCAATCTCACTTGTACGACAGCCTCTGGTCCACAGCTCACGTTCCCACAGTTTGTGAAAGAAACAATCTGGGCTCAACAACTTTCAGAATAGAGGTCTTTGACGTTCGGCGTCTTGTGCGCGCAACAGACTGCTTGCATGTCCAGAAGTGGATTGTATTCATTGCATATTACAATTGGACTATAAAATCCATCCGGACCTCTCGCTTTCATTGCAGCGGCTTGGCGGCTGCTTACAGGCTCAACAAGGAGGGCGCTGACGTCACCATCTTTGAGGCAGGGGATCATGCAGGGGGGGCAATCCAGAGCTTCTCAAAGGATGGCTTTGTTTGGGAGCGGGCGGCAAACACTATGGTGAGGCGAGCTGTCCTCCTCGTTCGCTCAAAGTATTGTTTCTACTTCTCCATTTGGCAGAGAAAGCAAGGCTTCATTTTCGCCCCACGGCTTTGGGTGTCAGTCTTTCGGGGCAAAAGACTGTACTTCGTTTTGAAGGTAACAAAGGGCATAAGGCCTTTCTTGTCATACTAACAATATTGGGTGCCCCAAAAAATCCAAATTCTGAACACCGATTTGAGTGTTCATGCTTGCTGAAATGGAGATAGTAACTACCAGCTCTTCATGTCGGGCTCTTGGGACTTCCAAAGAAGATTTGGAAGTAGAATCCGTTCATAGAAACAATATCACTTTTTGAAAGAAGAGGCAACGAGCTACTTTTAGGGCGACTGCTCTTCAAGGTCAAGCGAAAGCACCGTGTCTCAAATAAGAGGGAGTGAGCTGAGATCCTGCTGACGACATAGCATACATCCTGACGAGGTGCATGCCTTTCTGCAGGCTGAAAACGACCCTCTTATCGGTCAGCTGATTCGGGACCTGAACATTGAGGACAAGCGGATTTGGGTGAGCCCTGGTCTCTGAACATCGGCACTTCCTTTTAGTTTTTGAGCTTCGTGCCAAACGAAGCTCGTTGAGGGCAGTGGCGATGCATGCCTGTAAAGGAATCCGCTACATCTGGCCAAGTTTTGGAGCGGACGAAACAGGGAAAGTTTCAGAGTAGCAAGGGGAGCTTGACCGCTCTGCGAAGCTTTTCGTTGTCCAGCAGGACTGTGGAAATACGCCGCTTCCTCGTTGCTTTGGGAAAGCTCTCTCGATCGGGTCACGCAGGTTCCCGAAAGGCCTTGTTACTCAGAGTAAGGAAGCCGGAGTCCTTTGGTTGATAATGCTTCGAATTGAGATATCCGCGTACGAAACAGTCTAAGAACCCAACCAATACCTTAGGAGGGGGGGCCGGTGGGGCGCAGGTCCCGGTGACTCCATATGGGCCCACTATGTTCTCGTTAGACATGGTACTCCAGAGCCCTACCTGATCCGGCATATAACTCTCGTAGCGACTGACATGCACACTTGCAAGTGTTGGCGTTGCCGCAAAGCACGCGCGAGCACGCCGTTTCAAGCGACTCTCCCTCTTTCGAAGCTCGCTCACTCGGGTCTGTTTTCTGTGGCCAGCCCGCCAACGCAAACAAGCGCTACATCGTGAAGAACGGGAAGGCTGTGCAGGTGTGGTCCACGCCTTCTGTTTCGTCTCCTTTCTTCTTTTCCTCCTCGAAGTTTTGAGGATGGCGTTCGGTCGGAGGTTTTGAAATAGGAGCTCCAACTTCTTTGATCATGTCGGATTAGTATGACCGAGAATCTGAATCAGTAATCCGCATGGACTCTGAGGTCGGCCCTTTGATCGGCGGACAAGCGCATCCCTGGCTTTTGACGTTCTCGACACGAATGGTGCTCCGTCTTTCACGTTCTGGGAATAAGTCGCGGCCCTTCCCGTGTCTCGTTTGCACTTTTCCGGAATCAGGGTAGTTGAACACTTGAGTACATCTCTGCAATCGGACAGATAGGCCGCCTCTTCGACTCTCCCTTCTCTCGCTGATTGAAGCCCGTCTGAACGCCCCTTGCAGGCTCCCGCTAACCCCCTCGCACTACTGACCAACAACCTGCTGTCTCCCGGCGCAAAGGTAAGCAGGCCGCCGTTCCATTTGTGCGCCCCAGGACTATTCTTGCACAAAGAAGAAAGCTCGCTTCGAAGCACGTCGTATCAGTTCTAGTTCACTTCCACCGTTTGGTTTTTCGATACAGACCACAACGAAAAAAGAGTGGAGCGCAGAACGCACTGTTTGGTTGCTTTTTCCGTGGGCTGATAGACGTCCTCCGTTTACTTTGCTCGTCTCCCGATTCCATCAAACCAGCGAGGTGCGGTTTCTGAAGCTGGGCTCGTGCATCCTTGTAACATGGATGCACGCTTTCAGATGTGTTGCGGTGGGAGCTTCCGTTGAAGAGTTTCAATTTTTTGTGGGAAAAGAGCACCTGTAGATTTAAGTTGATCAGGTGGAACGGGTGGAATGGGTAGAAACGATGTAGGATTCAGCGGGTTTCAATGAATGTCTCCAGTCGATTTAGATTATTCACATGTGAGTAGCCTCCCTGAGATTGCGCATGTTATCCACCGGCCTCCCAAATCAGGTCGCCGGTAGATACATCCGCTGACCTAAATGACGAATGACTGACGTCATGTTGCAGCTGAGAGCGCTGGCGGAGCCCTTGATTTGGAAAAGAAAGAAGCACGCGAAGCAGCAGAAGGGGGAGGAGGCCCACGGGGAAGCGCAAGAAGAAGACGAGAGGTGGGGGCTTTTCCGCAGTCTGCTTGTGGGTTTTGCTTTCAATTGTATAGAACTTTCTGATAAAAGATGATTTGAAAATCTTTTTCATGTCTTTTGAGCAAAGGGTATTGTGAAAACACCCGCAAGACCGGCCGTCTGCAACGGTTTTGAAGTCGATCATGACGTGTGAGACTCCGGATTCACCTGTTCTTGCCCGTTTGAAGCCCCGAAATTGCTGCGACCCTCCGTCCGGAATCAGCAGCAATCTTGCACCTGCAACACATCGACAATTCAACCCAAGCATTCCGAGCTTCTCAAATCCGGCGTACTTTCGTCGGACACCTGCGGAACGTGCTGCATCGTTCACACTTGAAGCGGCAGCCCTTCAAGCCAAGCCGAACAATCGTTTGCTGCGCACACGAACTCAACGTGCCGAGTTGCTTGAAGAAGCGCGCGAACCATCAAGAAGCGGCGCCCTTTACGAACTAAAGCTTTCCTGACGTGTCCAAAGGTTCCATTTTGCAGCATAGGGGACTTCTTGGAACGGCACGTGGGGCGGGAGGTGAGCCATCGAAAGTTTCAATCTACGAACTGTAAGTGTTAGGTATAGTAAGGTTGCCGGCCTAGGGCGGGTGGCCTTACTTGGGGGATGTAGACTGGGTAAGCGCGCAGTGGATTACTACTAGGATATTCGTAACAAGGTTTCGTACCCATACCTAAAGAGTATGAAGAGTGGAGGAGCCGCCGATCTCCTCGGAGTGCGGGCCTTCCTGTAGTAGCGACGCTCTTCTGAAAACGATTCGCTTCTGATTGACTTTTGCGGTGCCCTGAATGCATCGCCAGCATAGAGGAGCTTCACAAGAGCGTTGTGGTCTGAATCGTGCTGTGACGTCATCTTTTGTTAAGCCATCGTGCTTTGATGACGTTGCAGCCGGTGGAGTATCTGCTGGATCCTTTTCTGGCGGGCACGTCGGGGTCGGACCCCCAATCGACGGCGGTGAGTCTGCGTTGTTTCGATCTAAAGTGGAGGAGGGAATCGCAAAGAAGACTTTGGTTTAGGACAAAATGTGCCATTGAGCAGGTGTAATGCAGATTCTTCGACAGCTGAACGCTCGAGAATTTGTGCGCGACACGCTAGAGAGCTGAACGTCAAGGAGCGTGTCTTAGTATTCCCGTTCTGGAGAAGCGGATGCTATTTGCGGAGCGAAGAATTTGTGCTTCGGTCCGCCGCTTCATTCATCTGAGTGATTATTGCTGCGTTGTGCTTGACTGAAGCCAATCCTCGCTGCCGTACAGGTCAAGTATGCGTACCCAAACCTGTATGACTGGGAGGAAAGGTGAGAAGCTAGCCTCGTGTAAAGCCCTTTCTCCTCTTTGTGATACTTGCGTGAGAGGTCTTCACCAGATTTCGGAGGGGTCCAGCCCTTCGTCCATGTACGCTTGGAGTGCTTCAGCCTTTCGTTCACAGCGATACGGTAAAAGGCCATCTTACGAAGGACGGCATCTTCTATACGACAAGAAGACCCTTCATTTACTTAGCAGGAACCCGAGGCCCTGTAATTTTTCCTTGCCAAGATCCCTTGTCAACGTGAATATGTTCCTACAGAGTTGCCTCGTTTAGAAGCGGTCGTTACTCACCCACATCGCCCCTTGCAGCAAGGGCTCCCTTCTCATTGGCGCCATCGCCGCCCAGCTCTCCAAGAAGAAGCCGCAAAGCAAGGCACATGGCTCGTCTAAAGTTGCGCCAGCGGGCTCCCAATCTGACGGCCACGTGGCAGACAAAGGCAAGAAGGGCAAGCGGCACCGAGGGTCGTTCTCCTTTCTGGATGGTATGCAGGTAGGCCCTCTTCTTTTGTCGCCCTCAAATTTTGTTTGACTCCTGGCTGGTTGTGCGAGAAGATGCCTTCTCGAGAGAGCGCGTGGTCTTCTCCGCTTCGAGAAAGCGGGTGTGTTCCTCCGCTTCGGACTCTCTGTTGTCTTCGTGGATCCTTGTGTTTCTGCCGACTTCGAATGTCAGTGGGGGGCGGCCTCACGTGCTGAATCAATAAACTGCCTGTTTTGGCCGTGAAAAATTTGTAGTAGGGGATGCTATGCCCCAACTTTATCCTTCCCCATTTTGCTTTCAAGACCTGCTTGCTGTCCCGAGATGCAAGAGGCGTGTCAGCTGGGCTCAGAACCGCCCTCTGAACTTGCGCATCGTTTGCTGACATTCTAAAGTGGCTGAGCTTCGTCGAAGCCACAAGCACGTTGGCGAAAGCCTTCTGTTCTGTCCAGTAAGCTTTCACTGATTTGGTTGTACCCTTCGACACAGTCAAGGAACATATTCAAAGAGTGCACTGGTCCCACAACTCTGACTTCCCCTGCCAGCGCTCCGCTTGCTCTTGGAAACAGTCGAGAGACTGAAGAGAAAGATTTCACGTTGGAACCACATTTTCCGCAGCGGCGTTCAAGTCTCCCTTCTTCCTGAGACACGCAAATAGCTTCCATCTGTTTAGCTTCCTCTTGTGTCTGTCTCTTGCAGACGCTGCCAAACGCGTTGGCAGATCACGTGGGCCGGCACCGCCTGAAAACACAGACGCCCGTGACGCGGCTCGACCTGACGGCGGCCGGGCCGACGCGGCGCGGGGACTGGACCGTCGAGTATGCGGCACGGCCCGGGAAGAGCGAGAGCCGGCACTTTGACGCCGTCCTAGTTACGGTGAGTGGGGTGCCGAAAGTTAAGAGTTTTGGGCCTTTTTGATTTTGGGGCCAGACCTTCGGATGGAACATATCGCCACCCGTTTTCTGGAATGGGTTCCTGCACGAGAATTCGGCATCGACAGAATGCATCGATTATTCTTGAAAGTATTTTCGACTTGCAGGTTTTGGACGCGCCTCCCTCGCGCCCTGGAACTCACGGAAAATCTGTTCCCGTATGCAGGCACCCCTGGAGGACGTTAAGAATCGCATGAAAATCTCGAAGGGCAACCGGCCGTTCTCTTTGGGCTTCATACCAAAGGTGAGAAAGCCATGGTTGCCCAATTCTTCGCTTACTCGGTGCGACCTTTCTACAACAGACACTCAATTCCTGTGCCATGCCTCTTCCGCATTTTTGGTCAGCATCAAATCTCCTTCTTACATCCGCAGATCACTTTTCAGCTAGTGACGGTCTCCTCTTTCCAATTTAACCAAAGTAGTCACACTGCTCAGTGCAGTTCATTCCCGCAGGTTACATGCCAGCCCGTTGAGCGCTCATCTCGGTACCCCAAATGCTTGTTTCTTATGGGCCTTTCCACTCTGCAGATTACATACCAGCCGATGACGGCGTTGATACAGGGCTTCAGGGCGGAGGACGTCAAACAACCGCTGGAAGGATTCGGCGTTCTAGTCCCGAGCAAAGAAACCGAGTTCAAAACCCTAGGTGAGCCGGTCACTTGGGCTCCGCAACGAAGATGTAAAAGCAATGTAAATGTCCGCAACAGCACTGTGCAAACCTTGTTCAGCTTGAAGAAACCGAACGGTCGACAGGTGTAGTTGAGATTCTTGTTCCGGCTCCATCAGAGGACAACTAGCAACTCTGTAGCGGTCAAAGGACTCAAGGGAAGGGCAGGAATCTCGAGGGTGTACTGGAGCACATCGTCACGATCTCAAGAAAAGGCGTAGCGCAATCGAATTTCGTAGGAGGCTCACAAAATGGCCTCGAAAGCGTCCAACCATTTTACGGTACCTACAGTCTGCGCTACCACCTTCGCGGTTTGCGCTTCTTGAAACCTCGCGTGTGATTGCATGCCAGTTGAACAGATTTGCAGACGAACGTTTTGCTCAGACTACTGACACCCTAGCCGACAAGCCGAAAAAGATGACGGAAACATTCGTGGCGATGTTGCTTGGGAGTCTTCAAGGACTATCTTTCTTCCCTCAGGTACTCTGTTCAACTCGTACATGTTCCCCAATCGAGCACCGTCCGGGTTCGTGACCTTCACCACGTTCATTGGAGGCAGCCGGCACCCCGAACTGCCCGGCCGACCAATGTAAGCCCTCGTTTCCCCTGACCGCACAAAGTCCCCGATACTAGAAATTTAGAGACAACACATTCCGTACGTCGCTGGCATGCTAGAACTCCGGCTTTTTCAGAACCAAAGCCGAGGAGACAGGAGACAGGAGACAGCACCCCAGTTCCAAACACCCTGCGACAACCTTGGATTGATGGAAGGACGAGCGCTCTACTCGGAGCGATCGTATCTGCCGGGAAGTATCTGGGCGGTGTTCGTTTCGTGATGATAGTGCACACTCTTTTGTGGGCGCTTTGGGGGCTTTGGAAATCCTGCAGAAGATGTCTTGCTGCACCAACGAACGTGCTCTTTGGATGCTTTGGCACGACTTCATTCCCGCGCTCTTCTAGCAAGCGGCGTAATCTGTTTCACGGCTCCTTTTCCGGGTTCGGTTTTCCGGTCTCACTTCCGCCATCTGATTCCGCACTTAGGTTCCGCTTTCATGTCCTTGATTGCTTTTTGCGAGGCGCTCTGCCGTCAACGGCTCACGTTAACGACTGACTTCGTCTCGGACGCAGAGACGAACTGAAAGAGGTCGCCGCACGGGACCTGCAAAGACTGCTCGGTGTCGAAGGAAAACCGGCATTCTCGCAGTGAGCATTGTCAAGTCTCGCTAGACCCTTGTGATTCCCTTGATTCAAGTCACGCCGTATAAATCGTTCCCTAGCTTCGTGAATGGATGTCCCGGCTTTGTAGGTTTGCCAGAATCCAAAGTTGCGGCAGACTGGGACGGCTCGACTTATAATATAGACGTTCCAACGAGTGACCTGACAATGCCTTGAGACCACTGAGCACCTGCAACTACTGAACTTGCGACGCTTGCAAATCTGAATCGTGAGCGAAACAACCTCAAGTCAGAGTGCTTGTACCAATTGTGTTTCTCTGACGGCGCGCTGACGTCGCTCAAACGTTCCCAGGCACATCTACTGGGAGAGAGCGTTTCCTCAGTACGGCAAGGGCTACGGCGAGGTCCTCGAAGCGATCCGCAAGCTCGAGACGGATTTACCGGGGCTGTATGTAGCCGGGAACCATAGAGACGGTTTGGCGGTCGGGAAAGCGCTCGTTTCCGGTTATGATGCTGCCGGCAGGATCTTGACGGACTTGAGGGGGATGGTAGCAGCCATTCCGGCTGTGAAGTTGAGTTAGTCATCAAAGGAATTGGACTCTGAACATGCAAACCTTGGGGTCACGCATGAAGTAGGATTTGGTCAAAAAACCACTCGTCGAAACTGTTTCAGATTGAGTTGCGACATAGGCGTGGATCGGGGCTCCGACGTAAGGAAAAGTGCGTTGAGGAAGTATCTTAGCGCCGAGTTCGTCCTAGTGAAACTTCAATACTAAGCCTGATCGTGTACATGCCTTCAAATCGATGTTAGGAAATCTATACCTTGACAGACTTTAGTCTACTTGTAGTACACGCGTTGTTGACTGACTTCGGTGGACTTCAGTGCTCTTGAGCTGCTGAGCACTTCGCTCACGTTTGAAAACATACAATGGTCCAGTAATTCAAACTTATCGGTTGCAATGCTGCGTTGGATGCATGGCGCAATTTGTCTCAGCTGCCCATCAGTGAGCATGTGGGTCATTGCCATGTAACAACCTGCTATGTTCCATTCGATAGGAGCAAGGCGGCATTCATCAAGAAGCCTATCGTTTCGCATCATTGCACTGATGGAACCGCGTACGTGCCTCATGTCGAATCACGACGGTACCGTACTAGAGAGAGAATGGATTAAGTGCGCGCGGCCTACATACGCATCCAACCCACTAGTTTGAAATAAAGTCTCGATCAAAAATTCAACCTCATGCAGTGCGCCGCCCGCGGCCAGACATATCATAGTATACGTGCAACGACTCAGACTTCGATCAATCCGGGATCGACGAACGGTCGCAGGTAAGACTTATATTATAGAATGCGACGCTTCTTAAGTCTATGCTCATGCACCATCCCGCCGCGGAATGTAAACTGGCTTGCTATGTTGCGCATGTAGCCTGCTGCAGCCGCATCACAATACGTATTTTGTTGCGCCAGCAGATTGCATTTGGCACAATATGCACCAGATTCCTCCGCACAGTCAATTATGCATAACTGCACTGCAACTGCGACTCATAGGAGCAGAGTTGAAAACACTTGGGGTCCGCATCATGCAGACCGCGACTTGAGAGGGTATCCTATATCCAACTGGCAACCCTTCAAGCTCGAAAACCAGAAAACTCTCAGTCCTGCACTAGTTAGCTTAGGCTGTTGAGCGCAAGCAACTAACATCCCTGCATAAAATACCCCTACCTGGAATGGTCAATCAATATCTCAAATTTGTAATCTCTCTGTAACCGCAAATAGATGAATCAATCAAGTTTCTCCGTCTACTCAGCAGACATTAGCACATCCAATCTGCACGCTGAAAGGAATCAGACCCTAAACAGTAGTTCCATTTGACTCCGTTGCCACTTCTCTCCGGGTTTGTAGCTCTCCACTTCTTCTCGTGTTCGTTACCGCCCCTCACTGCTCGAGGAGCATTTGTTATCGGCAGTCTGTCCGTTCCCAACTGTCGCCCCTGCTTTTGCGTGTCCGCAGCAGGCACCGGACGCCGCTTCTTCGTCCGCGTGCTTATGGCCAGACACGCAAGCCGGCTTGAAGAACCGGCTCAAACCGTGCGAGTGCGCGTGCGAGTGCCCGTGCGAATGACTGTGAGAATGGCTGTGCGCTGCTCCGCCGGCGTGCTTGTGGTCTCCCTGCTTAGACTCATGTTCGTGTTTGCAATCCGACTTATCTTCGTGCTTATGTGTGTGGTTATGGCCGTGCTTATGTCCGTGCTTATGCTTCTCTCCGTGACTATGTCCGTGCTTATGACCGTGTTTCTCCTTCCTCTGAACCCCCTCCCCAGCGCCCTCCCCGCAGCCCCCCTCTCCCTCGCCACAGCACGCCTTCGCCTCCGACTCCGCCCCCCCCCTCCCCTTCGCTGCAGCATCCCTCACCCCCCTGCGCGTTCTCCCCACAGCCCACCCCCTGGATGCCGCAGCTCTCCGCCACGCAGTGCACACCCCCTCGAGGCGCCGGCTTCGCACGCGTCAGCACCCGCAGACTGTTCAGAATGACGACCAGGCACGTGCCCACGTCAGCGACAACGGCCAGCCACAGGGCGGCGTACCCGACGAACGCGAGAACTAGGACGACGGCTTTGGAGCCCACGGAGAGGACCACGTTCTGGATGATCTTGGCGCGGCAGCTGCGCGCGAGGACCACGGCGCGCGCTAGCTGGCGCAGGTCGTTAGTCATGAGGGCCATGTCCGCAGTCTCCATCGCGACAGCAGAACCTGGGGGGCGGGGAGCGGACCTCATCAGCAAAGAAAACATATAGCGAATGCATGTTTCAAACATCACTGGCAGTAGCAATCGCTTCGGACAAAATGGATAGATTGCTGTAAGCGCTGATGTAGAAGCAGCCCTTAAGCTCAAACCACCCAAGACCCACTCCTGCTGAACGACCCCTCTGCTTGTCCCTCAGCGCCAACCAGTCCCACTGATCAACCCCGTTCGCCAAGGCACCTGCGCGGAACTTGTTGACTTTCCAGGTTTAAGTTAAGGACAGGTCTTTCAGACTGACCTGCCACGCCCATCGCAATGCCGACGTCAGCGGCCGCAAGTGCCGGCGCGTCGTTGATGCCGTCCCCAACCATGCCTGTGACGCCGGACCGCTTAAGCGTCCGAAGAACCGTCACCTTGTCCGCAGGGAGGAGCCCCGCATGGACGGCCATGCCGGAGTCGATCTGAAGAGGGCAAAGACTCTCACTCAGGACTTCAGTCACCGAAAAGATGATCAATGCCTTCTTCGTGGACTTTCGGGAATCCCGTCATGTGCTAGTCAGTGGCCGCTGAAACTGGCATGAATGGGCGAGGTCGAGAACACGTCGTCAAAAAGCCAGCTTACGGTTCCGATGACTTGCTTACGATACGCCGAAAACCGCAGCCTTATGCAGGTGAACGGAATGGGTCACTAGTCTCTGCTGCGACCGTACGAAAAGACGAGTATAAAGCGCTTCGGGACGTTCGCAAAGACTCCCGAAACATCGCCTCAAAGGGATCCCTCACCTGGCTCTTGATCGCCATGGCCGCCCCCACGTTGTCGCCCGTTAGCATCGCAACCTGCAGGCCCGCTTTCTGCACAGACAGAGACGTGAGATTGTCAGCAATCGCTTGCGAGTACAAGAGCAAGAAACACTAGGAGTGTGCGGAGTCACAGTTGCCTGCTTAAGTTTCCGTGAAAGCTTATCAGTAAGGCCTCACGGTGCTCAACAACCGGCTAGGTGAGCTTGTCAAATGAAGAAGGAAGAGAATAGACTCGTCAATTAAAATAGTAAGGAAGTAGACCTGTCAAGTGGAGAAGTAAGAAAGGCGGTGGACGTGTGGAAGAGTGCATTGGTCCGGATCCGTTGGGAGTGCACCTAAGGGGGTGCATTATACAGGCAGTCGTTGCACCACCTCCAGATTGAGTGCACATGCTACACGTGATACGCCCGAGTAGCACCCCACACCCACTTCTTCCAACTTCGCCACAACCACTGGTTCTCATTCTCCCCTGCGGGACTTCCAAAATAAGTAGTTCGGGGTCGGCAGTTCCAAAGCAACCTTTCCGCCGAACGACTCTGCCGAGAGGGAAGTAGAAAAGGGGGAGCGTTGCGCACCTTGAAATCGCGCACTGCCTGGGTGGCCTCCGGGCGCGGCTGGTCCGCGACGCTGAACACGGCGAGGGGCTGCTCGTCCACTCCCAGCCAGCCAACGGTACCCCCCTCAGACATCCAAAGCTCCAAAATGGACGGGTCCACAGCTGCCACAATAAAAGAGCAGTAGTAAGGAGCGGGACCTTTTCCGCGCTCAGAAACAATGAGACAAGCAAGTACGAGACCTTTCTTACAAATAAAAGAATGAGGCAGCTTAGGAACGCAGTTTTTTGCCCCAGATTTTGTTCTCAAACCCTTGGCTCATGAAAGTAAAAGCAGCTCTCCTTTCTCCTTTCGTCTTCCGTCTTTTGCGTATCATTTTGTCCGGCAGAACGGTCCTCGACCTTTGAACTCGACTTTCAGCCCATGAGGCAAAATTGTGGGTTCTCTTCTATGAGAAATACTCCCTCAGCTCAAAGAGGGCTTTGCCCCACGTGGGTCTCGTGACAGAACCCGTGGAAGGAGAACGTGGACTACAGTTTCCATTTCGGACCCCCACACCGCTTGGTACGGTACTCTGTACGCGCGCAACTAGTTACATTCTCTGTAAGAACACCGGTCAAAGCTTTTGGCAACCGGCGACACCGAATGCGGTGTACGCATGCTGACTACGCGAGCCCTTGGTGTACATTCGACCGGCCGGTCGACCCACATCAGGAGTACAAGGTTACATTAAACGGTACGGTTAGGCTTGAAGTTACACGTGGCGACCTGAGCTGCGCTCGCGCGCAGGGTACTACGCGGTGTGGGGGTCCGAAATGGAAACTGTAGTCCACGTTCTCCTTCCACGGGTTCTGACAGGCAGCAATTGCAGTGTGACTAAAAATCTCTCTGCGTTTTTGCCTTTTTCTAGCGACCGCCAAAGCGGATCCTTGGCTCACTGGTCGCCTAAGAATCCAATTCCACGAAACCTCTCCTTTAAAAAACGAGCTTACCGCCAGTCCACCCGAGCCGCTCGGCCGTCCGAACATTGCCCACGTGCACACGGCGCCCCTGCACAAGCGCCGTCACGCCCTCCCCCGGAAGAATCTCGAAGCCGGCGGTGTCAGTACTGGCCTCTACTCCTTGCAGTCGCGCGTATGACACCACGGCAGCAGCCAGGGGGTGGCTCGACAGGGCCTCGATTGATGCCAACCTGGAATGAAGAGAAGTCTTGAGTCAGGAGACCTTCCAGAATCCAAAGTTGAAGGATACTAGGTGACGAACTGCATTAAATCGACCGTCGGTTTCAAACACTGTTGTTTTGAACGTGGTGGTTGTCCGAGAGCAAAGCCCTCGAGATACCCAATGCATCTGTTGAGTCCCCTTGGATGATTGCAACCCTCAAGCGTTCGAAAGAAGCAGACAACTAGCGGCCTGATCGTGCAGTAGGATAAACGCAAAATAAACTGACAAAATAATAAGCAGGGGCATTTTGATGTGAGGAGCATTGGACATTCGAAATGTGCTGAATATCATTCCTAGATGAAGGACCTGCAGAAACCAGCATGCGGTCGTATCTTCGGCCCCTCGTTGGGTCGTTCTTCTGAAGGCAACAGGACAGCCACATTAGACGGCCGCAAAGACCTCAAAAGTTGACACTCACAAAAGGCAAAGTCGAAAGTACCTGCTAACATTTTCCCACTTTAAAGCCGAACTTGGGAACTCCCTCACCAGAACAATACCTCCTTTTCGTCGGTCTGCCCGTCCAGCGGCAGCACTTGCGCCACTCGAAAATGGCCCTCGGTCAGCGTTCCCGTCTTATCCATGGCCAGAACTTTCATCCGCCCGAGCGTCTCCAGATGCGCGCCGCCCTTGATCAGCACGCCGTTGCGCGCCGCCTCCGCGATCCCGCACACCGACACCATCGGCGTCGAGATGACCAGCGCGCACGGGCACGCCACGACGAGGAGAACTAGAGCGAGGTACAGCCAGTGCTTCGGATCGCTAACGCCGACCGCGAACGGGATCACGGCGATGAGCACCGCGGCCAGAACGACCGCCGGCGTGTAGAAGCGCGCGAACTTCTGGACCATCCGCTCGCTCGCGGAACGCGCGCTCTGGGAGTCTTCAACCAGGCGGACCAACCGGGCGACCGCCGAGTCTGCCGCAAGGGCAGTCGTCTTCACCCGGAGGAATCCCCCGAGGTTCAGCGTCCCGGCCCAGACATCGCTTCCGGCGTGCTTCGTGATCGGAATCGATTCACCGGTCAGGCTGGATTCGTCCACGGCGGAGGACCCGTTCTCAACAACGCCGTCAATGGGGATCATCTCGCCGGCACGGACGGAGAGGAGAGAGCCGACGGGGACGTCCGAGGTGGGCACGCGCTGTCCGGTGTCCGCGAGGACGGCGGTGTCAGGGGCGAGCGAGAGAACAGCCTCGAGCGCACAGCGGGCCTGCAAGAGAAAGAATCCAGATCTCAAATTACGGTCTAGCTTCAAAGAACAGCCTCGAAGTATTTTAGGCGGAACACCTACATAGTTGGTGGTTATCGTTCGGGGCGGGCCCGAAAGAAGAAATGGAACACTGCCTTACAGACTTGACATCCGATCTTGTCGCTGCAAACATCATTCAGCGACAGAGAGATGATACGCATTGCCTGGTATGCATATCTGAAGGATTTCGCCGGCTTATGTATTGGGAACTGGCTCCATAAATGACCGGCACAGCGTGGGCAATCCGACAAGCGTTTGCTGCCAAAAGCAACACCAAAAACTTTGCCGGAAAACAACCCACCAGACCGCTCGCTCATACCATTCCATCAAACCGCTATAGGAATTCGAAGTGCGCTACTTCCTTACCCGTTCGGAGGTCCGCCCCTCGAGCCAGTCCGCGATCGCAAACAGGAACACCACCGACGCCGCCTCCTCAAAGTCCCCGAGCGCGAGCGCCCCTCCAACCGCGATCGTCATCAGCGCATTGATGTCCAGCACGAAGTTCCTCAGCGCCGCTAGACTCTTCAGCAGAATGGGCGGGAGCCCGAGCGCGACCGCCCCGAGCGCGACCCACTTTATGGGGGGAAACGCGTACTTAACGAACGAGACTGCGAGCAGCACCCCGCAGAGAATGACGTTCCAGCGGGGGTACCGCTGCAGGGGGCGAACCTGCCCCCGGGAATGGAGACGCGCGTCCAGCCGCGCCTCGTTCAGTGCTTTGACGAGCTGGAGCTCCGTCGCCAACGCAGGATCGAACAATACCGTCGTGGTTTTCGCAGGGACGTTGACGGAAACCTCCAAAACCCCGGGGAGCGGTTCCAGGATCCGGTGAATCAGCGGGACCTCGGACGGGCAGCAGATGCCGAGGACGTCGAGAACCGTCTTTTGCACTGCGGACGGCCCCCCCACCGCGACGCTGACCGCTTCCTCGATCTCCTGAGGGGGACGTTTCGAGGGGATGCTGGCGAGGATTTCGGACTGGGGGGGTGTTGGGCGCGGGGAGAGTTGGATGGGTCCCAGAGGCGGTTCGGTTTCGTCTGGGGGGTTGTCGTCGGCAGGCTCGATAGAGAGCGCATGGTAGCCCCCCCGCTGAGGGCTCTCGTAGCTGAAGATGTCGAGCAGCTTGCGGCGGCGGCGGAGGCCTGTGCTGGGGCTGCTGGGCTGCAGAGCAAAAAAGAGAACTTGATATGTAGTGGGAGACTCAAGAGAGTCGTAGTTGAAGAGCACGAAGTTGGGGGAAACTGGGCGGATTGAGAGGTGAATTTGACAAACAGAGGGCAGGGGATTAACCGGGATGACGTCTGTGCGGATGCCTTCTGTCTTTTGAGCGTTTGTTTTCAGCTCAGGTGCAGAAAGAATAATGATCGGTTCTATCACCTTCAAAGCCGACAGCACGCAAGTCACCTCTCATCAGGAAGTCATGGTCATTGACGATTGTCTCCAAGGAGCCAAAGCGCTGTCCAACGGTTGCCAACTCCTTGACCCCTCAAGCCTTAACAGCGATAAACCGTTTCTCACCATGTTCGCGCTGCTGCTGCTGCGAGCGAGCGCCTCCGCATGTGCTGCTCTCATCCCCGGCTCCCGAACCAGCCTCCCATGATCGTCAAAATGCGCGGTGCCCTTCGCGTCCAGGTGCGCGTGGCGGAGCAAATACGAGCCGTCTTCTTGGGGAACCAGAAAGTCGTAGTGATCGCCGTGAGGAATGCGCTCGTGGCCGCACCCATCGTGGTGCGCATGCTCGTCTTGAGTGGAGGGGATGGGGAAGCAGGCGGCGGGGGCGAGAAGGGACATCGGGAGGGCGCAGCTCGCGGTTGCCAGGAGCTGCAAGCAGGGGCTTATTTGAGAACAGTCTTGGGAAAACAGCGATATACCAAAAGAAGAAGCTTCAACCTACTAAGGTGGTGCAGATCCTTCCTGGCCTCTTTCCTTGCCGATGTTGGAATCTCTCTGAGCGTACTTTTGAGAGACTGTTTCCATGCCCTGTGAGGTACCCTGGCATACCTAGCTTTTCAAATGGGAGATACAAGGAGAACTCGTTCGCACTCCCTTCTTGAGATACACAAATCCTTGAATGACAACTTATGATAGCACGCATCATAGATTCTATGTATTAAAACGGGGAAACTTGGGGAAGTATCCACAAGAAAGGAGAGGATGCCCCGGAGTGTCCAGAACAGGGCCCTGGGATTCCATAGAAAAACTGAAGCGGAGGAGGAGACCAGTGATTCAGCAGGCCGAGGAAAGAATGCTTGAACAATCGTAATCCCAGCCGTTGCTTAAGTAAAATACAGTCAGTCGCCGACAAAGTCCGGCTTAGACAAGAGAACAAAGAAACAACACCGGACACTGTGACAGGGGTCATCAAAGAGACACTTGTGGTTTGTTGAACTAGAATCCTGGTTCAGAGCTCCAAGCAGATGGTAGTAGTGCCTGGTTCTTCCCATATGATATGACAGTGCCTCCTGGTTGTCCGGATTCTTGGCTAACACTACATCCAGGTTCAGAGCTAGCAGAACATTCAGGATACATGTAACTTTGCCTCACCTTCGTGAGCTCACTTGCGACGCCACCACCCTCATCATGACTGTGTACATGAGGGGCCAGGCACACGTCTGGTGTCATGCAGGTGTGGGGGACGAGGCACACGTGGGGATCCTCCTCGAGGCAGCAGCCTTCGGGGAGCGCACCAGTGGCCAACGAGAGCGTGCCAGATGGCGCGTGCGCATCGTAGCAGAGCTTGGCGTCGGACAGAGTGGACGGCGCCGCAATGCACATGAGCCTGCCGTTCTCAAGAATGCCGACGTGGCCGTCGTGCTGGACCTGGAGTTTGGGGGATGGAAAGTTTCACATTTGAAGCTCATAAGCTCAGCTTACAGCACCAGAACATTCTGCATTCTCCAGGATGGCAACCTGAACAGTCTGCTGGACCTGGAACGCAGGGGATGCAGGGTGTACATTTGAAGCTTTGGAGCACAGCTTGCGCATCTGAAGCTTATAGCTGAGCTTATCCGGATGTCCGGATTCTATAGCATGCCACCATCTTGTCTTCCTAGTACCGTCACTGGCAAGTTGAATGTGACACTGACTTCAAGTTCAGGTTTTGATGGATGTTCTCGCTTTAAAGTGCTACTATTCATCTGTCAAGAAGCTAGGAAAGTCGTACTTTTAAGGATCCAAATGATGAATTTATTTTGGACTTCTTGCAGACTGCAAGCCTCATGCAGGGAGGCATTCCCTAGACAACGTCAGGACTTTCAGTATGAATCACTCCTGCTTGACCTCTGTGGGGTGGCCAAACAAATCAGCAAGTTGTGTCATCATTGAAAGTGCGGTGGTGTGAACCAACATATGGAGCAAGAGACAAGATCTGGAAAATGCTGCTCACCACAATTGGTCCCCTGCTGACAAGAGCAAGGCCCGAGGTAAAACCGGTCTCCATTTTCCTGTGGGGCTTTTACAGTCCCTCTCAGGATGAAACGAGCAGGCGACCACCTTCTTTTCCACTGCCTTCAGCTCCAATCTGTGTATGGTACACCACGCGGCAAAAGCAAACTAGTCACGTCTAATCTACAGCAAGAAACGTTTGTTTGCCAGTTCTAGCTGCTCCAACTACTACTACTAATACCAAGAGTCAGTGCGCCTTTCTGCTCCATGCCAATGGCGGCACCATGCAGTTCAAAGTCGTTGAAATGGGGCCACTCAGAGGCTGCCACGTCAGCCCCCCTGCATATTATCTTGATTTATGTATATGGTCTGGTTCCGTCGTTTCGCCCGGGCTCCATCGCCGGGCAACCGGGGAAGCAATCACGTCACGGCTCTTGGCCCGGTTCTGCCTCCAAAGGCCCATTACCGAGCTACGTTGAAGACCGTGCCCGAGCTGAGCTCGTCAAACAATCAGAGAGCTAGCAACGACCTCATCACTGACAGTGCGCAATGGCGCCTAGCTTGCGGCACCTCATGGCAGGTTCACCACTGTGTGACAATGGCGCCTCTTGGCAGGTCTTGGCAACCTGTTACGGGCAGGCAGCTGTCCTTGTCTGTTCTATGCTGACTCAGCTGGTTTGGAGCTCGACTTACCTGGCCTGTAGCTTCAGTCAGCTGCTTTGGAGCTTGTTCGCCTGGCTAAGTTACAGCTAAACAATCTCCGTTCCAGAAAGCATTAAGAAACTTTCGAGGCTGCTACTTCCTGCGGGCTTCCAGCGCTGGTCTCCTGAGCCTTCCTCTGACTCTGTTGCGAAATCCCAGTTACAAGTGAGCACAGTGCTGCAAACTACAGCTGCTTTGGACCTTATTTGTCTGGCTTGCTGAACAACTTAATTCTCATAAACCCTCGAGAAGTGTTTGAGGCTGCTACCTTCTGTGTGTGTCCAGCTCTCATCCCTTGAGCCTCACTTTTTGCGGGGGCCACTCACAGGTAAGCACAGTGCCACAATATACTTGTTGAGACTCTGCTGATCTGTAGTTGCTTCACGCATCACATTTTTAGAGTTCTGAAGTTCCTGCCTCTTTACCCACGTGCAGAAGGATATTAGTTAGTGCCTTTCGAGCAGGACATGTCCCTGGCAATTGCCCCGCAAAAAACAGCAAACAGCGCTTGTCAAAGTGATGTATCTTTTTGGCAATGGGAAATTGGAAGCTCCAAGAGGGAGTCTCAAGCTGCAAGGTTCTTACGTGCTATCACATCTAAGGGTGTTGGTTCAAGCAGTGGACTACTTTAAACCCCAAGTCTTCTCTTTCATGCATGTGGTCTGCCCTCGAACTTTCCAGTGCAACAAAGCTTGTGAAACAGACAAAAATCAGTTAGCTGGCCAATCTACCTTGCTCCATGAAACCTTTTCATGCTCAATTGCGTCAGCTAAAGTCACAAGGCCAGCTATGGTTGCGTGAACATCAGATTTACTACGTGCGCAGAATCTGCCCGAACAAACATGCAGAATTAAAATTGCTTCTCTTTGATTTCATCGTACAGCAGCGAGGTCATCATTAGGACAGGGCGAGAGGCCGCCCTCATGGGCGAACCAAGTCTGATCATCGGGTGTGTCGGGAAGCATGACATGTGCGCGCCGCTGAGTACAGGGATCGAATCCTCTTGGCAGAGGTTCCCGGCTCTCACCTTGAAGTAATCAAAAGAGCACTATAGTGTTCTAATCTGTGGCCGTTCTACTCGTTGGCTGATACACTTCCAATCCTGCAGCCGCGGGTCAAGATAGTGTAGATATGCAATTGTCAAATTATTACTAGTTAACAATCATCCGTGAACCGATATCCAAGGGAAATTCGCTCGTTTGACACCAGTGAATCGCATCTAAATCCCCTCGTAGATTCTTCAACGGATGATGCTCTCTTTTTTGCAGGTGATGCAGCGCCTGCGCTCTGTGACGAGCCCACTCGCCAGCAAACTCCCAACTCGTCCGTAGACTCCGTGAGTCGCCCACACATAGCATCGGCACCTGAGCTCCAACCGCCGCCACTTATGGACGAAAAGTCACGCGATGATTGGATGATGCGGGGGAACACGTCCTCCTCGTCCCTGACGTCATTCCGGTCCTTCAAGCGCCCGGGGCGAACTAGCGTGGAGAGTCTTTCCAGGGCGCTAGCGAGCGCGGCGAGCGCGAGCGAGGGCCGACGGGCACGTGTGGAGGCCGTCGTCCGAAAGATGGCCGATGCTGAGGACGTACGAAGCGCTCTCGCTTCGCTAAGAGAAGAACTGGAACGGATGGCGTAGCAGGAGAAGGCTCTCGCGGAAGAAGCGAAGTTCGAGAAGGGAGAAGGCGTTATAGTAAAGTTAGAGCAGCAGCAACGCGCGCGCGCGCACTGGGATGCGCAGCTGGACGCGATTAAGGGGCTGCAGGCAGCGTCACGTGCTGCCCGCCAGGCGAGCACGCCAAAACGGTCCCCGCTTGGGTTAGAGCACACCATGCCGGCGAGACTGCATGCGACGGCAGCGAGGTTGGAGGGGCGGGTTAGTTTAGCGAACCAGCAGGTTATGGTCTCCCCTGACTGGGGCAACGCGACTTCGGACTCGGAGGATAGCCTGCGTCGGCTGTCAAAGTCGCCGTTGGTGGACTACGAGAGCCCGGGTTTGAAAAGAGGGTTAGAGGGCGGGGTTAAGCGGCAGTTGTAGGTCAGCGGGGAGAGCAGCTGGTGGCGGACGAGCGTGCGCGTATCCAGCAAGGGCCACATGGCCCAGGGGGAAACGAGCCTGGAGGGTTAAACTGTTATATTCAAGAGGCACTAGCACTTTCGCATGCAATTACTAGTGGAGCGACCTTGAGGACAGCATGACAAGTTGTACAGCATTGCTTTGGAAGGTTTAATAGAGTTGCGATGGATGGATTACGCGGGATGGGTGGTGGTCAAGATATTGAAGCAAGCGAAAGGAGACGAAGTGAGGAGCGCGGAGCGCGCGATATAGGAAGCCCTCTGGATAACATAATGATCTTATTGCCAGGATGACTTTTTCAATGTAGTGCCATGCTGACCCTCAAAACGAAATCACTAATGGTTCAAGACGGTTGCAGCAGATCTATCGACCACTGACCAAGCTTCACATTCACGGAATGAGGCGGAGTATGGTCCAGAATTTTCAAGTTTATGGACTTCTGGTGCCATAATCATGGAAACTATACAATGCAGCATAGTTTAATGTTATTAAGCAGGTGTCAGCGCAGCCGCCCCGCCCGATTTGCTAAAAAGGGTACACTCCTCCTTAGTAAAGGCCCGGCACTGAAAATATCAAATGCGAAATTGGGCATATAGCGCTATGATCCCATGGATCGAGCAACCGACGCCTAGGTAGTTTATTACATGCAATCATGCAGTCGAAATCTTAGAGCGCATGCCCTCCAACTATCAATGAAGTAGAGCGCATTGACGGTGCGTGCACATTGCATATCGTACTCAAGATATCATACTGGTCCAATTGCAAAATGGGTCAAGCTATATCTTGCAAGTGTCGGTGCAATGAGTATTTCCTGGCAACCATCACCCATATAAAAGCCATGGCATTCCTTCTTATATTACATACAATTACATGGTGAACGTTTGTTGACTTGTTCCCCGTTCATGTGCTTCAAGACAAAAGCGCTTCCAACTCAGTAACAACTGTTCTGCAACGTAGTTTCTTTCAGTGGCCAGGCGCTTGTTTGTGCGAGTCCCATGCAAACAAGACCTATGACCATACCACTGGATGCCCATTGTATTGCCTCACAAAAGCGTCTACTTTCTGTTTTAGCCGAAATTGCTCTTGGGTGTCGTGATCAACCCTCGCAATGAGCGCCCCATGCACGTGCAAGTAGTCGTTCAGATCTGCGAAGGAGTCGGGCGCCGGCCACTCGCTCTCTTCCACATCCATCAACTCCGGAAGCACGACGTCGCAGTATGAGCATACGAACCAAGGGCAGTTGACTGACATCGCATAGCCTAAGCCATATCGCCCTCGAAAGAGCGCTTCATAAGCGACGATGCCGTCACCTCCTGGTCATTGTTCAGCGCGGCCAGCTTGCGGCTCTTGATCTGATAAGCATGGACCTTGCTGGGGTCCTGCAAATAAAGCTTCAAGTTTGCTTTTAGGATCCAGTATCAAGATCTGGAGGCTACTTGTAGTTAGCAAGCAGGTATGGAAACGTCTGATCAGCCAAGAACTCGCAAGCCTGCAATTCTTGTGTGGGCCAACCAATCGCACGACAGATTAGACGTCACGTGGTGCCACGTGTACATCTGATGTCTAAGAAAACTGGAACCATTTGGATTCGCGCTCTTGTTAGGGAAACAAAATTGGCAGAACGGCCACGTTACAAGTGAGCGAAGTTCGAGACGGCTGTTCTCATTAGGATTCCAGCCAACGCATCTGCCAAATAGCCACTTATAGTTTGACCCCAGAGCATTTTTAACCACAAACTTACCGCGGGATCTGCAACAAACCCGCCCGACATGCCTCTGACGATGCTGCCCTCCAAGCGCAGCATGTCCTCGTCGTAGGCCTTGATCGAGATTGGCGAGACGCTGCGGGCGTTCGCGGAATACTTGGTGGACAACACGCTCAGAATGATGGCCGCGTTCTCCAGACTGCAGTTGTATACGCTTGCCAGGTACTCCACATCGAGTTTCCCTGAAGAACACGAGCGCAGAATTAGCCAGAATCGTTGAAGGGACTACTCAACACAAGTAATACGAGCTGGTAACTTTCGGCATACGACCTCAAGTTAAGGCCTAAAGAAAAGTGCAAACCAACTTTCCAACTGAATCTGGGGACCATGGCAATTTGTTTTGAACAGGCGCATGCGCTTTCCTGCGAACCTGTTCCCTGCGAACCTGAAAGGTCAAAAGAATCTTCGCCGGATTTGTTTACAGAAAAGAGGTTTAAGGTCAGCCTGTGTCACGACTTGTTGCGGAGGCCATCAGACTGGACAGCAGCAACTTTTGGGAGTATCGTCAAGAAGTGGGTGACACTCTTCGGACAAGCAGCTGTGTCACCCCGAACATCGAATCACTTTCCTGGAACGCTTGCAACTACGTCGGAGCTACTGTACCACTACAGCGCGTTCAACAACCGGACGAGAATCGATCGCCGTTTTTGGAAGGATGTGCTCATCAGAAGACCTCAACCCGTACGTAAACGGTTTAGTTAAAGGTCAGGCTGAAGATGAACAAATGGACGATGTTGATCATCCGCAACAGGAAGTGGTGAGGGCCCATGACGGCCAGGCAAACAGATGAGATAGCCTAAAAAGCCTCAGGTGCAGATTCACTACGACAACCACCAGAATCTACAAGCAGAGGGGGTTCCAAGGCTACAAGACAGGCAAGTCAAACCCGCTCCTTGGATTGCTCAAAGCGTAAAGGATCGAGGAGAAACGCTCTGCATATCAGAATGCTTGCATTCCCAAACAAACAAAAGCCGTCAGATGCAAATTGAAAGAGGCGCTCCACTCAAGCACGACTTGCAGTATGGGCTGTTCAAAAGAATTCAATCAGAACGCTGACTGCTGTCGAACCCACACCCGCAACACATTCTTTAAGCAAGGAGGCCCCCTTCCCAGAATCTCAAGATCCCAAAAACCAAGCTAACCTGTGTAGGCTACAAGCACTGCGCTGGAACCAACTAGCAAGGGCTTGGCAGATGGGGTCCGCCAAACGACCTTCCCGGTTTTTCCGCTTCTGAAGACCTCCGCCGGTTGACGCTGAAAAACCCCATCAGGAGCCTCCCAGACTCTCCGGCGAGCAGTTGCAACAACAGGCGTCTGTAGCTGACTAGTACCTGTGGGTTAACCAGGTTCATTTTACTTTGTCATTCCAAACTAGTGGACAATCCCCAACAAACTTGGTGTGTTAATGGTTGAGAATCGTGGCGGCAAAGCTCTCACAATCACTTCTGTGACCACAGCGAGAGAGGGAAAACATCAGCTTTGAATCAATTTTGTGGTTCTATTGGCGAGCAGTCAATCTTCTCAAAGTGTACTGACAGGCGCCAACCTGCTCAAGGGCTCATATGAATGGGACATGCAAAGAGGATCCATCTTCTTTCTCCAAACCAAAAAGGAAGCTAGGGGAGGCCACCAAGCAATAGCGGTACTACGCTGCAGCAGATCGTGTAATTCCTACGGCAGAAAACACACTTTGAGCCCCCAAGACGGCATGCTCTTTACAACCAATCTGACATTCACTAACAACGGTGCATATGTCAAGCTTCACCTGCAAGTGCTGGCGATGGTTCCGTCTGTGCACTTCCGGCTGCTACGCTTGTCGACTCGGCAGTCAGTTGTGAGAACACAACTTTCTCGACGCCATACACCCTGTCCGATCCAGCCCTTAGACAGTCGATCGAACCGTGTACCCATTCGCTACGAGGGAGCAGGCGGCTGCGTCCACTGTCACGCTGCTTGACAGATCCACCTCCTCGAAAACTGCTGCACTCAGCCCGTGCTCACAGCCAAATGTCACCGCCTGCGCCTCCCTTTCCGGCGGCAGAGCAGAAATAGTGCCCAAATCGCACACAGTGACCGGACGGCTTCCGAGCCAGGCACGCAGCGACGCCGGGGTCACGCAATTTTGCTCTGTGAGCAAACAGGCGTTGATCTTCGGGAGGCCCACGCGGACCAATCTGAGGCGTCCGTACTGACCCTCGAAATTGATGTCACTGTTCAACAGGTAGGGATACACAATCTTCCAAACCTTTCGGGAATCAAACTTGCCAACCGCAAAGGTGGTGTCCACAACGTCGCTGGACCCCTCCATGAATCATGACTCAAGTCACCAATTGACAAAGAAAGTTGTGAGATTCTTCAAGAAGATCTGAAGATGGAAGGGTAACAACTTGCTGCTGTAGAAGCTTGCTGCAGTCTGCAGTGGTCTGCAGCGGTGCGAACCAGTGCGAACCAGCCAGCAAGCCATTGGCATTGATGGTCGGCATGGCCGCCCGCCGATCGGACGGTCACGGTAACGGGGGTTCATCAAACCGCAACCGTTAACGCACGGGCTCAGCTCGGAAGACATCCCACAGCTTCGGTTGGAGGGCAGGACAGGGCTTGGCATTGTCTTGATTCAGAGCTCTGTGAGTCTGTGACTAGCAGCGCCTTTGTACGTCTGCTCTTTGCTCCACCACCTTTGTTGATTGTGATCTGGGGCAAGATGGGGCAGAAGAAGCAGAGAGGCAAGGAAGGCAATGCCGCAAACTACACCACCCGCAATCAGGCGCTGATTCGGTTGCAGATTAAGCTGCCAGAGTTCAGGTGGGAAATGTGCCAAGTCTCCTGTATCTTCGCCGAGATTAGTCTGGAATTTTTGGCTCCTGGCACCATACGAATGCCAAGCTCATTGAAGCCGAACATTGGTTTTTAAGCACGTCTTGTATTTTAGGGTTTTAGATACTTCGCTGGCACTTACATTGCTCATACGTTGCTCTTTGGACAACGACTGATGTCAGTAAGACCTTGTCTTTTTTGTTCAGGCGCCTGTGCATTCTCAAGGGTATCCACCCCCGCGAGCCGAAGAAGAAAGTGCATGGACACAACAAGACCTACTACCATGTCAAGGACATCAACTTCCTGCTCCACGAGCCGCTGCTGCAGAAGAGCAGGCAAGGCCGTCTCTCAGACTGGTCATTCAACACAGCTGAAATCTCGTTGGATCTGCAAGCATGGCAGCTGCAAACATGGTAACGACTTACTGCCGCAGCTGGTAATGGTTTGGGCCAACTTTATCTGAGCACTTTTTGTGCTTTGCTGATGAGAATTCTGCTTATTGGTACAGGGATATCAAGGCCCATGAGAAGAAGGTCAAGAAGGCGCGGGCCAAGCTTGACGAGGCGCTGGCAGATCGGCTCAAGGCCAATGCCCCAAAGTACAGTCTTGACCACCTGGTCAGAGAAAGGTGAGCTCTCACATTCTTGTTGAAGAATGCTGTAACAAGTCTTGCCAGTCAAACTTGGCCTGCTTGATTCTACTTTCCTCTCTCTAAGTCAGGTGGTTTTAGGGTTTGGGGTTTTAGGGTTTCGACTGCCGCGTTGACCTGCCGCGCTCAAGCTTTAGGGAGTGGGTGGAGAGTAATGGGGTTGAGTTTTCGGCAACATTTGCTAATTTGTTGGTCGGTTTATCTTTTGCAGGTACCCTTCTTTCATCGATGCCCTCCGCGACTTGGATGATGCGCTGACAATGCTGCACCTGTTTGCGACCCTCCCAGCAGACAGCAAGCACAGGATTCCAGCCAACCTGGTGCAAACAGCGCGCAGGTGAGCAATCGATTGGCAATTGAGTTCCGGGAATGCTTTTGAACCTGACCTTGGATCATCCATAAAGCCCGCCGGTATTCCCCGCGCTTTGTGCCAATTGTGCCACCAGTGGCCCTGGAGCTATGTGGACTCAGACAGAAGCTTCGAGCTACAGGGCAAAGTTTGGCAGGAACTGTCGGCAATGGACAGGGAGCTGTGTCTTAGCAAGTTTGCAACTGCTTGAAATGCACTTTTCAATGCTAGAGACTTATCCATGTCTTTCGCAGGCTGAGCCTGGAGTGGCAGGCATACATCACCAAGACGCACGCCCTTAGGAAAGCGTTCGTCTCTGTGAAGGGCATCTACTATCAGGTGAGCATATTCACACCACCACCATCAGAAAATACCACACGCAGTTTCCGAGCGGAGTGATTATTCCGAGCTCGCGCTCTTGTTTGGAAATTCGCGAAAATAGTAGCGCTCTCGGGAGTTGAGGGGCTGGGGTTATCAAACCGACTGTCATTTGAAGTGGTTTTCCTTTAGGCATGGAAGTGTGCATTAAGTAGCAGCATTGGTTAACAGCGGAACTTTCTGTAACATTCTTGAGAGTGTCTGCTTGCAGGCGGAGGTCGTGGGCCAGAAGATCACGTGGATCGTGCCGCATGCGCTGAGCCAAGTCCTGCCCGAGGACGTCGACTACCGGGTCATGCTGACCTTCCTGGAGTTCTATGAGGTGAGCAGACTCTTCCAGTTATAGTTACAGGTTCCGGCTGTTTCAAGCGGGACTTGTGCGAGCTTCCCGCTCGCTGTCGCCGCATTGGCAGAAGCTGCACAGGACGAGTGGCGCTAGTTCTTTTGCATTAGCACGTATGTTTGTATATATTCCAGAGTTTTCGGATGCCTCTGGTGCTGTCGCTTCATTTATCGAGCGGTCACAGAGTCGCTGATCAAGAGCACGGGTGGTCCTTTTGCCTTGATACAAAGGAAAGTAAAGACCCAAATGCTTGTCAAAGAACCAGCGGGGAAATTGCTGGGGCTCATGTGACCTGAAAAACTTCACCTACAAGCTACTTTGACTTCACATCGCCTCTTTTGTTAGGCTGTGTGCAACAGACCCAAGTACTTGCTCCAAGCAGGCAACGTTGCAAGCTAGGAGGAAAGTTAGCACCTTCCGGGCTCGTGCAGAGGTTTGCTTTGTGGGCCTTACTCTCCTTCAATTCTCTGCAGACCTTCGTGGAGTTCGTCAACTTCAAGCTGTACCACTCCCTGGGCCTCAAGTACCCCCCCGCTCTTGACACAAAGCTCGAAGAGGTGGCTGCGGAGCTGGCGGCCGCAGTCAGCTCCCTAGCAGGCGAAACAGATTCACCACAAACGGGGGGGCAGCTGGAAAACGGCGCCGGAGCCTCTGGTAGGGGGGAGGAAGACAGTGCAGAAGGACCCCCAGAAGGGGAAAAGCTAGTGGCCTTGAAGGAGAAGCTCGGGGTGTCGGTAGCAGCGGGTGGGGACGCGAACGGGGGGGTCGAGGAGGCTGGGCCGTGGGGGGGGGGAGAAGCGGAAGAAGACGAGGGGGAAGACGAGGAGGATGAGGAGACGAAAGCATGCAGAGGGCTGTTCAAGGGGCTGTTCTTCTTCCTGGCGAGAGAGGTGGGTCTGCGAGTATTTGCGAGTTTCTCAGCTGAGTGGGATGGCAGCTTGTTGAGTGCCTTGGCTTTTGTGTTGTCAGGGGCGGTTCAGGGGGTAAGGAGTCAGTTGGATCGGACGTGCTTTTGGTTTGGCCTCGCATTTGAAGGGCTGTTTGTGGTTGAGAGGGCTCTCGTCAATCTTACAAGAAGAGTTTCCGATGGCGAAAAGTAACGCTCCGACGGTCCAGATGCGAACTCAGCAGAACAAGGCGGTTTAAGGTCAGTAATAAACATGCCGATTGCCTGTCCTGCGCCCTAAGTGCTGATATATGGGGATCAAATCTTCTCACCCTATTTTTCATCGGACTTCCAGATCCGATGATTGCACGTTACCTACGAATCGTTGGTGAATCATAGGTACCATTTAGAATTGTTAAAGGATATCACAGCTTCCATCAAGGCTTTATTCGCTTTCGGGTAGGTCAACTTAAGAACCGACCCTCGCAGGTGCCCCACGAATCTCTACTTTTCCTCATTCGGGCCTTCGGTGGGTCGGTCTCATGGGAGGGTGAGGGCGCGCCATACCCGGAGAGCGATGAGCGGATTACGCACCAGATCGTGGACCGGCCCACGCAGGGACACCGCTTTTTGTCGCGGGAGTACGTCCAGCCCCAGTGGGTGTACGACAGTGTCAACAACCGGCTGCTGCTGCCGACAGAGGATTACCCGGCTGGCGGGTGAGTTAAGCCACCGTATGTATTGTGCTTCTACTGAGCCGCTAAGTTTCGAAGAGCTTCTGGGCGCAATTTTTTCTTTGGTTCTTTCTAAAATGAAAACCGTCAGCTCGTCCACCGTCCAGTCGCCGACTCTGTTGGTTTGGTTGAAGGATCACATTACGAAGCTGGCACTTCCTATGGGCTGGCTCTTGACATCGCGAGGTCACTTGCTGGCCCTTGGAACAAGCCCAGCTTGACAGGATGTGGAAGTCTCAATTGATTTGACGAGGGAACTGGCTCGTCCACTCAACTTGCACGTATTCCTGCACCCTCATCCAGGATTTCCAACTAGAACCTGGACCGTAAACTTCCAAATTGTGAGTTTTCCGCCATTTCTCCTCCAGGTCGCTACCCCCCCACCTGTCGCCCTTCGTCGACAACGAGGCGGAGGGCTACCTCCCCGAGTACGCCGAACAAATCCAACGGCTTCGGGATGCCGCGCGAGGCAGCCTCGGGGGCGTGCTTCCGCTTCCGGGGGGCGCCGAAGAGGGCTTAGAAGAGGGAGCTGCCGCGAAAGCCGCCGCCGAGAGGGGGGAGGATCTCGCGGCCGCCGCGAAAGCTGCGGAAGTCGCGAAATTGGAGCAGGAGTATCTGGAGGATCTGCGGAAAGAGGTGGCGGGGGTGCCGTATTCTGCGACGCTTGGGGGGGGTGCAACGGAGGAGAGGGATGAGGGGGGGGCGGAAGACGAGGCGGACGAGGGGGGGGTGTCTGGGAAGGTGACGGACGGGGCACGGGCGGAGGATGATGACAAGGCGATGGAGCGCATTATGATGCCGCGGAAGACGAAGAAGCTGTATGAGGCGATGCAGGTGAGGGCATGAAAGAGGGTGGTTTTGATAGACTTGCTTATGAACCTTTTTCGCTTCTTCAACTCGTGGACAGAAGGAGTATGATGGAGGATTGCGGCATAAAAATGGGTGTTCAGGATGATGAAAGGTCTTATGTGATCCGCTGGTGTGTATAATTTCGGCCGCTGTGGAGCATGGCAGACGAAGTGCTAGCGTTTGAAAGGGAAGCTTGGGTATTTATCTGTTGCATACCAGACCTCCGGATCTCTACTGCAAAATCTGCAACTCGTTGACAGCGTTTACGGTCGGCTTTCGTTTTGCAGCATGAGAGGGGATTATTTTGCAGGCCGCAAATCTTGACCATTGTCTTTATCGTCAGTGCCTGCCATTCTTTGACTGCGGTTCTCGTCTTGAACCAGATTGCATCTGACGGACTGTAGCACAGGGTTGAGAAGCGAATGCGGTCGAGCCCGCGCTTGAAACTTAAACCCTTGCCTTTGGATCCACCCTTATTCTTTATCAGTACTCACGGACCTGGTCTGACACCTGTGCAGATGGGCATCGCCGCCAAGAAGGCCGGAGTAGATAGTCTGAAGAAGAAGCGGAAAGCTGCCGCTGCTGGTAAACTGAATGTCGTCAAAAAGCCGAGAGGTGCCTGAACGGACGTGCTAGGATGAGGCAAAAGAGCTTGGGATCGAGCTCGATAGGCATCCGCTATCTGAACGACATTCCTCGACAACTGTGTCAATGGGTCCGTCCGATGCAAGGTCTAGCTAGAAGTCTTGTTCATGCATGTGAAATCAGATGCAATCTGGACAACGACAGCTTTTCCTTAAGTTGCTCGCATCTGACGCCTTTGCAGCGGACTTGTAATGAAAGGCAACCAGCTTTCGCATGGCAAACATCATTTCTTTGCATGATCAGGCCGGATGCGTCCCTGGCGGCCTGGCCCTGTCCGACACCTCATTCCCATTGAAGCCATTGGTTTTCCTGACCATGCGTGTGCAATCATAGTATATGCATGCTCTTAGGATCGACTTTGATGTGGTGTGCGCGGTGTCACCTGGCCCGTCGATAATTGGATGCCGTGACAAAGCAAGTCATTGGACGGGTGCAACACGTACACAAATGGCAATTCTGTTAAGTGCACAGAGGGTATGTTGCGCCGCCGGCCATGCAAACTGGCCCGCGTGGGCGTCAAGTTCAACTAGATGATACACGTTTTGATTACCATGTAAACAGCCTGCAATCTTACGCATAAACATCATTCACATGAACGCGTGGAAGATCGCGATCATTCGGGGACATGTTCATACCGCTTTAAGATGCAAGCATTATTCCGGTGCAGGCCATGCGTCTTCGATCTGCAGTCTAAGGCAGGGAAAATTAACAAAATTGCTCTACGTATACGTTTACCTGATTTTACGACCGTCGGCCTCCCAGATGAGTTGCAGTAATCTGTCTTTGATTTTAGCAACTGCTTCGTTGGAGCGGTAAGCTTTCACGCCGGGCGTCTCTGTCGGATTGACAAGGACGCCTTACTTGATTTCGACTAGCTCATATCGGACGCCTCATGTTTCCAGCGAGCCTCCGTAAAGACGCTGGATGTCCGCCCACCGACCTCTATTCTCGCGGCGGATGCCCCGCATCACGTCTTCACCATGGTGGTAGAGCTCGTCGGCGGACGGCCCCGTATACTTCTTTCCCTTCTTATTGCCTAATTCTCGAGAGATTGCTACCGCTTTCTGGGCTTTTATTTTCCCAGCCATGAAGCAGTTTATGTAGTCGTGCTGAGCCCCGATGGCGCGGTTCCAAGCCTGGTTTTGGGCGTAATGATAATTATGGGTGTGGTCGGCCCCGCCATTTTCGGAAGCAATGATGTGGTACACGTCTTGATCGTCCTCGAGGAGGTACGCTTTTCGTAGAAGCTCTCGGTAAGCATTTCTCGACTGTGAGGGGACAGGAAGAAGTAGTCACCCTCAGTATTGACAACGATCTGGCCGGATCGATCACGCAGTGCCTTCCTTCAGCCCGCAAGTGGCGATAGCGGGCCAAAATAGAGAAGCCTTCGGTTTCAGGTTGCAACATTCAAGCGCGCCTGCAAGGAGGCCGACCGCTCTTCCGATACGTCAAATCGCATCGAGCTCGCAATGCTTGAAGCCGCCCGAGACTCCGCCCTCCCTACTCGAAATGAAAGAATGGAAGCTTACTCAACAAGGCTCTGCTACATTTATCAAGGCCATGCGTTTCAGAAAAGCGCTGTAAGGCTTCCCCTCACCATAGCTTCTCCCCCGGACGTAGAGATGAGCTTGACTGACGCGGAGACGGCTGCCTTCTTCTCCTCAACTTCCTTTTTCCCCTTCCGCGGCACGCTTCCCGAGGCGTTTTTCAGCCGCTCGAGGAGTTTCCCCTTCGTGCCAGATTCGCTAAGGTCCTCAGAAAAGCAGATCAACTGGAGTTGAAACTTCAAGAGCTCTGATAGCTCCAACCCGTCATCGACCAGCCGTTTGACCAGCACGTCCTTCGCTCCGGAGACCGGCAGATCTCGCAAGCGGCACTCCTCCGAAAGATCGTCGTTGTAGAGCACTGCGAGACGTTCTTGTAGCAGCTTCTTTTCATCCTGCATGCCAGGCGTGAGTGGGAAGGAGAGTTGCATTTTTGATGCTTATCCGCAGTGTCGCTAAGTTTGTAGTGCCGGTCTGATTCTGGACGCCTATCATCAACCAGCATTTGGGCGTGGAAATGCACTGTCACAATCCAGAGATTACGTGGCGGAACCCGTCCGTTCTAACTAGTGATTACTTCTGAGAATGAAATAGAACAAGCCCAACGGATCAGGAAGTGGCCCTAAAATGGTTCAGCAACTGAATTCTGTTTTCCTTTTCGACAGGGTCGCATGAACTTCGCATTAAAGCTGCAGTGAAACACGATCATAGAAGTAAATTCCCTTGGGTGCGAGGTATGCCTTGGTTGCAAGGATATCAAGCCACTGGACGGCTGTCGATCAGCACACGTGGGCGCTGTTTGAAAAAGAGGAACGAGTTGCTGATCTTTAGTCAACATTCGTACGTGCCTGCAAAAGTCTCACCTTTCCCATCTTCCGTTCCTTTTGAGGATCGTTCTTCGCTTGGGTCTTCGATTCGCTCTTTGCAACGGCATCTTTCTGCACTTATCACGTCTGCGTTTGTTGCTTACTTGCACAACTGTCAAATATTTTTGGTGATCAGAAAAGCGATGGAAGTGTCACAAAGCCTTGTTTTGCTCAATAAAGTGACCGACGTTAGAAATTGTACAATTCTTAGCACTGTTACATCGTGATGTTCCTGGTTCGAACCGGAAGGTTTCAAGCCTTTCCAACCTCATCTTGGATTGCACCTCACCTTCTGAGTTTCCTCTTCTTCTTGGTGGGCCGTTTTACTCCTCCTGATCTGTTTGATCATGTCGGCCCTGTTGCCACTCACAGGAAGACCCAGATATTGACACAGTGCTTTTAGACCGCCTTCGTCCAATCGTTGCACCAGCGCCGTCTTGTTGCCACTGGTTGACACGTCTAGCTTGGAACACAGGGTTTGCAGTGCGTCATTTGTTAGGAGCTCCAACCTGGCGCCATCGACAAGCAGCCTCGCAATCAGATCGTCTTTCTTGCCCTTATCATCTAGGTTTGCCGATTTGCACGCCTTCGCTAGATCGTCTTTCCGGAGCATGCGGTAGAGGTAGGAAGGTATGACGAGGCCGTCCGGTAGCTGCAAAGATGGAAATGGCTACGTTGCTTTTTGCCACACGGATTTGCACCAGCTGATTTTAGTACTCTTGCTTCCCTTTGGTGGACAAAGGAGGGCGATTCGAAGCGTTACCAGATCCAGATCTGATCCGCTCGTCGCCCTTTGCCGATGCTTCGACAAACCTTATGTCGACGGTCCATCATGACAATCTTCTCATGCGGAATTCACAATTGCGCAATATTTTCTCTCCATTGACTTCTTAATCAATGAGCTTTCAAAGGTTGTAAATCCTGTCCGTCTGCTGAGATGGGCATCTGTACGTTTCAGTGAAAATCTTCTTTGGGATAATCCTTGAAGCATCTGATAGCCTCGAGTCTCGATCTGCACAGGCCTGCTCCGTTGTGTCGTTGCAACAAATCTTTGTTCCTCTCAAACCCGAGTCCTTCAATCAGGATTCGTATCGACTATCAGGTCAAAGGAAGAAGCACTCAGCCACTATAAAATAGTCACAATTAGGCAAATGTTATACATAGTCTTCTACCCGCCTGTCCCAGAGCTAGAGTTGAAAAAGTCTGCTTACCTCATCATTTCCTGCGTGCTTTTTAGCCATTCGCGCCTTGGCGCAGGCTTAAGATCGGTGTTTCACTGATCTTGAATGACTGGAATCCTGTGCCAAAGAAAATACCAGCTCGACGATCTCGGCAGATAGCGGACGTGGTGATTCAGCTGTGCAAAACTTCAGGTTTTAAGACTGCATGCCGGTCCCTTTCCTTCTCGAGGCAGTTTCAACGAGGTGTGCAATGCTGAGTGGGGACGGCCACTTGCACGTGGTCGGGCATGGGGCTAATCACACCCTTCAGGTCGGTGGGCTGCCTCGAGGCTCCATGTGTCTATGGCTTAACCATGCCTGTACAGACCTCTGCAGCGCGTTTTTTGAAAGAGTATTGAGAGTGACTGAGTAGACCACGAGAGTCATGGCAACCCAGTTGAATTTTATCACATGGTTCAATGTGTCTACAACAGAACTCAGAGACTTAGACTTGCGAATAAATACTACTAGGTACCCCGAGGAGATTAGTTTGCAGCGCGAACATGATCCTTCAGGGGGATGGAAACTCGGCTTTCAGAAGCGACGAGACTTTCTGGCCTTTGAAAATGTTGCCTGTTCGATACCTGTCGTCGCATCTTTTAAGGCGTCATCATGTGTGCTGCAAGGCGCGTCACACGTGAATCGTCCGCAACAAGTTGCCAGCTCATTGAAACTCAGTCTATCAGTCACAACGAGCCGTGGACGTTTGGAGTCTGGTGGACAGAGTTGACCCCCGGCCCGGATGCTGAGGTCTGGTCGAAATATGTCAAAAGTTGGAGAGATGCCGGTTTGATTGGGACCATAATGCAAGGGTAGAGCCTCGGTATGAAGCACGTCACTCAAGTCAACAGGGTCAACGGTTTCATCATGGGATTTTCGGCTCCTTATCAACACTATCACACCACTGGATCTATTGACTTTCTACTAGTGCAAGTCACAAGTTGTTACCTTCTTGATTTTACATCCGGCAGTTTGTCACCTTTTGGTAAGTTCAGTACTTCTGTCAGGATACATCAACTTTTGCAATTGGTTTTCCTAGCGCTACGTGGCGGTGCCGCTCTTGTATGCAGATGCAATCGTACATCATGCACCATACGTAGACATGTCTCACCACTTGCACTCGACTGCAGATTTGTATATACGACGTTAGCTTGAATAGATGTGATGCGCGTCGGCCTCCGCGTGGAAACCAATGGCGTGCTGACGGTACTGATAGCGTATAAGTCCAAATTCAGTCAAGATTCAACCGTCGTAATTTGCGGTCGTCAGCGCGAGCGCGCTGATTGCATAATTGATCGACATCCGACGATCCGAATTTCGTCATCACGGGACGGGTAAGGTCATCGACGGGCGAGCGCGACCTCTGGATTCTGGGCACTCAGCACAGCCCATGTCAAGGTTTTGGATAGGAGAGTTGTGCTGTAATTTTGCATATTAAAGAGAAGGGCGTGGTCACGAAAGGGAAAGAGTATTTTACCCCATTTCTTAAATGTGTGCAGAGAGACGAAGATGAACGTGGGCCACGAAACAAGTCCAGCCATATCGAAAGATGTGGGATTTTCAAACCGTATATATATAGCTGTTAAGTCAACAGAGACCTCATATTCATTTTGGTAAAATGGAAAGTCGGACTGGCTGGAGAGAGAATAAAGGACGAAACAGTTGGCTGCACTACGAGTTTAACTACGAGTTTAAGTAGCGTCCACATCCATTGCTGACGTACGAGATCGACGTCAAAACGGTAAGCACGCAACCGCGCCACACTAACCTGACCGCCGGCCGTCAGGCCTGCTGTCATTTTGACGACTCGAGCGGAAGCGTGGCCATTTGATTCTGATTGAGAACTTCAACGAAACAGTCGAGGTGCTGGCGCTGTTCCGTGGTAGATCATGATTGGGTCGCGGCATTTGCTATAAATCGAAAGACACTGTTGCGACTCTGGCACAGGAAGGCTGCTGGCTGCTAAGCAGGTTCAATAACCAAACTTCAGTCTAACTTTTGACACAACCGCGTTATAGCCATATTTAAAACCTGGTTACTGCTCGAGTCTGGTCATTTGGTCATTGGACAGTTAACCAGCTTCGAAGCAGCCCGTAGCCGAATGTGGTCAACCGTGCCCTGTGTAGGTTCTCCATCTCAAATCTATGCAGATCAATGACCATCTAACACGCAAAAGACGGCAAACCGTCTCGATTTTCAGGCTCTCGAATCTCCGACCCTGCATGGGACCAGGAGTAAGCTCCTTCGCAGAGTCAGCCGTCCGAGCAGCGCCCCTTGACACTATCCTTGGCAGACAGGACCACGCAAATGCCCTGTCAGTATACTGCCTGAGTAAACACAAGCCTGCAGGTATTGTAAACTGCCGCATTATTTTGACGCCACCGATTCTGAAGATTGAGAAACTCCACCCAAGTGGCGCCCCGACGCGACACGACGCGACCCCGTGCATGACAAGCTCAACCCTGAGCAAATTGTTGACCCGACCCAGCCTGAGTGAGTATCTCGTGATCTGCTTTGTTTGAAGTCTGATACGAGCAGTCTATAATGACTTCAATAGAGGGCAGGTTTTTGTAGAGCCCCGTAGAGCAGGTAGACGCACATGCACAGTCCTCCGCCAGTCACCTCTCTCAAACATGCTAGCAGTGGTGCTGCATAGTGGTTGGCGCCATTGCAGGGGCAAGCTTTTGAGCATCTGCAATCGGAGGGGAAGCGAACTAGCGCTGGCATCAGCTTAGTTCAGGCAAGATGCGGTACAAGGAGACCATGCCTCGGAAGCCCCCAGAGCTTCCGGCCAACTTCTTCTTTTCCAAGAGATGCGAACAGGAGCTCATGGAGCTGACAGGCCAGACCGGCCCAACTCTGCCTGAGATAGACATTCTGCACCCTGCGGCTTGCCCCTGGCTGAAGGAGGTTTTGCGGGACCTGCGCAGCGAAGATGAAGAAATCAGAATGTGCGGCATCTTCCGGATCCAGGGGGTGCTCGTGCATGGCCCTGTTTCGGACGGGAAGACGGACGCCTGGGCCAAGTATGCGACCTACGTGCTGAGCCAGAGTGTCGTCATCCAGGAGCTGGTGAGAGGCTTGAGAGACTTTGGGGTCTCTAAGAGGTGCTACCTCGTCTGCAAGGATGACCCGCGCGGCGGCGCGCGCATAGGGACGGTGCGGACGTACTCCAACGTCCTGGACACGATCGCCGTGGACGCGCGCGCGGCGCGCTTCGCGCTGAGCCACTTCCCGGACTTCGTGGACGTCCAGCTGGGGAACTACTACGCGTCCAGGTTCCCGCGCGCGTACCGCCGCGCGCGCGAGCGGTGCACCATCGAGTTCGAGACCAAGATGTTCCTGACGAGTTCCCTGTGCAACCTGTGCGCGGCCACGAAGCAGGGCCGGGAGCGACTGCAGAGCGAGACCGTGTTTCTCAACTCGATCCTGGAGGACGCTCTGGAGGCGTCCGAAAAAGCGAAGCCGTCCGATCTCGCGGTCGGCATCGTGAAGCGCATCACGCAGTTCCGCAGCCCGCTGGAAACGGAAGAGACCGTCGCGATAGCGGTCAAGGTCGCGGGCAACGCCCTGGAGAGCTCCGGCAGCGCGGCCGGCATCGAAAGCGCCCTCGATCTAGTTATGCGAATGATTGATGAGGATGCTGCCAGAATGGCCCCGCTGCTGCAACGGCGCAAGTCGATCTCTGACTCCCTCTTGGCTCTCGAGCTCTCCAGCTGCCCGGACGAAGGGATGAAAGGGAAGGGGTTCGAGATCCTGCTCTCGGCGAACGCCAAACTGCAGGAACTAGATCGAAGGAGCTTCCAGGTGGGGTACCTCAGGCTGCCGTCCGATAGAGAGATGAAAGCGATCCAGGAGCTAGCGGCCAAGGACCATAACGTCGCGCGGCGGAAGAAGCAACTGGACGCCATTTTCAGTCCGAAAGCGTCGCCGGGCGGAGAGGACCACCGGTCGCGCGATCCCGCGGGAAAGCTCACTCCGATGGCCGGCCCGCGCAAGCAGTGCGCCAGGTCCGACTGCCTCAGAGTCGAGGCCACGGCGCGGGAGTTCAAGGTCTGCGCCCAATGCAAGCTCGTGGTCTATTGCTCCGCAGGTAAGACGTCTTTCAATCTGCTCAGACCGTCTGTTGCAACGAGTTTGAGACCACGCGAGGTTGCCAAAACCGTGGTTTCTTCGCAACCACTGTGTATTATCAAAATTTGACGTGCCTGGACTCAGTCTTGCTATGATGGGCTTTGCAAAGACGTTCTTTTCTGCTCACTGCATTTGGTGCTAGCTTTGCTTGACTTCTCGACTGCCTCGGCTCCTCCGTCTGCTTCTCAACCAGCTCTGAACAACGCCTTTTGCACAAGTCGTTTTGAATATGACAACGTAACAAGACGAGCTCCGTCTGACAACGGTATATACATTGATTTCCGACTTCATCGAAGCCGTTGAATTAAGGCTTAACGGGACGCTTGACTGACTTCGATATGCCGGACATCTGGATCGTTTGCTGATGCTTCATTCGCGGATCGACGATCTTTCGAGCTCAAGTTCCAAATTGGTTTGACTCAAGCTGTGACAATCAGTCCAAGCTTCTTCTGTGCATTCAGCTTCTTCTTCTCCTCTCCCAACAGAGTGCCAGAAGTCTGCCTGGAAGGAGGGGCACAAGCAGGAGTGCGTGCGGAAGCCGAGTCGAAACCAGGGCATGTAGATGTCGAGAAACTAGTGAAGGGGGCTCCTGTAATAGTGCATGAATAGGTCGAGGAAGGCGGTTTGGCATCTAAGCACTGAACTTCGATCAGCGGACGCTTTGACACGAGGTTGAGACTGCAAGACTCATCTGCTTATGTGTTTGGGGTGGAATTTGCAATTGCGTCCACGCATGTTAACGGGGTGTGAGGATTCCAACTGGATCTTGATTTTTGGTCGCTTTTACATCCATGAGAATCCTCGGCTTAAGTGCAAGCATGTGATTCCTTATTGTTTAGGAACCCGCGCTCACGAGGACTATCCTCAGAGTATCAGTATGCAGGATCAATAAAAGCCAGCTATGGTTAGGCGTTCCTGTTTGCCCCTAGAGTAATGACCATTATCTGTGCCGCCCACGAGTGTGCATGTAGGCGCTGTGTACGGTTCTCGTATCAGCCGGAATAGTGTGCAAATCCAAACGTTCATGACAAGCATAAGTCAAATGATCAAGGCATGACGGCTCTGATGCGAACCCGGCACGTTCTCAATTCGTATACACCCGACGAACTAAAGCTTTTAAGGCTCCTTCAGCTTACTCTCAATCCTGTATTTGCAGTCAACTTGATCACTTCAAAAGCTGCCAACTGCCTTCAAATCTGTGGTGCTTTTGTGGTTTCAAAATTTCCTTGAGCGCGGCGAGTCGAGCTCATCATAGGATCTGTTGGTGACTCGGAGGCAGCGAGGATGGTGCTTGTTGCAGGTTCGGTCAAACCTTGGTTGCCTGACCCAAGTCCGATCCGAATCGATCGGCCGTCCGATGGATAGCCTCTGGGCCATCGAACAGCCCAGGTTCTGCGCATTGGGCAGAGTTCTGCAACCGGGACATCGGGTCACTAGGGCGGCCAGGTTTGACCTGGGTTTAACCGACTCTGCTTACACGTGGTTGCTATCAAGGCAATCTCTACTCGCGCACTAGAAGACGCAGAAAGCGGTCGTGTCCAATCGTGTCTGGACTCTGATGACTCGCCGAGATTCTTGCCATCTGAGGTGGACCATTCGCTGGCAGAGGTTGAATCCGTCGTCGGCTCACGCCTGCAGCATATTTTGTCAAGTCAGGCATACAGGGTACACCTGCAGTAGTTCCTCACCTTTTGCATCAGTTCATTATACTGATTTAGATGAACAAACACCGTTTACATTTTGGACGTTCAGATGGAGACGCTTGACAACCCTCTCTTTGATCACCTGCTAGGCTTCCTCACGGCCAAAGAGGCATGCAGCCTGGCTGTCCAATCGGTGGCGCTGAGGCAGGCTGTTGACAAGAGTACGCTTTGGAAGACGTGGTGCGAGCGCCTAAACCCTTCTATCACGACATCTCCCGCAAAGGAGCTTGTTCAGAAGCATTATGGGGTGCGCTCAGACCCGAACAAAAACTCTGCATACAAGCAGCTCTACAGAAGATCAAGTGGGAGACGTAGCACATGTGATGAGGCGTCTCAGGTTGAGGAAGGAGGCTCAGATGTTCCAGATCTCTCCGGCTACGTCATGCTGATGGACGTCTATTGGAAGGGTAAAGGCCAATTGTTCTGTTCAGCTGAGGCCACCGAGCTGGACAAGAACTTCCAAGGCTGCCAGGAAGACTGGGAGTACAAGCACCCCGATAATCATGGTTGCAAGGCAGTAGTCCAGATGATGCATGGTTTTGTGGACAAAACCATTCCTCGTGAGCTGCAGCGGTTACTGGATCAGATATCAAACAACTCAGTGATACCCCTCATAACGGAAGCACGTTGAGGATACGCGGTGTCGAGCCTGGAGTGCTGTCCTTTTCTTGGAAGTTGTTGCGAAAGGAAGACGGAAAGGTGCTGGGTTTGTTGGAGTATGAAGCGCCACATCTCTGGAGCTTCGTGCACCCCGTCGGCGGAACAGGGTATCGTCGCCTGCAAGCATCAGCTTGTACTCAAGATTCTGAAGGGCTGGAGGACTACCGTAGCTGTCATTGTCAAGCAGTCATGCGATTGCGGTGTTACGAAGATGACAACTTGCAGCATCAGACCAAAGAAAGTGCGAGTGATCGGGCAACGTTTGTACGCAGCAACGGTTTTGCTGTCGAGATTGGGCTGTTTCCACAGCAGGTTCTGAGGTACCTCACTCTGTACATCTATCCAGATGATCCGAACAAAAGCTTGTTTGAATTCGATTCCTATGTCAACCTTAGAACGGTCCTCAGTCTGCTTCAAGAAGAAGCGATAGATCGCAAGTGGGTCTGATCAGAGTTTTCAAGAACGGTGTTTCGAGGAAGGCAAAATAATAGTGCAGCGACAAACTGACACTCCACATGGAAGGTGACATACGCATTGTACTGTAAGAATGAGGTGCCTGTGAAACCTCCTGCGAGCAACCATCTGGACTACGTTACCATGAGCCTCCTACAGGTATCATGACAGTTAGCTGCTTAAGAAATTCAAGTGCAAAGCTTCATAGGCCTCAACCAACAGTTTCACGTACTCGCTTCATATTATACCCCGCAATCTTTCTGCGTGCAAGTAACCGCTCGAAAGCTCTTCTTATTGAAGTCACGTGTTCAGTAATCGCTCGAAAGCTCTTCGTATCGTAAGTCACGTGTTCATGGCGGCGCACGTAACTCCCGGCGCCATTGATATCTTGCTTGAATGCAATCTCACAGAAGACTCATGCTCATCCTTTAGTATGTGCAAGGCCAGCCGCTGATCAACCGGCGGTATGCTAGACGGATTCCTTGCAGACATACTGTTTGAAGATCTTCGAGCTTGTCTCTGATGGCATGCATCATTAAAACCCGCGTGCAAATGCAAAAGCCGGAATCACGTTCAGTGGTTTACCTCGAAAAAGGTGACGCCCATTGCCCCAATCGCGGCCGCCAGCGTGACCTTTGGACGTTGCTAGACGCCTCAAGATTGATGTCGAAAGCAAGGGAATTTTCGACTGCCATCCGTACACAGAACGACTCCGTGGCACTCCGAGATTGATGTCGGCATAGTTTTAATCTGGACGGCAGATGAATTTGAAAGATGATCCACGATATCTTTTGTTCCAAGCAGGCAGCCTGGAAAGTAAACTAAAACAGGAAGCATCTGCTCTTTCAGCGCACCGCTGACAGCGATGGCCAGCGCTTTGTAGAGTGCCTCACTGAGGCTCTCTGGCGCACGAAGCAATCTTACTCTCAACAGAAGTAGCTCAGCAAACTCTAAGGTCAAAGCGTGATGCAAAAGGGCACGTAAGTGTGTTATTGAAACACAGGTTTTGACTCCGTCTGACGTGGCAAGTGGTGAGTTGCCGAGATTGTTACGTCAGCCGTCCGCGGGGGCAGGGTTTTGAGTCCATTGTGACGCCCGCGCGGCCGCGTTCGAAGTGTCGCGTCAGGCATACAGTCAGGCATATAGATGAACGAACACACAGCTCAGAGGCTCCAGAGTCTGAGCAAGACCAGATGGAGACGCTTGACGCCCCTCTCTTTGATCACCTGCTAGGCTTCCTCACGGCCAAAGAAGCGTGCAGCCTGGCTCTTCAATCGGTGGCGCTGAGGCAAGCTGTGGACGAGAGTACGCTCTGGAAGACATGGTGCGAGCGCCTAAACCCGTCTATCACGACATCTCCAGCAAAGGAGCTTGTTCAGAGGCTCTATGGGGTGCGCTCAGGCGAGAACAAAAGCTCTGCCTACAAGCAGCTCTACAGAAGACTAAGTGGGAGGCGAGGTGCTTGTGATAAAGCGTCCAGAAATGAGGAGGGAGCTTCAAGCTCAGATGACGTTTCAGATCTCTCCGGCTACGTCATGCTGATGGACATTTACTGGGAAGGGGAAGGCCGACTGTTTTGTTCAGCTGAGGCCAGCGAGCTGGACAGGAGCTTCCAAGGCTGCCAAGAAGACTGGGAGTTCAACCACTCGGAAAATCGTGGTTGCAAGGCAGTAGTCAAGCTGCTGCATGGGCCTGTGGGCAGAACCGTTTGTCATGAGCTGCTGCGCTTCCTGGATCGGACATCAGAAATCTCAGTGATTCCTCCAACTAACGGAGAATTGTTTAAAATACACGACGACGATCTTGAAGAGCTATCCCTGCTGTCCTTTTCTTGGAAGCTTTTCCGCAAGAAAGACGGGAAGGTACTGCGTTTGCTGGAGTGCGAAGCGCCAACTCAGTGGGGCTTCGTGCACCCCGTTGGCGGGAGATGGTATCGCCGCCTGCAAGCGTCAGCTGTTGTTGATGTCCCAGAAGAGCTGAGGGACGACCGCAGCTTTCTGCAAGCGATGATATTGGGCGACACCCGTAGCTGTCAAGCAGTCATGCGATTGCGGTGCTACAAGGACGAAGACTTGCGGCATCAGACCACAGAAAACGCGACTGAGCGAGCAACGTTTAATTCCTGCAACGATTTTGCTGTCGAGATTGGGCTGATGCCATGGGGGCTCTTCAGGGAGCTCGTTCTGCGTTTCTATCGCCTTGATCCAAACAAGAATCTGCTTGAAGACGATGCGTATGTCGAGCTTGGAAGGGTCCTCAGTCTTCTTCAAGAAGAAGCGATAGTTGATATGTGGGTCTGATTAACGACAGTCGTCAAACTCCGTTTAAAGGAGGGAAGAGTCATCAAAGTCGTTTTTAGAAGGGAAGAGTAGGTAGTGTAAAGTGACAAACCGACAGTCCCTCGTCTGAAAGGTGACATATGTAATCAAAGAGGTGCCTAAGAAATCTTCTGCAGAGAACCATCTAGATCACAATGATTACTATGAGGCTCCTAAAGGCATCATCGCAAGTATCTGTGCTTTTGAAGTTCAGAGCTTCGTAGGCTTCATGTCAAACATATGCAACCGTCGTGTATTTTTACAGGCCACTTGTTGTACCCAACAAACATTCTGAGTACGTGTCAACAGCCCCTCGGAATAGCGCGGCTTAGCGCGCAGCTGTTCAAAACTTGATGTAAGCCACATATTCATGCACGCGCAAATATCCATCAGTGCACCTTCATGCATCAATTCCATATATCTGCGGAGCCTTGCGCATGTTGGTACGTCTTGGCAGCACCTGGATTATAAGCGTCCGCATGACCATGTGCAAAATGTGACCGTTCTATTTGACTTTATAAGTACACCTTGTGCAGAAGAATGATGATTTGATCGCGTACTCATACGTTGGGTTTAGTCCAATGCACGACCTTTATAGTTGTAACTAGATTGAAAATGATCGTGTAAATCTCAAAAAGTTGCATCATGTGCCGGTAAAGTTCCGATCAGCGTTTGGATATGGTCGCCAGACACTTGATTGGCACTGACAGCACTTTATTAGTCGCCGACTGCTATTGAGGTATAGCGTTCACAGTCAGAACCTTCATACTGCATGCGATGACGATTGAGATTGTGCAGTGCGACTGCAGAATTACAAGAGAAGCAGATTGCAATGAATTGGGGATCGAGGCGGCACTTTCGACAAGAAACAAAGCGCGGCAAGAGCGGCGTCAAGGTACGTCTAAAGTGCACAGCATGTCATGATGCGAAACAAATTGCATCAGATGCTGGAACTGCTAATGCGAGCAATCGTGACAGGACGCAACAGAAGGTTGAAGCATTCACGCTGTGTTTGTCCGCCTTCCTACTTCAAGAGCCAGCTCTGTATCTATGTTCAGGCTGATGTCCAGAGCAGTCACGCTGTGTGTCAAAGCACCACTGCAATGAGACCCAAAGAAGACGAAGGTCAGCGCGTGATCCCGTCGTGGCCCTTGCTTTGTCTACTCCAAGAAAGGAATCAAAGCGCGCACGAAAGGGCGACGAGACAAAATTTATCGATCATTGAGGCTCTGACGCGTATGTCCAGATCATCACTCAAGCGCTGCCATCACAGTCAATCAATCACGTGAGCAAGTGGCCAGCTATGCAAGTTGCGTCAACGAGTCCGCTGGCAAGACGAAACCAGCAGAATGCGTCAAGCGTCGGTGCAGTCTTTACCTCGAGATGAAAGTCACGCCCGTCGCTCCGATCGCATTCACGGTCGCCAAAGTGACGTTGCCAGACGCCTGGTCAATGTGAGAAGACGAGCAATGCTCAGACTCCAACCACGCACAAAACGACTGGCTCAAGGAGACGCTTCTCAAAGCCTCGACGGCCAGTAAGGGAGGCTGAAAGGTTCGTGGCTCCAAGCAGGCAGAAAGCTAGAAAGGAGAAGCGTGTGCTATACCAGAAACCTGAAGACAGACATGGCCGCCGCTCTGTAGAGTGACTCACTGAGGCTCTCTGGCGCGAAATGCAGGTTGTGTCTTATCAAACGTTCGCCTAGTCGAACGGACTCCTGTCGAAAGCGTCTTGATGAGCAGAAAAATCGACGGCCAATTCTTACAACCCAAGACGCAACCAACGCTTGAACCTCCTTTCCGCCTCACCTCAGTTTCGCACCGGCCGTCAATCAGCTTGACGGCCGTCCGCAGCATGTCCGTATCTACACCACCGTCCGGTGATACCGTCACCATGTTGTCCAGCATGACGCGAGTCACGCGCCCCCGGCCCTCGCCCAGGCAGCCGAGCACCGCCTCCACTTCCGCCAAAGTGCGAGTCTCCACCTGCGGCGGATAACGACGTTCCGAGACTTTTCAGTGGTTTCGTTTGTTGTGAATGATTCAAAAACTAAAAACTTTCACGCAGGAGACTGCTGTCTTTCACCGCTTCCAGGATTCTGAAGGTGTACAATCCATTCTATTTCTGGTACACCTAGGATTCTCCCCCCCACGAACGGTGCAACACTCATCTTTTGCAATTCAAAACCGATCACAAAGAAACATCACGGGCCTCAGTACAGCACAACGGATTCGCACGGGCTGCTCACCTCCACTCCCATGTCTAGATTGTTTTCCCGCAGGTATTCCCGGGCGCCTTCTACCGCCCCCTCGATTCCGCCGGCCGCCGCGATGTGGTTGTCTTTGATCATCACCATGTCGAAGAGGCCCATCCGGTGGTTCTCGCCCCCGCCGATCAGAACCTGAACGGGAAAAGGGCGGTCAGCAGTCTGATACGACGCGTTGCTGCTATAGGTAGTCACTGGGAGAAATAGACAAGAGGGGAATCAAACAAGAGGGTGTCTGCAGTACGACCGACGAAGAAAGACAAGCACGGAACGTTTCTGAACCGATGGCCCAGGAATGAATATAGACGAGTACTCAGAACTGAACATGGATGAGTACCCGAAATCTCAAGAAACCGGGGTCAAGCAAGGAGTTCAGCGAAACCCCAACGCCGGTGCAAATGCAACCGAGGAAAGGATGCCTTAGCGTCCAAAGGAACTTCGGACCGGGCTGGAAAGGATGCCTTTGCGAAGGACTGCACCAGTCGGGGACTAGAATGGCGGTAATCAAGTGAAACACGTCCGTTTCCGACAACAAAGAAGACTCACCGCCCACTTGTCGATCAGCCGCAGTCCAGGAGCGGTCTTTCTCGTCTCCAATATGCGGGCGGGTTTCGCGGCCTCAGCCATCTTCTGCAGTAGGCGAAGGCCAAAAGATGAACTCCAACCAGCCGCGGCTTTTGTAAGAGCACCGCATGAGTAACGATGCGAAAATGGGCAAAAATGCGGGATGTTCTTGAGCATGTTTCCAAAGACTCGCCGTTTCTGACAACCGACCGAAATGCACCTGCGAACCACAATCCGGCGATTGGAGCGACCACCATAAGCCTGCATTCCAGCCTGCGCTGCTTTATGTAGGACAAGGACTGATTGGAATCTTAGAGAGGACTGGGGAGTAAGACTGACCCGTGTGGCAGTGGCGATCCCGCTCATTCGTTGCATGAAGTTGAGGGCGATGCGCTCGGCGGTCAGTATACTGCGGGCGTTCCCTGCAAACACAGAGCACGCAGACCCAGTCGGCGAGTTTCGGAGTCCGCTCCATGCGAACACTGGCCTTTCGTCATCGTGTAAAGCATTTTTTGGTGTCTCACAAAGAAACGCCTGTGAGTATCGCTCCAGTCAAGAGTTGCAAACAAAATAGTCCGCTGAACATGCACGACTTTGGAGCTCCATTACTCAGAGCCTGCTAGATTCCAGTTACTAGGCAGGCCCAACTTGGTGCAATCGTCCTTACCTCGGACCGTTCCAAAATGTTGACCTTTTGCAATCAGGTCCCCGTCCTCTGCTGACCACTCGACCTGAAAGAGAGAGTGTCGAGTTGCTCATGTTTCAGAGAAGCGTTGCTTTTCAAGCCTTCAGCAGCTTCTCAAAGAGGATGCTGCTTTCTGAAAGAATTTTGCGATATGCGCTAGAGAGTAAGCAGACCAAGAACCACTCCAAGCAAGTCACTTCTGAAGAGTGCCACGTGTCACCTGCAATAGGTGCACGGGTTGAAACAATGAAAACCAAACGGAAAGTATTACAGCAACACTTCTACGGTCAGGGTTGCTCGTCCTCATGCACTAAACGCCTTGATTGGCTTCGAGCATTCAGAGTTGCAGGCTCTTATGACTGTTGATCCGAGTCTACAATTTTCCCGCTCTTAGACTCCCACGGTCGATACGTACCTTAAAACCACGGATGACAAATCTGGATTCGATAAAAGAAGAAAAAGATCCCCATGCGAAAAAAAGGGCCTCGCACGCAACAATTTGCCGACCAAGATACAATCACCTGACGTCCGACGTGCAGATGATACCTTTACATATTGATCAGTCGTAAATGACTCCTGCTAAGTGGCTATCCTCATTTGTGATGGTTCTCTAAAAGAGTCAGCTGCACCTATGCATACCTTCAAAGTCGGATCCACTTCCCGGAACACAGCGTCTGCAACAGCGACTCCCGCCAGGACCCCGTCTGCTTTCGCCAGGAACTGCGCCTCAGCCTGAGTGACAGGAGGGATGGTGGCCAAGCAAGTGACATCCCCTGAGCGGAACCAAAAAGTGGTAGTCAGCGGCTATGGAATCACTATTCGAGAGTGACCCCAGTTGGCTTACCAAACAATGATTCTGACAGCCTTGATCAGAGCTTTCTGAACAGGTCCTCCAAAGCCTCCAATCTCTTAGGGGCAACCACACAACCAGCACCGTTCAACTGTCAGTATAAGTAAAAGGTTGCTTAAGGGCTTCCACAAGTAAGATGCAAGTGGAGAAGCAGAAGTGTAAACGGGCCCCACCTCGATCCCCTGCATCTTCCTTCAGGGCCAGCTGAATAATTGTGGACAGCTCATACGAGGGGTGCGCAGGTGCGGGGACTGGGGCACGGGCACGACTGCAAACGCAGAGCATAGCAAGACTTTAGCGCAACCCTTCGGTATGGAAGTCATAGGTCGTCAAGCTTCTCTGTTGTTTCCAGCAGGACACACCTTAGAGTCTTTCCCTGCAAAAGTAACAATATCTGGTTGTTTCATACACAGAGAGCTGGGACCTTTAGAACTCACCTTAGTGATTCGTCCACTGCTACAGCTGCCCTCGCCATCGCTGCGCTGGCGTGTCTACCACCCCCCGCTTGTCTCCAAAGGCCCTCTGGCAATCTCAGGGGCACTAGTATTGCCTTCTGAGTATTTTGCAATTTGGACCTTGAGTTCTGGTGAGAGTCGATGAAGACGGAGCTGCTGACAGCACCACACCCACAGCAGTGCAGAGCGCTGGACATGATTCAACTAGTGCGCGGTGCCCTCCTTCCCTGTCTCCTTAGATCCGAATGAAGTTTGTGTCCTTGTGACCTGCAAAAAGATGAGGAGAATGGTATCAGCTGCAGAGTACAGGGATTGTGATTGAATGTCACAAAGGAGCCTTTGAAGAAAAAGGCTGGCTCTTAAACTTTGCATGCTTTGATGAAGAGGTTGACACTTGTAAAACTTGATTCAGAGAGGACTCAGAAGATTGTTCTTAACAGGTAAGTGAAATCAAACATTGTCTTTTCAAAGGTTCTGAGTTTGGCTGCCAGTAGGATTCAACTTGAGCACCACTCGTAGTACAGATTAAGCGAAGAAAGGGTGGCATAGTTACATGATGACACTTGGTTGATCACATTATGGATTTTGCCCCTCGCTTTATTCATGTAAAAAAGTTTCAGAACAACAGTCTACTGTGATACATACACCACTCCTCAATCTGAGGATTCAAAATTCCGCGGCAGTACAGAATAGAAGATTGGTCTCATTGAAGCACCCACCACACCGGTTTGTCATGCGCTCCTCAAGGCAAGCTGGCTTGCAAAGGATGAAAGGCCCTCTTGACCTAAGAGTTGAAAGGATCAAAAACCTGCCAGTCTCAGGACCAGTACATCATAAGATGCTGAACAATCTAATCAGACACCAACTGCTGTTGACATCACCAGAAGATGCTGCTTCCTGCGCCTTTTCCACGATCTCCTCACGGACCTGGACCTCAGCCTCAACAAAGTTTTCAAGACTCAGCCTGCCCGGGCGGCCGCGCGACTGATAGGGCGGCCGCGCATTCGCCCACAGCCTACCGAATCCAGTTGGCGCAACCTTCAATTCTAACCAAACTCGAACCGGGCGCGCCGAACCACGTGGCTGGGGCTCCGTACGATCGGACCCCGGCCTTTTTGGGTACGCTGCCGGGTGACGGGATCAGCTACCCCCCGCACTCAATTGTAAGCTCAAACTGCCGCCGGACAATGTGCCGTTTGCGCTTCAGCGGACGGTCCCGAAAATTTCAGTCCATTTTTGCAAGTAATCACTATATCTTAAGGATTATATAGTTGACAAAAATCGACTGCGGTGCGTACGGCCCGCTCTGGTAAAAACGCGCATTGTTTTCTCGCAGATTTTGCCCCCCCCCCCCCCCGGCCGGTCTAGCTTTTACTTGTGTCAGATACCGAATCATACTTGGAATACGTCAAAATCTATCTCAGACCGTCAAAAACTACGGGCGAGCGTCAAAAACTACGGGTGAGCGTCAAAAACTACGCTGTTAGTACATGCAGCAGTACACACTACGACCGCACTGTCGCAACGCTCAAACACGTCGATTCCCGACCGTTAGATTATGCGTCGACGGTCTTTTAAAAGCGGTTGCGGTTTCCTTCCCGGCGGGGCGCCGAAGCTGACTTCAAGCACGCTCCGCGGGCCGCCGACATGTTCCAGAAGCTTCCATTGGGCTCCTATTGGTGGGGAAAGAGCCTTTGAATCAGCACTTCCCTGCCTCTTTCTTCAAACTTTGTTGCCGACCAGCGCTCAGGGGCGCAACAAAAGCATCATCGCAGGTACAGCATGCGGCCCGCCTCATAGCTTTGCATCTCAACGCTCATTGCCGCAAGCATGGCAGCACGACCGCTCCATGGATTGCACTCGGCGGAACAATTTGCAGAGTTCCAGAGAAGTATGCGCATATCAGGAATTCAAACCGGAGAGGCTCACCATGATGCTGTGGAAGAAACGAGCGCCCATGCCAGCTACCAGGTGACCTTCAACTGAGCTCGCGGGTCAGCTCCGTCGCCAACCTAGGGTTTCTGACTGGCATCAGCTCCATCACAAGGTCAGCTCCAGTCATGCTCATGTTTCTCAGCTCTACTCTGGGATTTGGTGCTCATAATAGCAAAGCTAGGCTCAACTAATTTATGTATCCTTCCAGGCCATGTCTGCGGTCACTCCTCCATCATGCTGCAACAGCGCATCGCTCTCAGAGGGCTCATCCGAAGGCAGTCTGGACTCGTCCGACGGCGGTCGGATGCTGTCGCCGGTGAGCTTTCTCTCGGATCCGGCGTTGCCTTTCAACCATCCATTGATGATCGATGCACGGTCCTTTCGAAGGATTGGCAGCTTTTGTTTGCGAGTTGTGCGGAATGCATTTTGAGTTTCGTCTGAGCCTAGGCTCCAGCCAGGATTTGCGAGCTAGCGCGTGGTCCTGCTCCTCCCTCCTCCTGCCAAAGACTCACGCAGTCAAAATTTGTCAGGTATATTGTTTTAAAGACTATAGAGATTACTTGCAAGTTTTGACTGATTCTTTGGGACCCCGTGCCTCCAGGTCGCGCCGTGTTCTGGCCTTCTGCCGCTCCGAGAGAGCCCCCCCTGGGCGGGCACCTCCGAGACTCCAGCTGGCGGCCATCCACAGCCTTTGGTGAGCTAGTGAATCTTAGGCATGCTGCAAGGCAAGCACACTCGACTGGTCAATACACCCTTCCGAAGGGCTGACAGCTGTTGTTTGCGAGTTGTGTGGGATGCCTTTGGAGCCTCCAGACAGGATTCGCGAGCTAGCGCGCGGTTCTGTTCCATCTCTCCTCCTGCCAAAGACTCACGCAGTCAAAATTTGTCAGGATATTAGTACTAAAGATATAGAGTCTAGTCGCAAATATTGACTGATTTTTTTGGAACCCCTCACCTCCGAGGTTGCGCCGCCCTCCAGCATTCTGCCGCTCCGAGAGGGGCCCCCCGGGGGGGGCACCTCTGTGACTCCAGCTGGCGGCCATCCACAGCCTTCGGTGAGCTCCAAGTCATGCTCGTGGATGCGCTAGCTTTCATGGCGATTCGCTTGGGGGCGGGGCGAACTTAACCCCTGACAAAACGCTATCGCTCCCTCCACCCGAGACTCCCAGCAAGCCAATTAAAGTCTTGTTGCAAGATCCCATCATTTGTGAGTCTAACGTGTGGCCTTGCACTCCTTGCTTGCAGGAAGGCGATGGCGCAGACATCCATGGAGCAACAGGCTCGGAACTGGCAAGCGACCCAGTGCAGCAGCTTGGACAGCAGTCGATTTTTGCGACTATACTCTATATCTTTAGAACTATATACCATGCAAAACTCGACTGCGTGACCGTCGGCCAGAAGGATGGAGGAGCTTCCGCGCGCTAGCTCGCAAGTACTGACTGTCTGCGAACTCCGCGCGAGCATGTGAGGCATACCGCCAGCTGGCACGCGTCCCTCTCTAGCTTGGATTGCCGCGGTGCAGGAACTTGGAATCAGTCAAAACTTGCGTCTATACTCTATATCTTTAGTACTAATATCCTTTCAAATTTTGACTGATGGCGGTCAAGCGGAAGGATGGCGGAGGACCGCACGCCAGCTGGCAATCCTGACTTTTTGCAAACTCTGTGCGAGCACGTGTGGCATGCCTCCATTCTTGCAAATCACCAGCTGGCACACGCCCCTCTCCAGCTAGGACTGCCGCGGTGCAGGAACTTGAATCAGTCAAAACTTGCGTCTATACTCTAAATCTTCAGTACTAATATCCTTGCAAATTTTGACGGATTGACAGTCCGCCGGAAGGGTGGTGGAGGACCGCGTGCCAAGTGGCAACTCTTGACTGAACCGCTCGGTCTCTATGTGCAGCGGCAGCTGCGGCACAGTCCGGCGGTTGCAGCTCCAAGTCCACCAGATACCCGGGGGCGGTCTCCTTCGCAGGGGCTACCGATTAGCAGCCACGTCTCCGGGGGACCCAAGCTCTAGCGACGGTCAAGCGTAGCTTTAGGTACGAACTCTACAAAATTTCTTACTTTAGCTAGACTTCATCCTCAATATTGCTCGAGTACCTTAGGCAGTATCAGGATTCAAAAGCATTGAAAAAACGCATAAGAACACGTCCACATGTGTGCCATGAGAAGCCTATGGCCTGTTTGGCTACTGCGTTTTTGTAAAGAGACCATACCATATGACCTCAGTTACACTTATGGAATTTAACATTCAATCGGGCTTCACCTGAATAATTTCGTATGATTGCAACTGACATGATCTGAATTCGAGCAGTTTGCATCTAGGACCATATGCGATATGTTCGACTCCCCTTGAGTTAGGGACCAAGTGCTATCGTTCAATTTCCTTTTCCCTTAACTTATTCGAGATGGTCACTTGCTTTTATACACCCTGAGCCACGTTGAGCCATTGGGCAATGCTCCGGTGAGACGCAATACGATGAGCTGACACTGCAGCTTGCTACGGCTGCAATGTCATGTCCAAGTTGTAACTTCGTAACGAAATCAAGCATCACGTCGCTGCAAAACTACATAATCGTGCATAGGAGGGGAATGTATCTGAGTATGTCTCGTAAGCTATGCTATGCATGAGTAACAAAGGCAGGGTGGCGTTATGGCAAACTGCTGTGGCGGACTCGTTATCTGGCTATGTAGCTCAAATGCTAAAGCTACTCGTCTTGGGCCTTGCCCTTAAGGATGCGCTTGTGGGTGAGGTCCGCGATGTCGTGCATGATTCAAGATCCATATATCAAGATTGCATGAAAGCAGGCATGACGAGTTGCAGTGGCATTCAGATTTGAAAAGGTGAAGTCAGAGACGTTCACCTTTTGGTGCTTGTTTAAAAAGAAGAAACACCAGAAAGTTCTTTGTTAGAACACGGCACTGCAAGTCTTCATATCTAGCTATACATGCAATCTTTCTCTTTCAATATCAAACAAATGAATGTCTTTAGGAATTGTCCTCTTTTCCATGGTCACATCTTGTCCTTCAGCATCCTAGCATGTGAACTCTGGTTCCCTTTGCTACTGCCTTCAGAGGATGTTGAACAAGAACCTAGCAAAGTCTCTTGTCATTGGAGAAGTGTTGGGCCTGGGTTAGGACTTCACGTAGCTATATCTACTGTTATTCTTGTCAAAAGTATTGTCAAATTTTTTGAGAATATTTACGTTGACAAGTCCTGCAGAAACAACGCAGCAGCTCAATCTGAAGAACATTCATGCGAAGACAAAGTTGCAAGCCAAAGGAAGACATTCTTTGCTTCCAAAATTGACCATATCTCAAAGCCTTGCACAAGCAAGGTACACCGGTGTCTTGGTCATCAATAAGCTCAATTCAAGTTTGCGTCTATGAACTTTGCTTGGCTAATTATTGCAGATGGTTCATGCATCCAGATGCGTTATTTCACTCGTGATTGTTAGATGCCAGAAAGCAGCAATCATACCAAGCACGCAGAACTTTGACCAGAAACGATCAGTCTTAAAAACCAGCTTACCTCGAGCCATCTATTTCGCCCCTTGTAGAGCATGCTCACATGTTAGCAGATCTACATATAACAAAATCTGCAGCAGATTCTATTCTTAACAAAATCTGCAGCACATTCAATTGCATGAGCATATGCAAGAAGCGATTATGCATGGTGGTGGCAACAGTAAGAGCAGGATTGACGAAGTAACCATGTTGGAGAAACCACTTGCAATGTTGATCTGCTTCGATGCAGAGCAGAAGTATGACCAAAGGGCTTCTGCTTGTTCAGAATGTCAAACAGGAAGGAATAACTCTCATTACCTTCACTTGCACTTCCAGGTTTTGAAACTTTTCAAGGATGAGCTTTTGGTTGTGGTTCATCTGCATCTTTATCATTCTGACATCTGTCTGCATGTTGCGGACATCCTTGCCAACCTTCTTCAGGTCAGTCTCCAGAGGTTTCACATGCTTAAAGGTCACGTCTCGTACCTGTCAAAACATGGACAAGATATCAAGGGAGACGATCACTCAACTTCTAACGTTTGATCCTCACTTGCCGGCAGACATACAGAGCTTCTCAAATGGACGATTGACAGAGCAGTGCTTAAACAATCCTGAATGGCAGAAATCGTCCAAGTCACCAGGCATACACTTCATGGCAGTGATGCTATCTATCAGTTGGAAGTTGAACACTGGCAATCTACATTGCTCTTCAAACTATTCAATACTTTTGTCATTTTTGAAACTGTTGGAACTCTGCAACAATGAGTTAGTTTTCTTAATCACTTTACCATGTGAAGCTTGTGAAATCAAAACTTACAAACGAATTTGCCCCGTAGGCCATCAATGCCACCGATGCGCCACCAATGCCAAGAGTTACCCACGATACACCCGTCTCAATCACAGAAGTAGGTACACGAATAGTGGTACTGTTACTGCTTGCTGCTTTTTCACATCTTGCTACCGCCGCCGGCCTTCTGTGCCGATTCTCGTAGAAAGTCATCATTCTCGGGTTTCCACCAAAGCCACCGAATCCACCAAATGAGCTTGCCATTGTGTCCTTTCTTAAACTGAGCTGCTTTCTGCTCTGTCCTTCTATTGCAGCCAACGTTAGGACCTGCCTGATTCAATTCTACAAGGTGCCCAAATTCCTCCTAGCTCCCTTTGCCTCTGCCTTCTCCTTAACTACACAATAGATACCTATAGGAGCTGCAAAATTCAATTCTTAATACCGGGGCGCTGAACTTTGGAAATTCAAACGATAGCAGTTTTGTCACGGTTATGCCCCCTCTGAAAGCTGCAAATCCAACTAGGTAGCTTCGGCTGACCTTGATCTGCTGGATAATCTTCTCAGTTCTCTCATCAGAAGCCGGTCTGAGTGCTGTGTCAGCGTTCAACTTCAAGCTAGAGTGACACTCAGTGGTTTGTTGGTCCCAATCAGCAGCAAACCAAATGAACTTCAACCTTATTTTCAGCAGTGTTTGCCACGAGCCGCTAATGGCTCTGGACCTGGCCGGTAAAAAGTCGAATTCGGCCGGTGCCGAAGGCACCGAGCCGGCTCGGTACCGGCACAAATGCCGGTGGAATAAACAGGGGACCGGCTCAAATAACAGAGAGAAGATCAGTTCTGCCTTCGAAGAGACCGGTAAAGAATATACCGGGCCGGTCCGCAAGCAACTTCTGCCGATGAAAACGCCCAGTAGCCAGCAGAATGCCGGTCCCGGGCAAAGCTATGGCAAACACTGATTTTCAGCCGCCCGATAGCTGACGCGTGTCCCCCCCGGCCCGAGGGTCCGACTGTCCGCAAAAATCGAGACTCAGCACCGTCGAAATGCCAAACCTCCACCGACTGCCGGTCTTAATCCTTTACCGCAGCCATTACCGCTTCTACGGGGCTGGCCATTTGAATATCCGGAGCACTGGAAAAAATTCATCAAATTGGCACACCGGGGCGGTGCTTTTGATTCCGGCGACCTTAGTCAGTAACCCTCTTCCAAATTTCAGCTAACCCGTGGGGTTATATGACACTCAAATAGTACAGTAACCCGAACGCGACAAATCTAGACGGGTTTAAATGTCATCAAACGCGCCGCCAGACCTCGTGATCGGTCCTCATGGGGGTGTAAGAGCTAAACCGGCCGGGGGGCAGAATCTGCGGGAGAACAAGGCGAGTGTTCGCCCCCCACTGCAAGAGCGGACCGTACCCACCGCAGTCGATTTTTGTCAACTATATAATCCTTCAGATATAGTGATTACTTGCAAAAATCGACTGATTTTTTCGGGACCGTCCGCTGCAGACCGCGTCGATTCCCGACCGTTCGATCGTGCGTCGACGGTTTTTCAAAAACGGTTGCGGTTTCCTCCCCGGCGGGCCGCCGATGCTGACTTCCTGTCTGGCATGAACCTCCGTCCGCTGGCCTGCTTAAGTAATTTTTGGCGTACCGGGCGCAGTCCGGGCATCCAACGGTTGAAATCGTTCTATTTTCTAAGATCGGACGGTACGCCGATTGCCTTTGCTGAACAGAAGGCTGAGTCCATCCCCCGCCTAAAGGTCGCAGAAAGGAGGGACAGCGCCCGAAAGTGGTGAAGTCCAAAATTGTTATTTTGCCCAGCACCTCAGACTGGCCGCCATGGCTGCCGACATGGCTGAAATGAGCTGGGAGCAGCACCCATGACCAAAATTTCTCAAACCCAACGGCAACCTGAAGCTATGTGCAACCTATAAATTGAATACCAGCTGCTTTCAAAGGTAAATTTGATGCACATTCTCCCCCCAAATCCAAAATGTGCCTTTCAACCCTAAAAGGAGCCTCGGAGGCGCAATGGAGGTTTTGTTGAAAGTCGCCGGGGCAACTATACATCAAATTTTGCAATCTCAACGGCAAGACTGCTCTACAAAAAGCAATCCTAGCTTGCTGAAATGCAAAGTTTGTGGAGAAAGACCTTCTACTCTCCCCCCACAGCCCGTCCCTGCCTCCTCAAGCCCTGAGCACAAGGCAGCCATTGCGGCAGTCTTCTGCTTCAAATTACTGGCTGTAGGTGTTCCGGTTTAGGCCTTGACTTCCGGGACTTTGGTTTTACTGAGCAACTTTGTCAGTCTTGGGCAACCGCTGAAAGTGCCCGGGGATTCAGCGGAAGTGACCGTCGATGTCACTTCCTCTGGTTCTGAACCGTCCGATGCACATATTTATCTGAACATTCTAGGGGACAAGAAGTTTATGCCAGACAGGGACTTGGCACGCTCGGCGGGCAGCCGACATGTTCCAGAAGGCTCCGATTGGTGGGGAAGGTGCTCCAACTCAGCACTTTCCCGCCTCTGTATTCAAACCTCAATTGCCGACCAGCCGCTCAGGGGCGCAACAAAAGCATCATCGCAAGTGCAGCACTCCAGCCTCAAAGCTTTGTATCTCAGCGCTCATCGCAAGCATGGCAGCACGACCGCTCCATGGCTTGCAGTCAGTGGAACAGTTTGCAGAGTTCCAAAGAAATCTGCGCCTATCAGGAACTCCGACCGGAGAGGCTCACCATGATGCTGCACAAGAAATGAGCGCCCATGCCAGCTACCAGGTAAGCTGCAAGAGCTCGCGGGTCAGCTCCATCGTCAACTTAAGGTTTCTGACTGGCATCAGCTCCATCACAAGGCCAGCTCCAGTCATGCTCTTGCTTCTCAGCTCTACTCCCTGATAGCAGAGCTAGGCTCAATCAATTTATGTATCCTTCCAGGCCATGTCTGCGGTCACTCCTCCATCATCCTGCAACAGCGCATCGCTCTCCTAGGGCTCCTCTACAGGCAGTCTTGACTCGTCAGATGGCGGTCGGATGCGAACGCCGGTGAGCTTTCTCTCGGATCCTGCGTTGCCTTCCAAACATCCATCGATGATTGATGCATGGTCCTTCCGAACGATTGGCAGCTGTTGTTTGCGAGTAGTGCGGAATGCATTTTGAGTTTCGTCTGAGCCTAGGCTCCAGACAGGATTTGCGAGCTAGCGCGTGGTTCTGCTCCTCCCTCCTCCAACCAGAGACTCATCAGTAGATTTTTGCAATCTATATAGTCCTATAGTCTATATAGTTGTTCGCAAAATCTACTGATTGATTGGAAACCCCACGCCTTCCAGGTCATGCCATATTCTGGCCTTCTGCGGTTCCGAGAGGGGCCCCCCGGGGCGGGCACCTCCGAGGCTCCAGCTGGCGGCTCTCCACAGCCTTTGGTGAGCTCCTTCGGCATCCGTCCCCATTGCTGCAAGGCCAGCACACTCTACTGGTCAACAATGATGGACCTTTCTGAAGGCCTGGTAGCTGTTGCTTGCGAGTTGTGTGGGATGCCTTTGGAGTTTCGTCTGAGCCTCCAGATAGGATTTGCAAGCTAGCGTGTGATCCTGCTCCTTCCTCCTTACGCCAGAGACGCGGCAGTAGAATTTTGCAATCTATATGGTCCTATAGTCTATAGAGTTGTTCGCAAAAATCTACTGATTTTAAGGAACCCCACGCCTTCTAGGTCGCGCCGCGCTTCAGCAATCAGCCGCTCCGAGAAAGCCCCCCCAGGGTGGGCGGCACCTCCAAAACTCCGGGTGGCGGCCCTCCACTACCTCCGGTGAGCTCCGATCCCGTGCTCGTGGATGGCCAAGCTCCCATAGCGCTTCGCTTGGGGGCCGGGCGAAGCCCCTAGCAAAGCGCTATCGCCCTCGCCGCTGCAGGATCCCATCATCCGTGAGTCTAACCTGTGGCCTTGCGCTCCTTGCTTGCAGGAAGGAGATGGTGCGGATATCCACAGTGAATCACGCTTGGACGAGGAAGACAGTAGCGTTACCCAGCTTCCCGCCCCAAAACGCAGCAGGTAGGGGCTTTGCTAGGGCTTCGTCGGCTCCTTCCCGATCGCCAAGCAGCTCGTGCATTTTGCAAGCCCACACAAGACCATCGCAAGCAGGCCTCGCTCTTTCTGCACTCTGGAACTAATCGTTATTAGTGCATTCAACAGGCGCACAACAAAGACTCAACTGCCGACGCACACCGCTGAGGCGAGCAGAAAGGCCGCAACCTTCATGGCCGAGCAGAAGGCCGAGCTGAAAGCCGTTCGAGCCCGTCAGAGACGCGAACTCGGCTGAGCGAGCTTGGAGGACACGCTCGACGATGTCTTAGAGGCGGATGTGAATTTCGACCCTCGGCACTGGAATTTGATGGAAGACGGCAACATCATCTGGGAAAAGCCACCCCCTCAACCGAATGACGCCCACAAGCAGAGCACGTTGCCGGGGTGCCTGACCTCCGCCCGATCATCAAAAGCGGTGAGGCATGCGTCGCCTGCAACAAACGCTCAAAAACAAGACGACAAATAGCTTTCCAATCATTCAGACTGGAGAGCTCCCCTCACCTGTGCCCACAGCTAACGGCGAGTCTGCGAGCCTCATCTTGTTCCATGCATTCTCGTTCGATGTCCTTGCCTTCCAGCTCGTCCCTCTTCTCCGATAATGCAATCATAGCCTTGATCCTCTGCTCAGCTTTCAGGGCTCGGAGAGCTTTTGCTTTTGCGGCCTTTGCGAGCTTCACCTCTTCCACGGACTTCGTCATCGATATGTATGTTCACCAACGGAAATGTCCGACTGATATTGAACGCAATGACCGTTCTGGGAAGCCTCACCGCTCTGCAGACCTGCTGAACCTCAAATACCCGCCATCATTGCTTTGCTCGTGGGTTTTGCCCACGCACTCGTGGCACGCGAGTCACTCCGTGCATCTTTTCTGAACACAATCCTTCACACCTGCAGGTTCTGCCGCGAGTCGAAGTCAACTGGAGGACCGAGGCGCAGACCCGGCCAGACCAGGAGCAAGGCAGATGAAGCCTCTGCCTCCAGCCTCTCGACCGCTTCGCTTGAAGGGTGGGGCAAAGCCCCCAGCAAAAGCGCTATTGCCTTCCCCTCATTTGTTGGTACTTACGGATGCCAGTAAGGCATTGCGGCATGTACCAATCCGTCCCCCCCCTTGCTCGTGTTGTACCTGTTCTGAAAACCCATTTGCGATTATCTGGATCTGTACAGTCGGCTTCCGAATCATTATGTATCATGTCTCACAAAACAGGACCATCTGACTATCCTCCACACTCTTCCACAGACGCGCACACCCACAAGTCGAGCATACTCCCGCCATGAGCGAGCAGGCCGCGGAGCTGATCGCCAACAACAGAGAGGGCCTCCGCGCCTATGGGGTGCAAAGGGCGGCCGAGATCGAAGCTATGCGCACCGGCCCCGTCAGCAAGCCGGGCCCCTTGATCAGCTGCATGGCAGACATGGCCGCACGCATCGGAGCCGACGACACTGCCCCAATCAAGCAGGAGCGATCGACGTTGCGGGACTGGCTCGTCACGCGTGAGGAAAACCCCGAGGTAGGAGGCTCGCTTCGTGCTCCAGCGTGAGAGGCGTGAGGTCAAAAAAAATAAGTAGATTCTTGCAAAGAAGTATATAGACTATAGGACTATATAGGTGACAAAAATCTACTGATGAGTCTTTGGCAGGAGGAGGAAGGTGGGGGACCATGCGCTAGCTCGCAAATTGACATGGGAGAGTTTGGCTAGCTGTTCAAGGTGTTCAGAGTTTTGCACAAAGGTAGGAGGCTCGCTTCGTGCTCCAGCGTGAGAGGGCGTGAAATCCAAAAAAATCAGTAGATGCTTGCGAAGAAGTATATAGACTATAGGACTAGATAGGTGACAAAAATCTACTGATGAGTCTTTGGCAGGAGGAGGAATGGCGGAGGGCCATGCGCTCGCTCGCAGGCCAGCAATCGGTCGGGGTCCTTGCCCAGGAGTGATGGCTTAGGGACCCAGTCAGTAAGCCAATCGGCCCCATCATGCCGGCTCGACGCACCCCCTGCTGGCCTCGTGCACGTGGACGTTCAATGGTCGCTTCGACTCTTTGCAGCAGCCAACGTCCGACGCAAGGGGCGAGAGCATCGAGGACACCATGGGGGGCTCCGCAGACGAAGATGACTGTGCGGCAACCAACAGCAAGCGTCAGGACGTGAGCATGTGCGTGCAGTCACGACCGAAGACCGACGCCGCGGGGCAGTCTTGGTTCACCACGGAAAAGCCGCTGGAGCAGTGCCGACGGGCGATGGCGGCTGGCGAAGACCGTATCTTGATCGTCTGCGACGTGTCGAAGCACTCGGGGGCGAAAAAGTACGGCAGCATCCGCGACCCGTCCGCCTTGCAGGACTACGTCACGCGCCGCAAGGAGATGAGCCTCGGCCACCCCAATCTATACGAGGGCTTGACCGAAGGCCTGCCGACCAAGCTGTACGCGGACATCGACCTGCGGACGGCAAGCAGGGTGGAAGGGGCCTTCGAGCGGTACAAGAGGCACATGGACGAAGTGAGAGACGCCTTTCTGGTGGACGTGATGGGCATCCCACCCGAGAGCATCCGGTTCGAGTGCAGCGAGGCGCACGGGGACGCGGCCGACGGCGGGTACAAGTGGAGCACTCACGAGCTGTTGCGCGGATACTACCTCGAGGACTTTCACGCCCGCAACGAGTACAAGAAGGCCTTTGAGCACTTTCAGAAGAACCTCTCCGCGCATCTCTTGCACTGAGACGAGTACTCAGTACCTCTGGCATACGCCCGACCCCCAGAGAGGCCCCAAGCTGATCTGGGACCCCTCTGTGTTCGCCAAGTTCAAGTGCTTCCGGATGCTCTACTCTCAAAAGAGGGGGTCGGACCGGCCCCCGCTCCCCGTCGAGGGAAGCTCCCCGCAGCTGCTGGACCACATGGTGGGCATCTACTCAGCGGAGGAGCTCGCGTCTCTGAAGAAGATCGACGTTGGAGTGCTGGAGCGGTACAACCGAGAGGTCGGGGTAAACGCGGGGGAGCGCCGCGAGATCCCCCGCCGCCATACGTCCCGGGTCGCGATGG